TCCTATCGGGGTCGAACCCACAACCTATCGGTTGTGGATCTGACGTTCTTCCCACTAAACTACTCGAATATCTTATTGAAATATATTCTTAACTCTAATAAGTAATTAATAGGTAATTTTAAATTGTCATTTTCTCGTGCAATTTATAATACGTTTAGTAATTTTATGAATCTTACAGATAATAAAAGTCTCTCTGTTGCCTGCAATATTATAGTTTAGCTATTAAACCATTTTATTCATGTGGAAAACTATACCTTCTCAAATGAGAACATCAATGTGCTCATGAGAACATCGATGTTCCCAAAAGAGCACATCCATGTTCTGTGAGAACATCAGTTGGGCCGTAGTGACAGGCACTAAATAGTGACACTGCTTCCTCCAAATCAAAGCGTAAGCGTGATGATTCTGACAAGCGTTTGAGAGGCTCTAAGAGACTCAACGTTGCAGAACAGTAAAGTGATGTTTGTCATGGGATATATCAGGGCAACATGCAAATTGCAGTAGCACCTTTAGACTATCACATTGCGTTATATCTTTGTCAGCGAATGCGAAATACAGATCATTGATCGTTTACATAATTCTTTGAATTAGTCAACATGCGTTGAAACTGGTGGGGGCAAATGTGGAATACATCCACTATGATCTGCATTCCGACAGTTCATCCAGTTACCAGATTTAGATATAAACTGTATGTACACTGGATTAGATGTACGATATCGATTTATACTATGATCATGAGAAGATATGGACTTCAGATACGCTAGTACTATAAGATTCATACTATATAAGATATAGGCTATAGATGGCACCACGGACATGGATGGCACTATAGACTTATACTTGTATTCCGACATTAACTACGGATGTTTACCATATCTGGATAGGCACCAAGATTAATGCAATATGAGCTTGTTGCTTCAGATGTGCACTTCATGATCCACGCTATAAGACACATGCTTATATCCGTGATACTAGCTACAGATACTTTATGTACTACAGACTTGTACTATATATGAGACATGCTATAGACATGCATACGATATGCTATAGACATGCCATATATCCAGATACATGCTAAAGATGTATGCTTAGCGATATACACTCAGATATGTACTATTAATATAGACTAAGAAGACTGTACCTATCGGATACATGCTACTAGATCGATATTAATTATCCTTATGGAAAGGATAGATCAGGGTACTTCGGATGAGAGTCTAATTATTCATCCAGACAGAGCTAAATCATGATTAGCTTGCTGGAGTTGTCTTTTAGCATGATTAGACATTAGTTGATCTGAGTTGACTTATTTGTCAATCTAATTAATAGAACTTTTATCCATTGTTATAGTATATAAGAAGGATCATCTACCTGGCCAGTAGAGAGACTTCAGTTTACTTTACACCTGTCAGTTTGATAATAAAATATACCTTTATCAAGTTGACATTACTGTTTTTTTATTCTTTTTTTTCCGTGAATTTTAGTCTGTAAAGCCTCAAATTCCACAACAGGGCATCTAGCTTGCTTAAATATGGTAGATCCCTGGTCAATGACTACTACGTTGAGATGGTATATAAATAGCAGGCCACTGGGGCCTTATGGATTGTTAGTATAGCTTGTTGAGAGGCCACCTAATAAGTCGATATGTTTCATGTAGTGTAGGTGGATCTCGATATCTTGACATTGGGGAGATTGATTGTATTGTAGTTCCTGAGGCACCTGTGCACACACAATTGACTGGACTGGTAAACATAGATGTGATGTGATACGATAAACATCATCTATGCTGCTACTACACTGTAAAAGGTGGCTTGGGGAGAAAGTGAATGTAGCCTAAGATGCATGCTTGTATGCAACAGAATTTCGGTTTTCAATCAAGTTGCGTTTGGGTAGTTATTTCATTACAGAGAGTAAACGTGGTCCAACTAAATATTGTAATTTTTTATAAAATTAAATAAATTCCACTTTTCACTTTCATGAGGCTACCATTCTTTTTCTAACCAAGTGAATAAAGCGCATAATATATTATCTGACAGCCAACTGCTTAGGCTATTTATGAAAACTGAGCGCACACCAATAGCTTTGATGTTTACAGAGAAAATTGGTAATAAGTACAATTTGGCAAAACACTGGAACGTTTTTTTTCGCTGATAGTAGTATATAAGAAGGATCATCTACCTGGCCAGTAGAGAGACTTCAGTTTACTTTACACCTGCCAGTTTGATAATAAAACATACCTTTATCAAGTTGACTTTATTGTTTTTACATTCTTTTTTTTTTTCGTGAATTCAAGTCATAAAGCTTCAAATTTCACATAAGCTTTTAATTAGTATAAACATCGAATTAATTTGGCAAAACAATGAAGATCATCTTTCGTTGTATACATTTATCTAAATTCATTACTTGTACTCTCAACAGAGGTCAGAAAACAGAGAAATAATGAAGATGCTACAAACACCACAAACATCTCGACTGATAAAAAGGGCTTCTCCGGGAATCGAACCCGGGACCTCTCGCACCCTAAGCGAGAATTATACCACTAAACCAAGAAACCTCAGATGTTATTGTCGTTCCTAAATAAAGATTCAAGTCAAATTTAAAAAAAAGCGACTAAAAGGCGCCAGCGTATACTCGAAGGTTCTGGAAACTGATAGCAGGCATTGATCTGATTATCCGTTGCTATATCAAGTACTATATCTACTCGAAAGTTTCATTGATTAAGTGATTATCGATCGTAGAAATAATATAAATATAAGTTGTAAATGCATTCAATAAACAGTGTAATGAAATAGCCACCCAAACGCAACTTAATTGAAAACCAAAGTTCATCAAATAGCACTCATTCAAATTCATGCTCTTTGGATCTATTAATGAAAGCGCTCAAATGTACATCAAAAACCCATTTAAAAATACTAAAGTAAAGATACACGCTTATATCGCACATCGTGTGAATGAATCACTCCTGATCACAGTGTATTCAATCACACCCATGATGGTCGTAATAGGTGATGGTATCTTTATCCAAATAGAATTAAATCAATAACAAGCATATTCAAATATGACAACTATGCCCTGCTGCCATAGTTGCACAATATCCCAGATAAAGGATTCCATGCTTCAATAACAAACATCACACTTTAAACCATCAAGGTTACATTAAATCATGCTATGACGATAGCTCACCCAAGCCCATCAAGGTTACTCAAATCGACCCTTATGGCCAGTGCTCTTGCATTGATTACCACTTTAAATCAAACATCATCAACATTTGCCAGATATCGCAATAGCAGCACCTATTGCTCTCTCATCACTAATCCTACAAGCTAGATGCAAATGTATAAATACTCTTCTTTTTTTTACTCAATTCCAGGATCTTCAGTTCATTTTATACACAAAATAAAATACAGTTGATTTCTATTGTATTTGACCTTTGCTTTATTTTTTTTTGTGAAATCTATTTAAACCTGATTTCACTGCACTGAGTGTTATGTCAAAATACAATGTAAAATTGAATCTGCCAAAGAATTACACTTTTATTGAGAATTGTTGTATTCACACATATAACTGTTCCTGAATCATAATGTCGTAGATTGAATTGAGCAATAAACTATGCACACATGGAGCATATGTAAATAAGCTGTTCAACATGTAAACGATAATCATGATATTCACATAAGCTAAGTTTCGATAAACTATTCTCTATATGTCAAAAGATAGCAGATAAGGAATGTAAGTAATTAACGTTGCCAAGAGCTACTAAAGATATTTAGACTGATCATCTATATCTGAAATAATTACCATTTAGCATAAGTGAGGATTGACACTAAAACTTAGCATGAGAACACCATTCTAGACGGGTGTGTAAGCAATCCATAAATCATACATATAAATAGCAGTAGACATTCACCCTTCCCTTTTCTCTCCATCTGATTTTACTGAAAAATAAAAAGACATATCCATTCTCACGTATTTCAGACAGTTACAACAAGAATGCATCCCAAGGATGCATTTATATACTTTTCATTATGCTAGGGTTTACAGCATGATGATGAACTATAATACAAATAGGTTTACTATCTACCCAACAATTGATTTGTAAATCATGATTAGCATGATTTACCCAAAGGACCTAAGAATAGCCTAGAACCTTTAGTGTGAGACCTTGCTATGACATTTGATATAACACTGAGGTTCACCAGATGTGATAAGCGTTGTACAAGATAAATTACTACTTTGGCATTCAGAACTTAGTATAAATAGAATAACTCTTGTCTTCATCAATAAATCTTTAGTTTTTGTGTCTGATCTTATTCAAATAAGTCTTTTCTTGTTTTTATAATATCAAACATTTTTTATAAGCTACAAATAATAATCCTTTTATTCTTTGTGCTTAACAGTCTATCTATATCTTGATCCACCCTTTCTATCTTACACCGTTTAAAGGACAATATCGGGGTCCCGACTTATTAAAACTCCGATATCGGAGCTTAGAATTATATTGACTGCTTTATATCTAGGGGTTGATGGTCTATTATGGGAAGCAGTTTTATGTGAAGTTATTACACTCGATACGAATTAGTCACCGAAATGGTCACTGTTTGTTTTTATTTTTAAGAAATTCGAAACCCCCAATAAATGTTTGAATGCTTTAAAATCATAGATCTCACTACTTAACCTAACTTAAGATTTTAAATGAGTATACATCAACATCAGGTCAATTGACAAGCCAAATCTCGTCTTTCAGAATGGCAAATTGGTGGTAAAGTAAACTGCCACAGAGCAGGTGTCAAAGAAAGTGTGATCAGCAAGACCATGAACCTGTCCCCGTCTACGGTAAGCATCGTGATCAAGAGGGCAGGCTCTAAAGGCACCGGATTATTGCTTCCAAAACGTTCTGGAGCATCATTGAAGATGGATAATAGAGATCAGAGACGGCTCGCACGTCAGCTTCGCTCTGCACCGCCAACCCATCAATTTCAATGGATACGCTCATAAAGTATATGAAGCTAATTGGCTTTCAATCATATAAGAATGCACACAAACCAGCATTGACACCTGAGCACAAGCTGAAAAGACTCTCCTGGTGCTTGGACAAAGTCGGATGGGGGCCAGAACAGTGGAGAAAGGTTGTTTGGTCCGATGAGTCCAAATTCATGGTTCTCGGTAATGATGGTGGCTCTAGGGTGATCCGAAAAGAAGGTAAAAGGTACAATGATTATTACATTATCAAAACCAAGAAGTTTGGAAGCGGCTCTGTGATGCTTTGGGGATGCTTTTGGGCTGGAGGCTACGGACCGTTAGTAGCACTTGATGGCCGAGTAAATCAGGACAGATACATCGAGTGTTTGGACAAGAGCTACTTGCCATGGATAGCTGATGTGATGAAGAATGAGGAAGGCAACTTTGTTCTTCAAGAAGATGGTGCTTCCTGTCATACAGGTAGAATTTCTACAAGTTGGAAGGAGGATCAACCACTGGTCAACAGTTTTAGCTTCTGGCCGGCTCAAAGCCCCAATTTGAATCCAATCGAACATCTGTGGGCCACCATGGAGAAGCGAATTGAGAGCAAGAGGCATCGCATTGATAATGCAGAACAATTGCTTGCGTGTATCCATGAGGAGTGGAATAACTTGGATCTTGATCTGGCGGAGAGATTGGTTGCAAGTATGACATCTGGATGTCAAGCTGTAATAAATACAAGAGGCGAAATAACACGCTACTAAAAGCATTGAATATCAATAAAATACTATTGTAAATATCATACATCCAAATTTCATGTACTCCTTACCATGTTTTATTAATGATGATTTGATGTCCAAGATCAATGAATTATTTGATGCCAAAAAAAATTGAACTCAGTTACGGCGACTAATTCGTATCGAGCGTATATGCTAATACATTTATGAAGATTTGCGTGATGTAAGAATTTATTTGAATGGCTGCATAACCTACACAAGCAATCCTATTTAAGATCCCGGATACTTTAAGATCTACGCGTTATTTATAACGTTCACGTTTGGATTTTTGACATCAGATGTAAGGTGATTTAGTCAACAGCATAGGTTGTCATTGCAAGGAAGTTAAGATTGATGTATTCATAGTAATTTGGACACTGTGAATCGCTTAATTGAATTAGTGAGAATTGAATATACTAGTCGTTTGATATTGTTTGATACATCAATAATATGCGGGCAACCCAGTATAGTATTTTCTAGAAGCTGATGAAATCAAGTTTGATGTCCTTTGGATAGGTCAGATGGTATAGAATTGGTATTATACGACTCAAAACAACAGAGCTATCGCAATACTTGTAGTTCTAAGATTCAGCATATGTGATAGTTGATAGTCGCTAGTCGCTCATTGAACGAACCCTAACGCAAAATATCAAATTAATTGTCGTCTAGAATCAAAAAAGTGCAACTGACAATTACATTGTGAGCCCTACTTGGTATACGTGGCCCTGAAAGCTTGATCTTTTTAATGCGAATATAATGACCTTTACGGCCATGACGATCTTATTTATAATGTAGAGCATATAACATTGAAATCGAGTAACGTGCAAAATATCAGTGTATCAAGAAGGTAAAATAGTTAACGCTGCCTTAAAATTATCAGACAGCTTTTTTTTAAGAAACAGTAGCAAACTCAAATCACACACTAACAGGATAAACTGAGATCAGGCAACCAGCCATCAGAACAGGAATTCAAATGGTAAAAGAGAGCTATAATACTAAAGCTCTTAGAGAAGATTCAGTCGAGCATTTTTGTCGTAAACACTGAAATTACAATTACACGAATAATTCGTCCCCCCTCCCTAACATAGGATTATTGAAAATTAGTAACAGTTTCCTGCACTTGGTAATAGACCTTGTATGCTAATCATGAAGTCTTTCTTCATTTTTTGGCATTGCTCGTAGCCAACTCTGCAAGTTGATTTAGAATACGAAGCAAGGAGCTGATCAACAACACCTATATTATATTCTATCGCAAACTCTTGCATGACGGATAGTATCAATGAAATTCTTGACAAAGGAATACAAGAGTGAGCATCTGATCATGCGATATTATTTTGTATAGAATGACAGATGCTTACGTCTATTTTTAGGACCTGATCTCAACCTTCTGGATGCACTGGTTTTTCACATGCTGAAGCTGACTTCCTCCTCTTCAACCCATTTTTGCCAGTGCTCTCCTCTATTTCTCTACGGGATTATATGATTTATAACAATAACAGAGGACACTTTTATGCACAGCCAACGTCTTGTGCTATCACTGAAAGCGAGAGGCATGATTAGGGCCAACAATGCAACAGGATGTGGTATCGATTTTGTGAAACAGCCATTTGAGTTACACGGCGTTGCTCTCCTTCATCCTTATCAAAAGTGAAAAGGTATACAGAAATGAGAAGGCGTGGTAAAGAATGACCTGCAATAGCGCGTGAGGCTGAAATGAGATCACTGTATTTATAAATGATGCCAATGCACATTGATAATGAGTGATTTCAAGGGATACATTTGACGCATTTACTATTTACCCGCCAATATGGGTTGGCCCAGCAACCACAACCTTTCCAATTCTTTATTGCGTTGAAACGCCGAATCGTTCTCTCTCTTTCTCTTTCGTTTAAACCTTCTCTTTTCTTTATAAACTCTAACCTGCTCTTAAACTAACTCGCTTCTTTTATTCACACACATTCACTATACACAATGGAGGTGAGAGAAAGCATCACTGAATGTATACAGCACATGACTAATTCTTTCACTCGTCGTACTACAGGAATTGGAGGCGCGTATCAAAGAGGTTCAGGCAAAGATAGACCAAAACATCCATTTGAGGAAGAAGGCCATTGAGCTTCGCCAGATCCTTAAAGACAGGAATGCTCAGTTGCAATGTGATACGCAGATCAGAGAGTCTCAAAGATACATTGATTACTTTACAGAGGAATTACGCAGACTCCAAACCAAGGGGAGCCGTGCCTCTTTCATTTCGCTGCAGTCATTCCACCAACAGAGTAATGAATCCTCAAGCAGCACAGATGCTGTGGCTAAATCCACAACAACCAGCACAACTACAAGCGCAACGACACCTGGTAGTAACGGAGCAGAGGATGCAGCCGTGCTTGAGCGGCCTATAGTCGACTCACCCACGCAAGCATCACTGCAATCCTATTTTCCCAACACAACAAATACAAGTGCATCAACCCCCACTTCTGAGATGGCAGAGGAGGATCCCAGGAAAAGATATACCAATTTGGGTAAATTATCAATATATAGCGTGAGATCAGGCAGCTCAAATGGCACATAGATCTTTTGGAGGCGGATACGCCCATCAACAGAGCCAAGGTCTCTCTTAAATTACATGAATTGGAATACAAAGTGGACGTAGAGAAGAAAGTGCAAGAGGGTATCCGCAATTTGTATACCATTTTGGACCGCACATCTTCATCATCAGCAGCTGATCGTCGCCGAAAAGCCGAACTCCATGAGAAGCAATTGGAGTGCTCAGAGAAAATGACGCTGCTCAACAACTCTGTCAAAAAGTACAAGGATTTGTATCTGGGCGAGGAAGATGAAGATGATGAGGAGGAATCAAACGAGGCACTATCAGCAGAAGCAGCAGCCAGAGAAGAGGAGAAGTTGGAGCAAATGGATGCCAGGCCCGTGCTACGAGGCATGCCAGGAGCTCGACGTCCTGTAACTGGTAAACTGCAATTGAAGATTGTTGAAGCGCACGAATTGGCCCATGCACCCACTCGTATGTTCCGTGACCCTCTCACAGCAGTAATGGTCAAGATTGATGGCAACATCCAATTTCGCACACGCCCCTCCAAGAACGACAAATGGACAGATAGCTTCGAAATGCATGTCGACAAAGCAACTGAAGTAGAGCTGTTAATCTATGATCAGTCAGGCGATCGTACGCTGCCTATAGGTTTACTTTGGCTGAAAATCTCGGACATTGCAGAGAATTTGCGTAAACAAAAGTTGGAATTGGAGCAACATGAGTCAAACTGGGTATCCGCTCAAGTTGCACAACAACATCATGACGCGCCGTTGGATGCGGTAGAACACAGAAACGCCGCTGGAAACAAGCGAAAACATGCTGCTTCGTCAGAGCACGGTGGTATCAATGCTTGGTTCGATGTGGAGCCTCTGGGCAGAATCTATCTGGAGATCAATTTTGTCAGAGAGAACGTAAAGAGAAGGCCCATGGACAAACTGGGAAGAGCTGGCGCTGTGCGTGAAAGAAAGGGCGAAGTGCATGAAATGAACGGACATCAGTTTGTTGCAAGACGATTCTATCACATTATGAAGTGCGCTCTGTGTGGTGATTTCATGGCTAAATTGACATTCCAGTGCGAAGGCAAGTGCATCAGTGTTTGGTTGCGTGTGGACATGGAACTGATCTAGGCAATAGACTGTGGTTTGGCATGCCATAAGAAATGCTATACTCGTGTGGTCACTCGATGCATTTCTAGAGCGGATTCCAAACTAGATCATGACGAGGATGAGCTCAAGCATCGCATTCCACATCGATTTGAGCCATTGACCATTATTGGGGCCAACTGGTGCTGCCATTGTGGTTTCATGCTGCCATTAGGGTTTCGAGGAGCACAGAAATGCGCAGGTAATAAACCCACTAGCAATTAAGATAGAGCTTGACTAAATTCATATCCCAGAATGCGGAGTGGTTTGTCACACCAAGTGTGCTGGGCTCGTTCCTGATTTTTGTGGCATGTCCATGGAGAAGGCCAACCTGATGCTGAGCGAAATGAAGGCAGCCAACAACCGTCGCCGCACTTTCCACTCTGATAGCTTACCTCACTTCTTATCCGACAATCACCAAAGACCTCTATTTGCATCCTCATCCAGTAATACCCAGCAACAGCAGCAGCAAACACAAACGATGAGGCCATACAAACAAGAATCTAACAATGCCTCTATCATCTCACCTCAATCCTCGTTCTCTACACCTGTTTCTCCTAAAATAAACCCCACTGCATCTCGACCTCTATCCATGAACCACGATACCTCGTCCTTCCAGTCATTAACACACCTATTTAGTCAACAAAACTCCATCAGCGACACCTTATCGAGAGCAGGGACGCATCAAATCACCACGCCAGTGCAGGTCAATCGCAAGGTTGGCTTGGATGACTTTAATTTACTGGCTGTACTAGGTAAAGGCAATTTCGGCAAAGTTATGCTTGCTGAAGAAAAATATACGAACGAGTTGTATGCTATCAAGATCCTCAAAAAAAGATTTGTCTTGGACAATGATGAAGTGGAGAGGTAAGATTAGGTTTTTGATTATAATGTGTCTATGCTAAACCTTCCATTTAGCACTCGATCCGAGAAACGTGTGTTTCTAACAGCAAATGAAGAACGCCACCCCTTCTTGGTCAATTTGCACAGTACGTTCCAGACTGAAACTCGTATATACTATGTCATGGAGTACGTCAGTGGTGGTGATCTCATGCTGCAGATTCAAAGAGAACAGTTTTCAGAGGCTCGTGCTCGTTTTTACGCGTGCGAAGTTTTGCTGGCACTGGATTATTTCCACAAGCATGGCATCATTTATCGTGATCTCAAGTTGGATAACATTATGCTGTGCCTGGATGGCCATATCAAGTTGGCTGATTATGGTTTATGTAAAGAGAACATGTGGGCCAACAATACAACAAATACCTTTTGTGGTACACCTGAATTCATGGCGCCTGAAATCTTGCTAGAGCACAGATATGGACGTGCCGTAGATTGGTGGGCATTTGGTGTCTTATTGTATGAAATGTTGCTTGGACAGGTATATCAAAGCACCTGGCTGACGCTTACATGCACTAACACGATTGATTTAGTCGCCATTCAAGGGTGAAGATGAAGACGAAATTTTTGATGCTGTGCTGGAGGACAATATTCTATATCCCATCAACATGTCAAAGCATTCTGTGTCCATTTGCGAGGCCGTAAGTAGTAGTGCAATAGAGGCAGTACACAAACCTAATGAATTGATCCGTCCGTAGCTCCTCGAACGTAACCCTGAAAAGCGCCTTGGTGGAGGGAAAGGCGATGCACAAGAAGTAAAGAACCATCCTTTCTTTGCTGGTGTGAACTGGGACGATATGCTAGCCAAGCGAGTGCAGCCACCATTTCTGCCTACTGTGAATGGTAGAGCAGACACATCCAATTTTGATGAGGAATTCACAAGAGAAATTCCAATTTTGACACCTGTCAATGCCATGTTGACAGCCAATGAGCAGCAAGAATTCTCCAATTTCTCCTATGTAGCAAATTGGGCTATCAATGGCACAATATAAGTTTTTGAATGCTTTTGCTGGCAGCTTACACCATCCAGCAAACCACTATTGATGCAGTGAATAAAGCTACTAGTATAGTTAATAGTATCAAGCGTGGTGTTTGTTCTCTTATTTGCAGTAAGTGTGTATATACTGTATATGCATATATGATTCAGTCTAACGCTAAGGATACTTGGTAATGAGATGTATATATTTGTGCATATAATAGCTGTGGGACTAATGAGCGGTCATAACGAAACTGGCTACAGAATTCTTCCAAGCGAACATTTGAGGCACCTTTTCAATCAGTGTCCTAAGCTTTCTTGGTGTACTTGAAGCGTCCGCTACACAATCGATCTGTCTGTACAGAGAAGCACCGTGTTTGATTAATCTCTCAAATGAGATGTGGTTGTCTATGTGGAAGGGGGAGATCAGTACATGATAACTAAGAAGAGACTTGAGATTACCATATGCCAAATTCGACAGGCCTGACGTTTAGTTGTGGATATGCTAGTCGATTCAATTAGGATGATTAACCTAGATTATGGTTGGTATACAAAAGACTTTACATTAACGCATTATTTAGATAGAGAACAATAAGGCTGAACGACCATGGAAACACTAGTCGATGTGCCTGCTATTAGACCATAGACTTGACAGATAATGGCTTGACGCAGGATCGTGCTCTCTGCCAGGTCCTACTCTGCCTTATTTGAATCATAGGCAATGAGCATTTGGCCCCTTCAAGTCTTTCAATGAGGTCATTCAGCACGAGACAAAGAACGGGCAACTGATTTTCAAGAATGAGGTGGTCTGAACATCAGAGATTTAAAGGCAAAATGTCACGTTTCATGCCCTTCTTCTGGATTATTTATTGACAGCTTCATCAAAGAATAAAATTACTCCCTGAGTGGATCCTTTGCTTTACTTATTCCAGCCTCGCACACTTTGCATGGCTCCTAACGATAAAGACTGTATGCAATGGTGGTTGCGCGACCCAAACGCATTTGATTTTGATTTGGATTCTTCAAGAGGGTTTTGCCTCAATTAATTACACTTTCTGAAACCAAATCCGAGATTGCGCGCGCGCGAGGCTCTTGAGTGGTCTTTTTTTCTGATCTGTGATCCATTTGAGATCAACTGATCTGATCAGATCAACAAAAAAAAAAAAAATAGGGCTGCGTAGTAACAGTATATTACCTCCATGGCAGCGGGATTCAATTCATCCGTTACTCTTTAATACTGAAAACAATGCAAATATCTTGTACAGCTCTCTCTCTCTCTCTCCCTATTGCTCTCTGATCCTCTTGATCAGATCAAAACGGGTCTCTCTTGATGCCGTGTTTTCAATAACGGGCCTAAATTTCTCCGCGTATCACAAGCGCTCCAGTTTCTTTCTTATTAAACCATGATAGCGCCACTGTCATTGGATGATTCCGATATAGCAAAAAAGAAATATAAATAGGGTGGGTAGATCAAGAATTATTAGGTTCTTCTGATCTGAAAAATATTTTTTTTTTCTCTTTCTTCTCATCCAGATATCGCAATTATGGAGGAAAAGCATCAGCCATCAGCCATATTGCCAACAGAGAACTCGGGCATTGTCGAAGCGCCAGTCGCAACAAGCGGATCTTCCATCTCAACCACTGCAGCTGCCACAACTTCAAAGGGCAACGATGATCTGCAGCATTCATCGTCTTCAGTAACGACCGAGAAGCCGGACTTGGAGCAGAATGAGCCCAAGGGCCTGGACGGAGATGCAGAAAAAAAACAATCAAAAAAGGAGAAGGTGGGCCGCGTGTTGACATTCATTGGGCTCCAAGTGGCCCTGTTTTTGGCTGCCTTGGACAAGTAAGTCTTTGAACAGTGTATGTGTGTGTGCGCAGTATCTTATACATGATGATAGTACCATTGTAGCTACTGCATTGCCCAAGATTGGGTCTGATTTCAACCAAATGTCCATTGTGGCATGGGTTGCTACAGCCTACATTTTGACATTTGACGCATTTCGTAAGTATACAGCCAAGCATGCATGCATGCGTGCATGAATAGAGCTGGTAGATCTTGATACTTTTCTCTATATAGAACCTCTATTTTCAAAGTTTTCCGACATTTTCGGTCGCAAATGGATCTTGATGTTTGGTATCGGCGTGTTTCTTTTCGGCTCCGTGCTCTGTGGTGCTTCCACGGTAATTTGTGTTGACTGGTAAAATTGGATCTGAGAGCTGACCATCTCGATTAGAGCATGATCATGTTGATTGTCGGAAGAGCTATTGCTGGCATTGGTGCTGCTGGCATCTTTAGTATGGTAAACATGAGTAATCGTTTCATAATGTCCTGCTTTGTTCTGAATCGAACATCTCGTAGGTATTCGTCATCTTCTCCGATCTGGTGCCATTAGAGAAGAGAGGCACATATCAAGGGTAAAAGTTTTCATTCGGTGTCACTGTTGCACACATCACTCACAATTTTGGGACACCATGTAGTATCATCAATGCTGTTTTCGCCTTGTCCAGTGTTTGTGGTCCACTCATTGGCGTATGTACATTGAATAGATGAGTTGAGAATACTAGGTAACTGATTTGATGCGAATAGGGCTCCTTGACTGATTATGTGTCATGGCGATGGAATTTCTACATCAAGTAAGAGGGATCGCAAGTGTGTAGTATAACATTTGTATAGTAACATTTGTACAGCCTTCCAATTGGTGCAGTAGCCATGCTTGTCTTGTTCTTCTTTTTGAGATTGCCTACACCTCATGGCAAATTGATGGACAAGTTGAAGCGCGTGGATTACGCAGGTATATATATATATATAAGATTACTGTGGGTAATATAGACGTATATTGACCATGCTGTGCTACTCTTTATTAGGAACTGTTATTGTCTTGGCTTTTGCCACACTTTTCTTGTTGGCACTCAACTTTGGCGGTCAAGAATTCCCTTGGAATTCAGCTGCAGTCATCGTGCCTCTGGTGCTCTCTATTCTCTTAGTCGGCTTGTTGGTGCTTGTGGAAAAGAAGTTTGCCAAGGAGCCCATCATGCCTCCTCGACTCTTTACCAATAGATCGGTTGTCAGCGTCATTTTGACCAATTGGTTCTTTGGTATGACATTCTTCTCTGCTGTTTATTACCTCCCCATCTACTTTCAGGTCGTGAGAAATGACTCTGCCATGTGGTCCGGAATCAGACTGATCCCAATGCAAATGGTGCTGACGGTTCTCTCTACTATTGTTGGTGTGACAATCTCAAAGACGGGTGTATACAGGCCTTTGATCTGTGTTGGTATGGCTCTGTTGACCATGTGGATTGGTCTCTTCAGCTTGTTCAACGAATATACTCCCTTCTCTGGTAAGTGGCAACATCAAGTCGATTTTGTGTGTATGCATCTGTATTCATGCTTACTCGCTAGAAATCTATGGTATCACTGTCATTGGTGGTGCTGGTTTGGGCTGTCTCTTTTCATCCACCATCATTGCACTCCAAGCATCAGTGGAGCCCAAAGACATTGGTAATGCTGAGTCACGTTTATTTGAGACGATAGCGCATAATACTGACATCTCCTTGTGTAGCCGTTGTTACTGGTTTAGGTAATTTCGCAAGAATCTTGGGCGGTGCCTTGGGTGTTGGTAAGTTGTACATCTCGATTCAGGCACAGATCACCATACTTACCCTTTGTTTGCTTCGTAGCCATTTCATCAGCAGTCTTGAATTCTCAATTGACGCAAGAATTGCCCAAATACTTGCCCATGGAGGAAGCTTCCAGGGTGATACAGTCATCCGAGTATGTCAATCATGGTTTACCAGCCGAGTATTTGGCAATTACCCTGCAAGTCTATGTTGAATCACTCCGATTGATCTGGTATGTCCTTATTCCCATGGCTGGCTTAGGGTTCATATCCTCTCTGTTTGTAAAACACCACTCGATTCGTAGTCATAAAAAAGCAGCCGAAAAGAAGGCAAAGGAGGAGGAGGAGACTGCCAAGGCTGTAGTGGTGGATATACCCACAAATACAGTTACCACAGAGCATGAGGAAACAAAGGAAAAATATCAAGTTGACCAGGTAGAAGATCAACAAGTTGAGCAACAACTACATCAAAATACCAAAAAACACGAAGAGTCTGTAGTCTAATTATCTATCACTTATATTCTAATTGCATATTACCACTCATCTGTCCTATATAAATTGTAACATAAAGCACGCTGTGATTTGCATAATAAATACGAATCGATTCACAATGTATATCTTGCTTTCAAGCTTACTATAATATGATACACAATGGCCTTTTACCTTAAAGAAAGTAGCAATTATGTCTGGAGATGTTGCCTGCTTGACAACTGAAATTGTGCAACCCATCCAAGCTAACACGAAGATAGACCTTCAGCAGAGCAATTAGAAATTCTGGCTTCGTTCTGTATCAAGATAGGAAGAATAACGCCGGAGCTGGGGGAGTTTAGTGGTGGAATCAAATACATTGAAACAGACAATAAGGAATAAAAATGATGGAATTCATGATGACAATGATCATAACAGAACAATTTTATGGTTCCAAGACTCTTTCAAAGCCTCAAAAGGAAAGAAGTTGATGTTACAAGTATTTTGGTGGACTGGCATTATCAAATATAAGACTTCAGAAAATAGCACGGCTAACGATAGTACCGTGTAGTTTGTCACTAGCTTTCCTTTGGTTTCAAGAGCATCTATTATTATTGCTTTCATGAGTCAAAGAGCATTCAGTCTGCCAGCCAGCCCCATCAGCCAGCGTTAAATCAAATCCAGATTGGCCAAATCTTGATGATTTTTGACTTGATCGAACTATTTTGCCAGATTCGACTATTTAAAGTGTGATGATCACCCAATGCTTTTTGGTCGATTTTTGTTCATGCTTTTTTGATCCCCAAAAAGTTGACCAAACGTATCAAAAAGTAACTGCCAGATGAGAGCAACTGTTTGGTGCTATTCTAACTATCTAAAACGGCCTTGAACGCAAGAAAACGCGGCTCAAATGCATTCAGATTTTGCTGTATTAGGTACACTCTTGACTAAAAAAGGAATAATATCTGTATGATACTTGCCCGTATATAAAGTAGCTACGTGTATATGGATGTAGAGCATCACATAAGAATCAGATCCATAGATAACAAAGGGATTTCATGTGTAAGTGGAGGGTCAAAATGAAAGTAGCAGTATTTTAATATGAAAATATGCAAGAGCAATCAGTAGCACGAGCTGCCGCTGCACAGGTTGGTTCCCACTTAAGCGAGGTGAAGCGAAGGTAGAGAACCATCCGAAGCACAAATACTCATATGATTAATGATTGTATATCAACCAATAATCAAGGTTCTTCTAACATTTTAGCTGTATAAAATTTTGCAATATTAGCCAAAGGCCCGCGGTAGTGCGAGCTGTTTGAACGTAGGTTGGTTTCCACCGAAGCGAAGTGTAGGTCAGGAAACCACTCAAAGTGTCTAAAGACTCGTATGCTTTAGTAAAAGTATTTATTATTAAGGCCAAAAACGCGATCGTTTGATTTTCAATGAAAACCATGAGGGGTATCTCATGCTTTTTGGTCGATTTTTGGCCATGTTTTTTTTTTGGCCGAAAAAGTTAAGCAAAGATGTCAGGAAGTTACTACTACTCAAGTACAATTGTTTGGCGTCATTCCGGTGGCTCATAAAGATCTACATGCCAAGATATGAAGGCTTGAAAGCTGTCAAATTTGGTTATGTATTGCTTTATAGAGTTTATTTACACGGCATAAATCACATCTTTGGTAGTTAGAACTTATTAGAAAGGCAGTTCTGTAGCTTGCGCAATTTTTAATTCGAATAAGAGGCATATTGATTTTGGTAAAGCTAATTCATGCAAATTTTGTTGCGTTATGTTGCCGGTAAGCTTATTAGCAATGGAAATAAAAACTCGAATTTGCTGCTTATTAGATACTATGGTTTTGAACCTTCGCTTCGCTGCAATCAAGCCCTCATATAAATCAATGTTACCAAGTGTTGGATTAGACGCCTGATTACCATGGCTTTGCACTTTTGATTTGCTACGGTATAACCCCCTATAACTCAATGCTACCCAATGTTGGATTAGATGCTTAGTTGTCATAGGCTTTACACCTTTGCTTCGCTATGGTAAACCTCCCCTAAATCAATGTTATCCAGTGTTGAATTAGATGCATTATTATGTTCTTGGTGGAGAGGCTGAGCCCCTCCTCCGAACCCCCTCCCCACTGCAGGCTTTGCCGGTAGCTTTATTCACCTTTGCCCGGCTCTCAATAATGTATATGATTGGCTTGTCTATTTTTCTTTTCATAGTTTTCCAGTATATATATTAGTGATTAGTGATAGTGATTAGTGATAGTGATTAGTGATGTGTGGTTGGTTACGACATATTTCGAAATATACAACATTTGAAATAATGGACGCATCTGCTAAACTAGCGGGAAAAGGGATGAATTATAAAGCAGAAGAGCCCGTTTCGGTAAGCGGTAGACAATGTCGTATTAGGAATTTTTTTTTGCTATAACATTATGTTATAGCAAATAAGAGTACTATAACATAATGTTATAGCAAATAAGAGTACTATAACATAATGTTATAGCAAATAAGAGTACTATAACATTTGGTTATAGCAAATAAGAGTACTATAACATAATGTTATAGCAAATAAGAGTACTATAACATAATGTTATAGCAAATAGAAGTACTATAACATAATGTTATAGCAAATAAGAGTACTATAACATAATGTTATAGCAAATAGAAGTACTATAACATAATGTTATAGCAAATAGAAGTACTATAACATTTGGTTATAGCAAATAAGAGTACTATAACATTTGGTTATAGCAAATAAGAGTACTATAACATAATGTTATAGCAAATAGAAGTACTATAACATAATGTTATAGCAAATAGAAGTACTATAACATAATGTTATAGCAAATAGAAGTACTATAACATTTGGTTATAGCAAATAGAAGTACTATAACATTTGGTTATAGCAAATAAGAGTACTATAACATTTGGTTATAGCAAATAGAAGTACTATAACATAATGTTATAGCAAATAAGAGTACTATAACATTTGGTTATAGCAAATAAGAGTACTATAACATAATGTTATAGCAAATAGAAGTACTATAACATAATGTTATAGCAAATAAGAGTACTATAACATTTGGTTATAGCAAATAAGAGTACTATAACATTTGGTTATAGCAAATAAGAGTACTATAACATAATGTTATAGCAAATAGAAGTACTATAACATAATGTTATAGCAAATAGAAGTACTATAACATTTGGTTATAGCAAATAGAAGTACTATAACATTTGGTTATAGCAAATAAGAGTACTATAACATTTGGTTATAGCAAATAAGAGTACTATAACATAATGTTATAGCAAATAGAAGTACTATAACATAATGTTATAGCAAATAGAAGTACTATAACATTTGGTTATAGCAAATAAGAGTACTATAACATTTGGTTATAGCAAATAGAAGTACTATAACATAATGTTATAGCAAATAAGAGTACTATAACATTTGGTTATAGCAAATAAGAGTACTATAACATAATGTTATAGCAAATAAGAGTACTATAACATTTGGTTATAGCAAATAAGAGTACTATAACATTTGGTTATAGCAAATAAGAGTACTATAACATAATGTTATAGCAAATAGAAGTACTATAACATAATGTTATAGCAAATAGAAGTACTATAACATAATGTTATAGCAAATAGAAGTACTATAACATTTGGTTATAGCAAATAAGAGTACTATAACATTTGGTTATAGCAAATAGAAGTACTATAACATAATGTTATAGCAAATAGAAGTACTATAACATAATGTTATAGCAAATAGAAGTACTATAACATTTGGTTATAGCAAATAGAAGTACTATAACATTTGGTTATAGCAAATAAGAGTACTATAACATTTGGTTATAGCAAATAGAAGTACTATAACATAATGTTATAGCAAATAAGAGTACTATAACATTTGGTTATAGCAAATAAGAGTACTATAACATAATGTTATAGCAAATAGAAGTACTATAACATAATGTTATAGCAAATAAGAGTACTATAACATTTGGTTATAGCAAATAGAAGTACTATAACATAATGTTATAGCAAATAGAAGTACTATAACATTTGGTTATAGCAAATAAGAGTACTATAACATTTGGTTATAGCAAATAGAAGTACTATAACATAATGTTATAGCAAATAGAAGTACTATAACATAATGTTATAGCAAATAGAAGTACTATAACATAATGTTATAGCAAATAGAAGTACTATAACATTTGGTTATAGCAAATAAGAGTACTATAACATAATGTTATAGCAAATAGAAGTACTATAACATTTGGTTATAGCAAATAGAAGTACTATAACATTTGGTTATAGCAAATAGAAGTACTATAACATTTGGTTATAGCAAATAAGAGTACTATAACATTTGGTTATAGCAAATAGAAGTACTATAACATTTGGTTATAGCAAATAAGAGTACTATAACATAATGTTATAGCAAATAGAAGTACTATAACATAATGTTATAGCAAATAGAAGTACTATAACATAATGTTATAGCAAATAGAAGTACTATAACATTTGGTTATAGCAAATAGAAGTACTATAACATTTGGTTATAGCAAATAAGAGTACTATAACATTTGGTTATAGCAAATAGAAGTACTATAACATAATGTTATAGCAAATAAGAGTACTATAACATAATGTTATAGCAAATAGAAGTACTATAACATAATGTTATAGCAAATAAGAGTACTATAACATTTGGTTATAGCAAATAAGAGTACTATAACATTTGGTTATAGCAAATAAGAGTACTATAACATAATGTTATAGCAAATAGAAGTACTATAACATAATGTTATAGCAAATAGAAGTACTATAACATAATGTTATAGCAAATAGAAGTACTATAACATTTGGTTATAGCAAATAAGAGTACTATAACATAATGTTATAGCAAATAGAAGTACTATAACATAATGTTATAGCAAATAGAAGTACTATAACATTTGGTTATAGCAAATAGAAGTACTATAACATTTGGTTATAGCAAATAAGAGTACTATAACATTTGGTTATAGCAAATAAGAGTACTATAACATAATGTTATAGCAAGTAAGAGTACGAAATTGTTATAACATTTGGTTATAGCAAAGGACACTGTTGATTGGCTAGTTATTAGCTGTTCAACTTGATATTTCAAAAATTATAATGCGTTGTTATAGCTGTTGTTATAGCTAAAAAAAATTGATGACAGACGGCGTCAAATCGTTTAAGTGATTTCCTTTTAATGCTACAACAACGCCTCTCTGCTTCTTTACGTCTTCTCTGCGCAATTTATACGCTCAACTATCAAGCGATCCTTCGTTGGTTCTTAATGCCTAGAATACTTTTTTTTCCTAATTTTTTAACTATGACAAGGGGAACATATCAATAACTAATATCAGAAATTCAATTTAAAATGATGACTGTCTTGCTCCGGAAGGTGATGGTGATGAGGACGCTACTACAGGTGTTCTCTGTTGTTGTTCAGTTTGCTTTTGCTTTTGCTTTTGCTTTTTCATAGCGCGGTGATAAGCACTTTGAGCACTTTTGTACGACTTATACTGCTCAAAGCGGCCCAGTATTTTCCACTGTTGGAATTGAGCTTTCCATGGTATGTGTCCGTTTTTGTCCACTTGTTGCTCAGCAAATTCGAAATCGGATAATGGATCCTCTAAGCGTCGCTTTTGTGCTATTCCATCGACATACGCAATGACATTACTCAAAATGTTTACGGCTGTTTCAATACGCACGCCAACAGGTTGATCTTGATTTTCAAGGGCTGCCTTTGCCTTATAGCATTCTGATTTTGATTGGGCACATACACTTTTTAATGCATGGATAGAGTTTTTGTTGTCATGGATATGGCTACCAAGTATATTTTTCATTTTGGTATACAGACAAATTAATGTTGGATCATTGCATTGTGTAAAGTTGATAAGTGATGTCTCTTGTTCAATAAGACAGTGAACAAGTGCAAGTAATGGGTTTAACGGGGTTTCGTTGAGATAGGGCGCAATAGTCTCTGCATTGAAAAATAGACATGAGCTGGCCCAGCCAATACTCGACAGCTGCTTTGCGAAAGGGATACGAGAACCAGGTATTTCAGTTTCAAGTAGATATCTGGTTGTCGAATTAATCACAATTGCCACAACAATAGGGAGCTTAGACGCTTTATGTTGTCTTAGAAACCGAACGCGAGTAGTCGATTAGTTGTTGATAAAAATTCATATCTGCCTTGTTTTGAATCTCGATTAGAATACGAGGTAGGTCATTAGAGCAGTTGATTGACTCGTACGCGACATCAGAGCGAGTGAAATCAATCCACTCAGTTGATCTTTTGCCTTTGGTCCTACACAAACGAAAAGAATTAGTAGCATACTAACAGGCATATTTAAGATCATACCAATAACTGCTGAGACAACAATATTAATAACATCTTGATCAGCTAACAAGAGCTTGCTCATTAAATCGGTTCCAGGCAAATACTTCCTTGGAAGAGAAAAGGTCTTGAGGTTGACGCCGTCTGCCATATTTTTTTTAGCTATAACAACAGTATAACACGGAAATATATGAAAAGACACAGAGCTATAACAACGCATTATAGTTTTTTCGACTATATGAAATGTGATAATCAGCCCGTACTTCCTAATACATTCTTGGAGTACGTTTCAAGGCGTTTCCAATGATGCCGAGTAAAATAAATGTTTTGACTGAATTTATCGAGCAATTCAAGAAAATATGAAAAGCGGTTTTTGGCCAAAATGTCAAGATTTTGCATATAAAGGCTTCGCAAAAGTGGTTTCAGAGGTTGCTTTGGATCGAGAGAAACATTTTGATTCATAATATACCATAGTAAAAGTCTTCATTATCAAGGTCAAAAAACGCGATCGTTTGATTTTCAATGAAAACCATGAGGGGTATCTCATGCTTTTTGGTCGATTTTTGGCCATGTTTTTTTGGGTCCTAAAAAAAAGTTGAGCAAAGATATCAGCAAGTAAATGCTAGATGAGAGCAATTATTTGGGGCTATTTTGGCAGCTTGAAACGGCTTCTACCACCAGAAACCACTGCTCAAATGCATCCAAATTTTGCCGTGTTTTGCATATTTTTGAGCATCAACAGGCAATGCACAGAGATTAGCGCAACATCTACTAGTAGCAACCCTTTATTGACGTAAATATACACTGCAGGTACGATACCAAGAGCGCATTTGGTGTCAAAAAATAAGCTGTTCTAGTTTTAAAATAAAGGTTGCATTTTCTTGATTATAGAATGCATTTAGGTATCCTCTACATCTTTATTGCATTCATATATTGCATTCATATATTGCATAATGTCTCATGTAATAAGAATGTGAGCTGCAAATCAGGAACGAATGAATGCAGTTGCGGTTTAACTATTTGTGCTAGTGTCAACCCAAGAAATGCAATGTATGAGTCCTAGCATCAAGGTTAATCAAGGTTAATCAAGGTCAATCAACAGATCAAATTCATGTTCAAGACGTTCTTGCTTTGTATGTATTCCCCCCCCTCCCCCTCCCCCCCAAAAGGCAATATATTGGAGAGGTCGGACGCGGTGGCTTGCCGATAATCTAATTTAAAGGAGTGGCGTTTCAAGTATCAAGTATATAGAGTCAATACATGTGTGTGTGCTTGGCGTAATGGCTGATCTGAGCACTGAGCTATTGCACAGTATGGGATGCAGACGTCACTACAAAACGCGAAAAATACATGCATTGATATACAATTGTCTATTTTGCTTTAAGCTTTTTCACTGTCTTCTTTACTGTTTCATATCCAAGCTACACACTTGTTTTCTCATTTATCACTCATTAAATTCATAAATACAGAACAAAAAAGAATATAAGCTTACAATGAAACACTTTCTTACTATGGGAAATACTGGCGTGCTTTTGCAATCGATTGACCGTAACCAAAGAACCATCAAATTCTCAGAATACAAAGGTAAAACTGTTGCCATCGATGGTGATGACTTTCTTCTTGAGGGAGCTTCCCATGCTACGTTGGCGCTTGCGTGGAATCATCCCGTCAATGCGTAAGTATTAATATCTATTCCGTTGATCTTATATTAACAAGATTTTCCTGCAGATATAACGACTATTTGCTGAAATTTATTCAGTTGCTTGAAGAAAATGGTGCAACACCTATTGTGGTCTTTGGCGGTCTCACTCTCCCTTTCAAGCAAAGCATGAATTATGAATATCGCAAGTAAGTTTTGGTAGTGCAATCAAATAACCATATCATTGTCATTGATCATGCATTTTGATGTAGAGCCCGTCATGCTGCAATGAACAGACACTCGAATCTGCAGGAACAAGAAGAGCTTTTTGAAATTGAGTCTAGCATTGTGGAATCATTAGACATCTCAGATGACATGGCCATTGCCACCATTGCAGTAAGTATTCCTTTTTTTTTTTTTTTTTTTGATGGTTTATACCTTTTACTGACTTTACTCTGCAGGAATTGATAGAAAAGAAGATTAAATGCATTGTAGCGCCATGCGAAATTGCTGCTCAACTGACATACTTGGTAAAGACAGGCAAGGTGGATGCTGTCGTCTCTGAGGATCCTGAACTCTTGGCTTTTGGTTGTCCAAAGTTTATTCACAAGAGTTCTATCTCTGAAGAATATATCGAATTCTGCATGGATAGAGTATCCAATGACAAGAGAAACAAGTTTCGAACATACGGTGCTGACACTTTTCGACACATCTGTATGTTATCTTTAGCCGGCTGTAATTACCTAGTTGACGTTGAAAGTACTGTCTTCAGAGCATTACTGAGAGTGTATGAAGGCAACAACAACAGCACTGATCAAGTATTACGCGTCTTGCAGAAGCGATTCGAGGAAAAGTTCCTTCTGGACTATCTTAAAAAATTTCACATTGCAGATCTTGGTTTCATGTGTCAATGGGTCTACGATATGGATAAAAAGAACTACGTGCGCTTGAATCCACTTCCATCCGATTGTTCGGAGGAAGATGTCAAGTTGCTGGGCAGAACCCCAACCGTACAAGACTCCATTAAGTTCATTGTCAACGAGATCGCCCCCAAGAGCAAGCCCTTAAATTTAAAAGAGCGCATTACAGAAAAGCTTCAGGCTTATGTTAAATCAGCAAAAGAGAATATCATGGTAGGTGTTGCGCCAACAAGCTGCTTAAAAATGCCCAGCAAACTAACGGCGTACATCTTTTGTAGCGTTCACTTTTAGGAAGGCCATTCTTAGCGGCAGCACCCAAATCACAAAAGTCACCCAAATCACAAAAGTCACCCAAATCATCTACATTAGCATCTAGAACGGAACCAAAACGAATGTTTTCTAAAATGAGTAATGTTACCACAGTATCAGTGTCAGGGGCCACAGCAACTGGAGATTTCTCTGCATCAACCTCTGCACAAGTCTCACCCCACTTGCCTAGACCTACAGTGGCAACACCTAGAGAGTCAACACAAGGCGAAAGACTTGAAGCCCCAAATAAGAGATTCGGCACGTTACCAGCACCATCTCGACAAGTTTCTAGTGAGCCAATTGCTGCATGTCCTTCAGTTTCATCACCTCCTTCAGCTGAACAGCCTTTGATGCCTTTGACTGAAGCAAGCACAACTTCAACAACAACAACCGAACCAGACGCTGTTGTACTAACTCAATCAAACACGGTTGTTGCAACTCATGACGATTCCATCTCTCCTCTTCGTATCCCAAAAAATATGGCGTCAAAGTTTAATAACGAGAAATCCAAGAAAAGATCGTTTGATCAGACAGAGCACAGTGCTTCCACGATGCAAGGCAATAGTCCTAAAAGATACATTTTATCACTCAAAGCTCACAACAGCTATCAAAAGAGCAATACAGCTATATACAAAACACTGACTACAATGCCATATCGTCAGAGAACTCAAGCTAGTGATCCGGCACAGCCTATGAATATGATGCCATTGTCTGCGCCTTCTAATACTCTCAACAAGCTCTCAAAAACCAATATATCTAAAGCAACAGCAGCAGCAGTAGCAGCTACTATTACGACGGCTGCTAGCACACCTCAACAAGTATCAAATGACCATGTGCTGCCAAGCCTCAAAGGCGAGCAATCGAGGAAAAGAACCTTTGATCAGACCGATCAGACCGATCAGACCGAGCATAGTTCATCCAACATTCAAGGCAATAGTCGCAAAAAGCATCATCCTCGTTGAATCTAGCTACAATAGCTTAGTATAGCCAAAGATTACTTATGCTTCTTGAAATTAAATAAATGAGTATCCATAGTTTTTTTTTATGTTTTTATTATTATTATTATTATTATTATTATTATTATTATTATTTGCTTAGATTGTCCATTTTCAGCAAAATCTTACTGCAGACATGTTTCGCAGCCCATGAATCATCAATGTCCAGACTAACGTTATTAAATATAGAATGCAAGGAAAATAGTATGGTTAACGATAATGTTATGTAATTTACCACCTACTTTCCATACGCTTCAAAATATCAAGTTGAACAGCTAATAACTAGCCAATCAACAGTGTCCTTTGCTATAACAACGCATTATAGTTTTTTCGACTATATGAAATGTGATAATCAGCCCGTACTTCCTAATACATTCTTGGAGTACGTTTCAAGGCGTTTCCAATGGTGCCGAGTAAAATAAATGTTTTGACTGAATTTATCGAGCAATTCAAGAAAATATGAAAAGCGGTTTTTGGCCAAAATGTCAAGATTTTGCATATAAAGGCCTCGCAAAAGTGGTTTCAGAGGTTGCTTTGGATCGAGAGAAACATTTTGATTCATGATATACCATAGTAAAAGTCTTCATTATCAAGGTCAAAAAACGCGATCGTTTGATTTTCAATGAAAACCATGAGGGGTATCTCATGCTTTTTGGTCGATTTTTGGCCATGTTTTTTTGGGTCCTAAAAAAAAAGTTGAGCAAAGATATCAGCAAGTAAATGCTAGATGAGAGCAATTATTTGGGGCTATTTTGGCAGCTTGAAACGGCTTCTAACGCGAGAAATCTGGGCTCAATCTGCAACGCTTCGCTTCATGGATTGCAGCTAATTCCCAGGCCTTTGGTCGACTGTTCAAGCATATCTGGTATGTAGACCATCTTGAATCTGTAAAGAACCAAGCAATCGGCAACTTGGTAAACGAGGAAAATTGATATGCATCGCACAACTGTCAAAAAGACGGCCCTCAAGATCTCCTCATCTACATATACAGCCATGATGCATATGAGCACTTTTTGTTTCTCTGTGGCTGATTGTGTAAAGGGAATAACAAGTCGTCTTGCCAATCAGCACGCAGGACTGGTAAGGATGAAATACACTTGTTAGTAGAAGCCCATGATTTTGACCAGACGTTTATGACACAACAATGCAAAATGCCATCATTACAAATTTGAAAGCAGCTCTTACTGTTTTCAGCACAAATGCCATGACGTTAAACAACAGCCAAGGCTTTCTTGTTTTTTTTTTTTTTTTTTTTTTTTTTCGTCATTTTCGTCTCATACATTGGCACTGTGTACTATGATTTTTCATTTTCTTTTTTTGCAACTATGCTGTCTATTCGCTCACTTAGTTTTATATTCTCGATAAAAGGTCTGATCTGTGTATCCATCATTGCGTTACTGGCATGGCTACTTGGAGGTTATCCGTCATGGCGACAAGAAAAATTAAAATCAATGAAAACAGACGACTCAGCAACAACGACAACAGCAGAGGCAGAACCTACGCCAAAAGATACCATCACACAAAACAGCACATCACCACCAGCAGAGAAACTGTCATTAGCTCATTATATCCTCGTAACACCATTTGCAGCATTCTACATTGTTGGTAGAGCCCTGTTTGATACCATCCGCTACAGCATCTATTGGTTCTTATGGAGCTGTGAAAGAACAATCCCTCATTTGGATGATTGGCTATTTGATTTCGTTACTGTATCAGTCCCTCGCGCTTACAATGCCACAGAACATTGGTGGACAGACCACGGCAAACCTGCCTGTCAACGCTATGCCACCTACACGCAACAGCATATCATCCCCAACACGGTGCATGGATTAGAGGTGTTTTTCGTGGGCACGTATCGAGTAGGGTGCGCTATTCAGACGGTCACCATGGAATTTGTTAATGCTTGGAGACGCTTTGTGGATCGTCATGATTGGCACCAATTAGCAATGGATTTAAGCCATGTCGCCTACAAGACATGTTGGGTACCTACTGCTTGGTTGGTCACTCGTACCACACGCTTATGTAAAATTACGTACAGTGGACTTCGCGCTATGGTGATTTCAATTGGCAATGATGTGCATTGGACCTGTACAGTGGCAATTCCATACGTTTACAACTACATTACATCGACACGAGTGGCTCAATGGGTAGGACATGGATCAGTCATAGTGTGGAAGGGTGTTGAGAAGAGTGGTGTCTGGATCAGCGACCATGTATTAGCACCTACTATTGGACGCTTATTGACATTCCTCGTACGGTCGATTGATAGCCTCATTCTTTTATTGCAACAACGCACCATCCAAGAGAAAGTTGAGCGCCTCTACCGTCTTGTGGCGCCCCATGTGGTGTGGGCGTGTATGGACAGTGTTGCTATAGCAAACGACATGCTCAGTGGCAGCTACCATGCCTATAAGGAACTGATCATGCCCACTTACGCTTTGTTTATGAAACACATCGTGCCCCGTTTAACGATCGCTTACAAAGCAGCAGCGACTAATTTAGTAGAATGGCACAACACACATCTTTATCCTGCATGGCTGGTGATTTATCCTTATTTGAACGTCCCATTACTCTGGATATACACTAATCTCACGTTGCCGGTCTATCGAGAAATGTATGCGCTAATCGCCACCATGACCCACTACATGACACAGTATTTGAGTGCTCAGCTCTGGACTTTGGGCACTAAATTAGTCGATACGAGTGCAGCCTATGCTACAAGCGTCTATAGTTTCATTCAGTACTGGTTACTCAAGCAGGCACCTGTTCTTGCTGCGTTTATTCAATCGTCGTATGAGAGGGCCACTCAATTATGCGATTGGCAGGCCTTATACCAAGATAGCCTGGCTGTGGTAGCAACAACGTATGATTGGGTTTCCAGACAATCCAATGCCATGTATGCCTCCCTGGAACGATCGCTAGGCGCTTGGGCAGATGAGCAACAACAACAACAACAACAGCAAGGACAAGATCAGGCATTGTCTAAAAAGCAGAAAATACAATAAATTTTTTTAGTGCTACTTTGATGTGTATCCACTTAGACCATGTACCACCAAATTTCCAATATATAAAATGGTATTTCTATTTAGTTTATATCGATAATGTCACAAAGGAATGCGCACCATTTATAAGCGATACATTAAATTTTTGGTGTGTATCATGCTAATCATATCAGATCAAACATAGAGAGTGGTGTCAAGGCTAAACGATATTCCCAGCTGATGACAGAAACCATGGTAATGTTTTGGCACAAGTAGCTCTACTCTTTTTTTTTTTTCTTGAGCATCTCAAGAGGACACGAATAGACAGCACGGGATGGCGTCTGTTGTTTAGAGGGTGCTCCTTGCGTCTGTTTGCTTTATAGTGTATACATATATATATATACACACAGAAAAAAAAAGCAAAATTGGCACTATTATAGTTTCAATTTCTGTTTTTTTTTTTTTTCAGTCATTGTTTAGTGCCACTCGAGTGAGAAATGGTCCACTATTCTACAATAGAATGGAAATCAAGTATTTTCTACAGCTAGGGAGTTTATTTTTATGTGCTAATGCACCAAACGAATCTAATCATTTAGTCTTGACTTGCTGAATGAATTCCAAATTGACATGAAACCGACACCTTGCTTCTAACGTAATAAACGGTGAATGTCTAACAACATATTTTGGCTTCAAAACCCCTCCTCACTTTCTCATAGGTGCTTCAGTATAGAGATAGACACACCAAAACAGTGCCTGAATGTATATTTATACACACTCAAGCAGTACAAGACTATGGAATTTGAGGCTGTTGATGTATATGATTGATAAATTTTGAATGACCCCACTTGCCGTAATTGAACTCTTCCGAAGCACCATAGGTTACAATTCGCTATGATTGGGACGAACAGCCAGCGTTTTAGCATTGATGATTTACTTTTTGGTCTTAGATGGGTCTTATTCCAATCACACCAGTCAATCAGGAGTTGTACAAAATTTAACATTTTGGGTAGGGGCTAATTCAACTGTATTTGGGAAAAAAAATGTGAGGGAACACCTCTCTCTGTCTTGCTTGATATTGGCTACACTTGCAGCAAGAGAGCGGGCAGCAAGGCTCTAAAAAAGAGCCCTTCAAAGCAAGGGAGAGCAGAAGAGGAGGAGCTTCAAGTTGATTATAGTATTAAATGTGAATCTCAAGCTTACCTTTTATATAAAATCTAGACCCTCACTCTATTTTTTTTTTTTTCTTGTAATTTTTTTTTTTTTTTTTTTTTTTTTCGCTCCAATTTCCATAAAACCCCTTTTTCGCTTTTTCCCTTTTGTCTGCAATAAAGTCAATCACATAATAACATACATACACACACAATTCAGAGGGTTTATGAACCTTTACTTTACCTTGTCTTGATCCCACAGCCATCACAACCAACAACATAATACATGCACAACCAAATGACAAGTCATCTTCATTGGCAGTCAAGACCAACTACTTCAACTCAATCGAGATTGCTCTCTTTACCCAAAGAGATCTTGCTCGAGATTGTATCCTCAGTTGCCATCGATTCCAACTCACTCTTCCCCATTGCACTACTCGAATTATCCCAATGCTGTAAATACTTATATCACCTTGTACATAAAGATCCTTGGAGACAACAAACACTATGGCCCCGTGCATTCCATCATCGATTCGACACTGGTGCCATCTATCGAAGACGACTGAATCAGCAAATGAACTGGCAACATGTCTTGGAAAGACGCTGCAGAGCACTCAATCAATGCAAGAAATTTGCCATCAATTCCAATAGAATTGAACTGCTCGACGCAATTGATTGGGAAGTCATTTGGGATGTCATTACCGAACATGATCAGTATAACATTCCTCACTTGATGAACTTCCATGTTCACTATGCTGCTGGTATTGCCTTTCAACTAGGCTCTTATCGTGATCGAGAAATCTATCCTGTGGTATTGCCCATCTTGTCGATACTCGTGAATTATGGTAAGTCGTCGCTAGCCACATCATGTATGTATCGCACAGCTAACCTGCTCTTAGATTTCTCAATAACTCGATTCTTCACTTCGGAAAATTCGGCCATCGTCTCAAACGAACTCTCCCAATTCGCATACAATTTCGAAGCAGATGCTCTTATAACACAACATACGCCATTACGATATTTCCATTCTTGGTCCTCCCCGATGGATCACCAACAACATCAACAAACCATATCCAATACATCATTTTATCCTGCCCAAGATCCACTCGCTTCTGCCTTCCATTTATTCTTCACCACCATCTTTGCCAATCATCCCAACATCTATCAAGCCATTCCTGGCTGCATCCCTATTCCACTCTATACGCTGACATCTGAACTATTCGACATCGAGTTCCTGAGACGCTATGAACGAAACTTGTTTTTCGCTAGTCTGCAAGAATCAAGACAAGGCTGGGAAGAAAAGCAACACCATGTGCCCTTCAGCCCATCGACCACCTCCCGTTTAAACAACATTTATGCTGAATCTGGTTTTGCCTCTGCTAGTCAATTCGTCAGTGAGGCACATCTCATTGAAGGCGAATGGATCGGTTACTATACATTCCAAGATCCTGACGATGCTGTTGCTGCTGAAGAAAACAATAGACCCATGACAACTGCCACCGCAACTACCACTACTACCACTACTACTGTTACCACTAATAATACAACAACACCCACTAATACAGCACTAGAAAATGCTTCAGCCATGGAAGACTGGTTCGACGGGCCTATGCGAATTACAATCAAAATTGTACCACTTGAAGATGCCTCTGGAGAGCCTATCAGTCAATCATCGTGGTTATCTCGTTGGCTGGATGACGAGACCCCTCAAGATGCCAATATGACAGAGCCAAGAAAGAGAAGAAAAACCAACAACAACAATCTCGTAGAAACCATTCAAAATGCTTCTTCCGCCTCCTCCTCTTCTGCTTCAAACCAATTCCCCTATAAGCATCTGAAAGCATGTCCGTTGACTCGATTCGAAGGCACTGGCGTTGACAATCTAGGTACATTCTCCATCACTGGTCTCGTTGACGATACCGAAGAGGGTCAGGTCACTTGGGAAAAGAACTACATTGATTCGGGTGAAACATGGGAGTATTCTGGTCGTTTCGCTTGGCCCATGGGTCTTTGTGGCAGATGGGGAGATGAAGAATATGGAGGCCCTTGGTGGATGTGGAAAGTGGCCGATAAAGATGCAGCATCCACCACCTCAACTGTAACAAAATAATACTTTAAGAAAACTATATAGCAACGCATACCCCCCCCCCTTTTGTAATTGTACACACACACTCTCTCTTCTTCTTCTGGTCAAGAAAATTAAACATGATTCAATAAGCTTCTTTTTACATATATATAACCATCTCTTCCCTGAATTTGGGTCGTAATTCGTACCACATTCCTTATTTGCGTGTCCTGTAGAATAAAATGGAACAACTCGAGTTGCCATGACAACATCACTGTCCAAATGTGTTAATTACCATCGCAATAAATTAAGGTTTTATTCGCGGATTTGTCAAATAATAGTGTAGTAGCCATTTCCATGACCTCCCTATCGAGATATTTTGTATTTGCTATGGAAATTACTTTTTTTAAGCCCTTGTACTCTATGGCAAAAATATGATCTGATTTTTTTTTTTGAAATGAATTCCTGGTGCTACCTCATCCAAATGATATATATATATATATACTACGCCTTTCAAGTTTCAATGGATCATTCAGGTCGAGCCTCTTGGTACAACGAGTCATCCATAGCAGCCATATACATGCTCAAATACCATTGACGCGATGGAATTGAGCAGTGCAATCCACAATGATGAATCGAACAACTAACATGTGCTATTGCTGAAGACAATCATGCTATGGGCTGGGACAAATGAAACAGGTGTTATTTTCAAATCTCGCTACGCAATTTTCCCTCTTTCTTTCTTTATATTAAAATGAATGTGATCAGATCGTTAGTGTCAGAGAATCGAAACCGATATATCGAAAAGGATGTGAATCTTGACTTGACCTGTAACGCGTGCTAAGCTTTTGTATACATGATAACCGTGATTGACTGCATATAATACATAGACATCACAAGTCGAATCATTGCCATGTCCTATCCTTCAGAAGGATTTGAGGGCCTTTACAGGAACCCGCTCAACCAAGTGAAAAAGTAATCAGACAACGATGAAACGGTGCTCTCCTATCTGATACCATCTGTATAATAGATTCCTCGATAGTAAACATGCAGGCCATTACAAAGTATACAACCTGTAAGTGGTATTGTTTGTAGCATGTCATCATCATGTATATGTAACCGTACCTCTCTAAGCCGTAAAGAAAAGCAATATGATTTGTCCCGTTTCGAGAATGGTAATATCTGAACATGGGTGCGATTACTCAAGTACTGATGTTGTGATTATAGCTGCCAACTTTCCGTTTCTGGATCATCAGGCACCTTCATTTGATACACTTGCTGGTTTTTGCATGGATGCATCGGCATGGCTAGACAGAGATAAAGAGAATGTAGTGGTTATACATTGTAAAGCAGGTAAAGGTAGGACAGGCACTGTCATTGCAGCTTTGCTGCTAGATATGGGTCAAGCCGACACTGCGCAAGAAGCCATTGACCTGTATGGCAAGTACAGGACCAAGAACCAGAGGGTATATACACTTTGCAATATGCAAACAGACAATGACTCACCTCCATGCTAGGGCATCACCATTCCTAGCCAAATCCGCTATGTGTATTACTATGATTTCATGAGGAGGAATAAGCAATTGTACTATGAGAACAAGAGCATCTCTATCAAAATAACTCAAATGGTGATACACGATCTTCCAGAGAGTCTAAAGCACAATAAGGCATTCGATTTACGAGTATCCAATACAGATGATGCAACAATCTATCAGACATCTTCTGGTCAGGCAAGTAATAATGTATAATCTACTCAGAAAAGGGCTAATATAGTAATCAGTGCTCCATTGACCGTACTTTGGATACGATTCTGATCCATCTTGCAAATCTGAATTCATTGACATCTGACTTTAAGATTTTGTTTTCAAATGTGAGTTCAATGCATTGATGATGATGCAGATATTTTGATCTGACTTGTTGTTGTATGTGAATTATAGGCTCAGGGCAATCCTCTGTTCAGCTTTTGGCTTAATCCTGCATTTATGTACATTTCTAATAACAGTGTCTTGTGCTTAAAAAAGCACGAAATCGACTTGGCTTGTCGAGATAAAGCCTGCAAAGATTTCAGTCGAGACTTCTCTGTAGGGATCACCTTTCATAAAGAATAGCACATCCCTCATTACTCTTGGCCTATTCCATCTAGATCCAAATCCATAGTATAGTTGTATAAAATCTTTAATGATAGAGAAAGCGAGTGTGAAAAGATTGAAGTAGGTTTATAGCGACAGAAAAAAAAAAGAGAGTGTGAGTGAATGCATTTATTCTTGAGATCTGAGACGAGCACCAGCGTTGATAACCTTGACATTCAATTGAGCAGCACGCTCCAAGAGAGCAACACGCTTCTTGGAAGAAACGTTGTGAGCAATTTCAGCAGCATAAGAACGGTTGTGCATCAACAAGAGGTTGAGTTCACGGACATTGGAGACAGTGAACTTGCGGAAACCGTTGGGCAAAAGATCACGGGTCTTTTTGGCAGAACCGTAACCGATCTTGGGCATAGGAGCTTGACCCTTGAAACGTCTACGCATGTTACAATCAATACCCTTGGGCTTTCTCCATGATTCCTATCAAAAAAAAAAAAAAAAAAAGCTTAACACATGCATGTCCAAGGTATATCTCGTTATGCTTATGGTGCATACTTACACCGACACGCATGAAACGGTTAGATTGGTGACGCTTGAAGGTAGCGGTACGCTTCTTGACAATGGTGTGCTTGACGGCGGGAGTAACCATACTGACTATCAGACATGAATCATGTTAATATATGTGTGCTGATCATTCTACAATAAGGTCGTCGATGCAAATTGTTTAGATGAAGGGGAAAAAAAAAATAGAGACACTCGCTACTGCTGGTATGCTTTCCAATCGCTATTCCAAGTAGCTGCATGCTGTTCTGCCTTTTCGTCCATATGGTATATTTCTGCCTCATCAAGGCGGTTGAATGCGAATGATTGAAAATAAAAAAGTGTAAAATTCGTCATCTAAAGCAAAATGCCTCTATTTCCCTCTCATCTATCGATTTGCAAACGGATGACTTGATATGTATGGATGTGTCTCTACCTTTTGCTAATGGATGCTAAGAGGAGGTCCTTTTGATCTGCTTCCTTGTACCATCATTTTGTTGCACTGTTCCATGAACCCAAATTTCAAGTTTGGGAATGATGTGTTTCTCCGGGTCGAACTTGAGCATGTTCCGGTTGGTTGAGTTGTCATATTAAAGTTTGCATGATTTATTCATCAAGGTGGTTGCATTGGTATAAGCACGTAAAAGAGTAACATAAGTATTAAAAAAATATAGATTATTGGTGTTTTGATAGATATTCTTGGCGTAGTTTTTGAATCGTCCCACTGTTCTCGTTCTTTTCATATAGTTTTTCAATGCTCTTAAGGAATCTATCGTCATTAGGAACCGACATGGTGGACCCTAATATTTCCATGCACACATCGAGATCAGACGCTAATAAGCGTGCTGTGCCATATGATTAGATCAAGCAATAACCCGTCTTGAGAGGCTCTTACCTTCATGCGTTTTCAGTAACGCCACTGCTACAAAGAAAAATACATCGTATCCGCACAAGAAATAGACATCCCAGATTCGCATGAGCGTGTGGTAGTTCACCACACCACCGGCAAATAGTGTAATGTACCATCTTGTAGAATAGATATCACTGGATAGACCTAGGTCTGTCTAAATCATTTACAAAGGTCAGTCGGTACACCATCAAGCCAATAGTAAAAAAAACGCTTACCAAATGTTGGTATAGTTTGGGGAGATATCGTTTCAACAATTGCTCTTGAATGTAGAAGCTCTCCATCAGCATGGGGAAGCCAGGTATATATAAATTATGCAATTTGTCCCGCAAAAACATGTGCACCAGCACTAAGAATGCTTTCTAATCCAATGCTATTAGTAATTTCTTCAACATGAGTTGTGCAAACATGATTTACCTCCTCTTCACAATACATGAGAATGGTTGCTACAATGTTGGTCATGCCCTGACAATAGCCAACCTCCTCGTCATAGCTAGCAAATGCTCGAAGTACATTGAACAACGCACGTTGTCTATACGAAATGAAGCATCAGCAAAAGAGAGGCCATGTTTGGTGGTTCTAAGTGTGTTTTACCCTGAGCCATACCGCTGTCTAAACATGATGTGATCTCTCAGGGTTCTAGGAATATCCAAATCTATTTGACGTTCATGCGAATTCTCTTTCAACAATAGTTCCTATGGTGGTTCTCTCATAAGTCCCTTGGAGGTTGCTGCATTGTTTGATTTATAAACTACCTGATATGTAGCCCTTAATTGATGATCATTTGTTGCATTTTTTAGGCAATCGGTAGATAAATAATACCATGCTTCTCTTCGCCAACAATCAGGGATGCCTTTGTAAACTCTTTTCTTGAACTTGTAGTTGAATACAAACTTGTGAGCGCTCTCCTGGTCTATTGTCACTGCAGTAGACATATTGGCCCATTTCTCTGCCCTTTCCACTTCTTTCGCCTTGGCTCTATATAATGTTGATCAGCATGTTACTAGGCCCAGCCCATGCAACTGGCAAATGCTCACTTTAGCTCGGATCTTGAGGGCTGTTCTTCCAAAAACCCATATCTATTCATTCGTTTGTTCAGCTTTCTTTGTGCCATGTGCTCTGGTGACCCATGTTACCTATCCGTCATGGCATACCATTTCTCCATTTCGGCAGCTATATCCGGGACTTTTTCAGGCCGTTGTTCGTATTGCTGCCTCAGATCTGAGTCCCTCTTGTTGTGTAAAGAGAGCTCTGACATGGATTTTCGAATAGGCGTGGTTTTTATGGATGAGTTGGTTGTTGTTGTATGCGTGAAATCAGTCTCACTTGAGCGAGTTGTGAGTTGCGAGGAATCTTGGCGAGGAATTGAGTTTTCTTGCTCTACTTGCTGTATAGCGTTCGACATGTCTATCCAAACAGTAGGTGGCGTCACATTTGCATCCATGTGTATCATGGCTTTGTTTTTTTTTTTTTTTTTAGTTGTGAAGGATATGTAAAGGAAAAAGAGCAAGTGATCTTGAAATTAAAAAAAAAAAAAAAAGAAAAGAAAAAGGGCTCTCTATTCAATTTGGCACTCCATTGTTGTTTTTTTTTTTTGCATGTCGTGGATAAAAGGGGGAACACTTGTTCAAATGTACAAGAATACTATATGGGATTTTATTTCAAAGGATTTCGTCTAATTACAATTTATCTCTTTTTTTTTTATTATTATTATTATTATTATTATTCCTCATCCTCCTCCTCTTCTTCCTCATCCTCATCGTCTTGCTTTAATGCCTCTTCATCCTCGTCTCCAGAATCTTCTGCCATAGCAGCCATCTCCATCTCGTGTGCTTTGAGTGCTTCCTTGGCCTTGTTCCTTAATGTCTTGTGGCTTCCCTCTTTGGCTAAAACTGTCAGTGGTCTACTGATTTCCTCCATGGGCACATCCAGATCATCGGCTTCCTCTAGTTTGGCACGAACATCATCCAGCACTTTCTCCAATTCTTCAAAATATAAATCAATCACATGGTATCTAATAGCATCAGGATTTTTTCTGTCGGTAGGGCTGTCGTCAAATAGATCAGTATGCAATCACCTTGTTCTCATTCTGCTTCACTCACCTCAAAGGACCCTCAATCAACATGTCAGTGTATGCTTCGAGATAGACTTGATCCCAAGATTCTCTAGCCAAGAATTGGAAAGAGAAATAGATCACACGACGCAAGAGCAAGTAATACTTGTCCAATCTAATTACAATGCATGAGACATTCCCTCCCTCTCTTTGCAGTAATTTCATCATTTTCATACCTGATTCTGTCTAACCCGTGCCATTCTTGACAGTGAATTTGCCAAAAAGCTTTTAAAAATGGAATGGCATTGGCAGCAGGCATCTCCATAACAAGTGCTCCGAGATCGTTCGCCAAAGCTTGTTGAATCAAAGGTTTGTCAGACATCCAATAGCCTGGAAACAATGTTAATTTCGCTTGTTGAGTCCACATGCTCTACAGTTTCAACATACAGTAAAAGAGGCCCTTCCAGAGTTTGATGAGCTCAATTTCATCTAAATTGCTACCGGTGGATAAGAATTTACGGAGAGAACGGATAGCTTTATCACGGGTCTTTTTTTCTAGATACATGGCAGTGTGAGCTGATGTACATTGTACTTTAGTAGGACATGGTCTGTACCGTTGGCAGCCAATTGCTTTCCAAGAGGAAGGTAAGATTGTTCGATTTCAACCATGTTGCTGTGTGTAGAAAAGATGTATGATTAATATTTTTTTGAATGAAAAATGCTTAAACAAATGTAAAGGATCGCATTAAGCCACCTCAAAAGATTTACAGTCAGTTTTGACATCTGGCAGAGTGCCTCTGTGGAAAATGTCCAATCAATTCACCCCCGGTTACTACTTGTTCAAGGTGTGGAGGAGGGAGGGGGCCACAAGTGTCTCAACCTCTTTTCTCTCCTCCACTTAATCACAAATGTTTGGTGCCTTTAGACCCTCATTAGTAGCCCAAGGTGGTTTACTTTGGTACGTTGCTTTATGCCTTTCAATGATATCAAATACTCATACCCATTATAGGAAGAATCCTTTTCGCATGTCAGCAACTAGAAAAGCAAATGTTCGCAAGAGACTCAAGGCAGTCGATGATGTTATTGCTACTGTAGCCGAATCTGGTGTCAAATGCAAGGCCTTGGATGAAGCACTTGCACTTCCCAAAGAATCAGAAATGCTTGCCAGAGATAAATACACCGTATTCAGCCGCAGTGCTAATGGATATCGTAAATCTGTTCACAAAGTACCCAAATTCACTAAATTGACAAACAGAACCAGCCCTCCTGGTTTCTAGAGTCTCCCTCTCTCTCTCTGTATCAGTAGTATAGAAGGATAATAAAACTGTAAATAGATAATGATATCGTTGCTGTTTTTCGGTTTGATTTGAATGTCAATGTAAAAGTTCATTGGAATGGATGTGTAGAGGGTACTGAGCATGTTGAATGCCGTCAGTCAATCAATTCTGTGCATCTTTTAAGCAAATCAAATGGCATGTACTTGACCATAGAATGGGCATGAAATACCACAGTATGCTGACAATTCTTGGATGTACGCATGGCGTAACTGTTGATTTTTGATGTCTTGTTTAGTCCGGTTTGCATTGAATAGCTTGACATGTAAAGACTATATCAAAAGATATCAACATGATTGATGACCTGCCATTCCCTATTCTTGGGCTGAATATGAGACCACTGTTAATCATCCTTTTTTCGTTCAAAATATCGATTTGAGAGGCACTCTATAGTGCTTAATAATGGAGAGAGGGCAAGCAGATGGTAAATACAATTCTCTTTGATTGACTGAATTAAAGAAATAGATTTCTAAAAGCTACATTCACCGTACAAATAAAGATATCAACAGGGTTTAACATCCCTTGATACTCATGAAATATATTCTGTATTCATTGCAGATGCAGGAATGAGCCAGAGTGTGTTTATTCTTCAACTCTCGCCCAGGATAGATGAGTGACATGTTCTCCACACAAGTACCAGCCCTGTCTTGGATTCTCTGCTTCAGGTTTGCGATTGTTCCTGTTTGTGGTAAGAAAAAAAGCATCATGGTTCTTGTGATAGTAGCTACTACCACTTCCATACCTACCCTCAGATAAAGGAATAAATCCGGTCGAATAGGGCGATGCAACAAGATATGGTCATTTTCCAAAGCTTTGTTATGCAAATACAGGTGTTGTTGGCCCTTTGGGATACCCTCTCTCTATACTAGATTTTCTGCTTGAGGCTTTCAATGTATTCTGTAAGCACGGCGTCAACTACAATAGTCTTGGCAATGGCTGTTTGAATGAAAAGTTGCATTTAAAGATGATTGTTTATGAGAAAGAATGTAAAACAAAAAAAGCGAAAGAATTATGCTTCTATATTCATAGAGTGTTGTCTCATCATTGCATGAGAGGATACTGATGTGATAAAGCGTACAATTTAATTAATATACGGCCTGTTTCTGGCTTGAGGTTTCAAGTCAACATAGGTCTAAGAGTGTGATGTGTCTATCATGATCAGGTAAATGGACTTGTATTTAGGTTTACAGATGAATATAGGTGGGAGTAAAATGAATTGGAGCATCACTGATACATACGAAGAAGTTGGTCAGTTAAAGCCATTGATACACTCATTATCCTATAGTAAGCTGCTGCAGTAATATATAGCTGTTCATCCTCGTATAAGCATCCATTCATTCAATCATCATACACAGCATTGTATGTTTCCACGACATACTGTTCTCAGCTATCATGTTGATCGTTGCATTTACTTGATCCACCACAACCCACTTACTCAAAACACAAGAAAATATCGCTCACACCACAGTTAATGGTTGCATCCCAAACCAGATCAAAAAATTGAATCGATACAGCTAATGAATTAATATAAAGACCTTGATTCAAGTAATGATAAAATTGAGTCATACAGGAATGCTTTGAATAGCTTCATTATTGAACAGCACGCAAAATCTTGAAAGTTTATATCATTCAAACATTGTTGCAAACTCGATGTACCCAATTCTACTTCATTAAATTTCGATTGCAACTAAATGTTGAGAAGTGCCCTGCAATGCACAACTAGTAGATGCATTCTCTTCCCAGAGTCGCAAACATTAGCCAGAAAGCACTTGGTGAGGTAGAAAAATATGCTTAAACGATTGAATATATTTACCTTAGAACAGTCTCAAATATAACGTAATCTGTAGAAGAAATTTTTATGTAGGACTGATAAAATTATAAATTTCTGTTTCACAGGCGGTCGCTTTGTCCGAGTGGTTAAGGAGTGAGACTTGAAATCTCATACGCTTTGCGTGCGCAGGTTCAAACCCTGCAGGCGACGATATATTTTTGCAGATTTTACAATAGCAGTGCATGTAGACATACAGTCTTTGCTGAGTGTAGTTATCTCTATACGTTGTTACAAATCGACTTTGGTTTTTGTAACTGAATCTCTCTTTTTGCTCTAATTACCTACACTATTGTTACAGGCGAGTCGGTAGTAGTGGATATAGTTTTGATAAAAAAAATATGAAAGAGATAGTAAATTAGCCAAAGCAGATCTAACTACCAAATGAGCACCAGGTTTATAGTTGTCCAACTAGAATAAACAAATAAACAGAAGTAAAAGTAGAAAATAGAAAGTAATACAGAGATGTATATAAAAGAGTTCACAATGAATCGATTACACTATATGGTATATATAAAGAATTCAAGGGATCTTACAAATAACAGATGTTTGATATAAGAAAAGAAGTAAATATTGTAATGAAATAGCCACCCAAACGCAGCTTGATTGAAAACCAAAATTCATCAAATAGCACTCATTCAAATCCATGATATTCGAATCTATTAATAAAGCGCTCAAATGTGCAACATCAACAACCATTTAAACATACTAGAGTAAAGATACACCACGCTTCAATCGCACATCGTGTGAATGAATCACTCCTGATCACAATGTATTCAATTACACCCATGATGGTCGTAATAAGAGATGTTATCTTTATCCAAATAAAATCAAATCAATAACAAGCATATTCAAATATGACAACTATGCCCTGCTTCCATAGTTGCACGATATCCCAGATAAAGGGTTCCATACTTCAATAACAAACGTCACATTTTAAACCATCAAGGTTACATTAAATCATGCTATGACGATAGCTCACCCAAGCCCATCAAGGTTACTCAAATCGACCTTTATGGCCAGTGCTCTTGCATTGATTACCACTTAAAATCAAACATCAACAACATTTGCCAGATATCGCAATAGCAGCACCTATTGCTCTCTAACATCATTAATCCTACAAGCTAGTTGCAAATGTATAAATACTCTTCTTTTTTTTTACTCAATTCCAGGATCTTCAGTTCATTTTATACACAAATAAAATACAGTTGATTTCTATTGTATTTTACTATTGCTTTATTTTTTTTTGTGAAATCTATTCAAACCTGATTTCACTGCAAATATAACTGTAGAATACATCCACTATGATCTGCATTTCGACAGTTCATCCAGTTACCAGATTTAGATATAAACTGTATGTACACTGGATTAGATGTACGATATCGATTTATACTATAAGAAGATATGGACTTCAGATACGCTAGTACTATAAGATTCATACTATATAAGATATAGGCTTTAGATGGCACCACGGACATGGTTGGCGCTATAGACTTATACTTGTATTCCGACATTGACTACGGATGTTTACCATATCTGGATAGGCACCAAGATTAATGCAATATGAGCTTGTTGCTTCAGATGTGCACTTTATGATCCACGCTATAAGACACATGCTTATATCCGTGATACTAGCTACAGATACTTTATGTACTACAGACTTGTACTATATATGAGACATGCATACGATATGCTATAGACATGCCATATATCCAGATACATGCTAAAGATGTATGCTTAGCGATATACACTCAGATATGTACTATTAATATAGACTAAGAAGACTGTACCTATCGGATACATGCTGCTAGATCGATATTAATTATCCTTATAGAAAGGATAGATCAGGGTACTTTGGATGAGAGTCTAATTATTCATCCAGGCAAAGCTAAATCATGATTAGCTTGCTGGAGTTGACTTTTAGCATGATTAGACATTAGTTGATCTGAGTTGACTTATTTGTCAATCTAATTAATAGAACTTTTATCTATTGTTATAGTATATAAGAAGGATCATCTACCTGGCCAGTAGAGAGACTTCAGTTCACTTTACACCTGTCAGTTTGATAATAAAACATACCTTTATCAAGTTGACTTTACTGTTTTTTTATTCTTTTTTTTTCCGTGAATTTTAGTCTATCAAGCCTCAAATTCCACATCTTCAACGGAATCAATGATTTTTTTTACGGATATTGAACCGTTTTCTGTCGTCTTTTCTTCATTTAGCGCCCCATTTTCTTCTAATTCTTGAACAGACCAGAATTCATCTCGACCTATTGTCCACTCGTCCCAAAGATCACACACAGTTGTCACTTGTCGACTCATTTTGTATAACGGTACACCTTCTTGATTGTATGGAAGTGAAATAGTTGCAACTGCGGTGTTGTTATAATCTGGTGGTGGTGGGCTTTGTTGGGCTTCTTCCGAAAATTGTTTTGATTGCGATACATCTTCTGACCTTGGCAAGGCAGAGGTATTTGCGACAGCGCCTGTTGTCGCTACTGCTTGGTTCCCTTGGTCCATCCTAAAAGACAGTTGCAGTTGCTGCTTTCCGGTGACTATATTGTCAAACACTTTTTGCATTTGCTGCTGGATTTCATCCGACTTCTTTTGACGTTCTTTCAATTCTCGCATTGTATTTGCTATACTTCGGTTGATGCTGGAAAGCTGCTCTTGTACCTCAGGAGTAAATTTTTCAATAATTAATGAATGAGGCACTTCATTTTCTTCAACGTGAGATTTCGCTTTTCTATAAACAAAACAAAAAGATCAGACACACAGTTTTCATTTTGAAAAAAAAAGCTTTATAACTTTGAAATTTTAGAAAGAGTGGGTTTCTGAAAATTTCGTGTCTCCGAATAGTGTGTTCAGGTATTATGTCCATCATCACAGCTGCGTCTTGTAAGAAAGTCGTCTTGAAGCATTTAATCAAAAGCAGAAACTTTTCGGCTGAACCAGAAGTTTCTTGAACTGTCCCGCTTGAATGTCGATCATACCAATAGTCAACCCAGGGAAACACCAACTGCTTCAATCTGTCACATGGCTCCTCTATAGCCCTAGGCAAGTAATAGCTAGCATCGCTTTCAAAGCCGGCCATAACGCGCATGAATTGGCGAGGAAGAGAATCAAGGTAGGAGTTTGACATAGTATTAGTGTTCCAACGGCCCATTCGTTGAATCTGCTGCGAAGGAATCCCAAGTAAATTGGCCATTTTTGGAGCAGAACCCCGTGGAACATGAGTGACTTTTTTTGCTACAAAGATGTCTGCTGCAGCTAAGGCCACTTTCATGAACTTGGTATGAGTTGTCTTTGAGATCGAACATTCATATGGATTGCTGCTTATGGTTCCCTGCTCATCTTCGCTTGAGGCATCATCTTCGTCATCTACTCGAAATAAAATAATCGCAATTAAAAAGTAAACACTCGATTTGCTATTACAAAAAAATCAGCTGAAGTTTACCTCTGGCTGGCTCTTTTCCTTTCTTCTTCTTTTCTACTTTTGCTGACTGGGGCCTAGCGCCATGAACTACACGAAGCTTAAACCAGTTTCCGTTTGCGCTCATATCAGGGAAAGACTCCTTCTCGCAATGCCACCTCCAAAAGAAATGGAAGCTCATCGCCATAAATGGGCATATCTCGACTGATTTGTTACGCATACATGCGCCTGTCTGGGTCTTGTTGAATTTGTTTGTCTTCCCTTGTTGATTAAAAATCATTAACATAGCTGGGTAGCTGCCATCGGATTGCACCTTTGCCAATTCTTGAAAACGTAGATCTGCAAACTCGATATTTCTCACAGATTCTCCTCGAAGCAACAGATAGTGAGACATCAAAAATGCAACCACGTTTCGAAAACTATACTTCTAAAAGTCCTCTTCATTGCTTTAAATGCACTTCGAAATGGTCATTACTTCTTCCTTGGTTGTATAGCCATTTGCCATAGAGGACGTAGCACGATCGACATTGTTTTTTGCTTCTCTCATTCGAACTACTTTCAGAAGCTGCGTGATAACTTTGGTCCTGGGAGATTCGTTACTGTTGCTACCCATTAATCGCTGGTAGTTCCAAAGAGCCACTATTGCTGAAACGTATACATTGCAAGTACTCTAGAACTATTTTTTGTGTATTGCGTCAGTTTTGTTGATTTCACTAACTTCTTCTTCAGCACTATTGCCTAGTGCTTTGATATGTTTTGTACCAGACTTTCGAACTTTACGGTTGATTACCTTTACATATTTGTTTAGTTTTAAGTGCTTTTTCTTCTTTAAAAAGCTTTTTTTGTTTATCTTTTCATACAAAAACGCAAGTAGCTTGTCGCCAGTTGCCTGGTGGCGTGTGGCGAGAGGTCGATTCGCATAGCGCATCTCGCAAAACCGAAGAAATTCTACTTGCTTTACGCAATAGGATTTGGAAGTGTTGTATCCGCGGGCGTCTTGGATATCTTGATAGGCTTTGTCTTTAGTAGACATTTCCTTTTGGTCCAAAACTCTTTCTGATATGCGGCCGCTGTTCTCCACAAATTTTGCAAAAGGGTCTTCGCCAGTACCTGCTTGATTCTTCTGATGTTTCTTGTCAATCAAGCTTGCGAAATGAGGAATATGGTCCCTTATCAACTGCGCATCGGGTGATACATTCACAGATAATTGGCGGTTTGTGCCTCTTGACTGAGAGCTTGTTCCTGGTTCTTGTTGGCGGGGAGACATTTTTAATTGTTCTTGTTAATATATAGTCTTGTTACTTAAAATATTACTGAGAGATGAAATACTGCAAAGCAAGCTGTATTTATACACTTTCAATTTGGTTTCAAAACGAGTATCTAGAAACTACTACGCATCAAAACGGAAATGGTATGATAATTTGCATCAATGACAGCCTAATGCTTGGTTTAAACCGAATTCCAAATTACTGCTCATCAGAAAATTGATTAAATTTCAGGAACATAAGTACAAACTAAAAGCGAAAAAAAAGTTCTTTCAGGTGTTAATAACAAAAGAATACATATATTTTTTATGATAAGGCCTTGGATAACGCACATATCATTAGAATGTACTAAATCCTAATATTTTTTTATGTAAATGTCAAATATACACACTTGGAACGAAACTGGAACCCCAAGATCAATAACAATTGTTATTTGACAAAGTATTGGCTGATAACAAAAATTATCACCCATATCGGGTTCCAATTTTGCTGGGAACCCAATTTTTTTTTGGAACCTTCAAAAAAAAATAATACTATATATTATCACTTCTAGATACGAAGAAATGTCGATAACGTCTGCTCTCAATTTAGACATTAATTCTGTTATTCTGACAACAGCACCAGATTGTCTTTGAGCCTGCTGAACATCCCAAACATGTAGTTTATAAGAAACCCATCTGGCTTTGGTTTCTAAAATGGCTGTTGGCAAGATATAGTTTTCAAGCCCTGATACCATCATATTTCACTTTCCCTGACAATCAGATGTATTACAGTAGAGCAGACGTAGAGTACGCGATCATGAACAAAGATCAAGTAACATCTGAACCACTACTTGGTATTTCATTAACAAACGAAATTTACAAAGCCAACGTGTACTAATCTTCGAAGAAGCTTTTATTCCTCAAGATTATAACGCGAGCGCGCTTCAGCAACTTGCTCCTGGCTGGCCGTACCTTCCAATGTCGAAAACAGAACTTGATCCTTCTCTTGATTTCAAATTCATTAAAAAAAAAGAAAATATGAAAGCAGTGAAGTAAAGAAAACAAGGTCTCCAAGAACGATCATTTTGTCCTCTTATTGCTATATACAATAACATGGTCTCCTCAGGAGGGTTTTGCTCAATCAGAGCAGCATCAACCTTTTTAAAGATGAGCAACCAGTCTCCAACCTTGTCGCAGAAGTTCATTCCAAGATAGCGCTTGTTGTAGTTGCTCATGTTTAGCTCCGTTTGGTGGCGAAAGCGAAGCGTGTAAAATGCAAAGCACATTCGAAAGATCTGCATCTCGGAAATGGGAGGCTTCTTACTCTTGGTGCGCTTCAATTTAAAATCATTGATTGCTGCCAACAAAGCTTGCCAGATGTTCTCCTGATCATCTTTAAAATCGTTGACTATCTGGTAGGCCTCATCACGCAACTTGTTTCTTCTTTTGTTGTCGTTTTTCTTGTCTTGCTGCTTTCTTTTCTTTTCTTCTTGAACTTCTTCTTCCTCCATTATTTGCTGCTTCTTCTGCTCAATTTCCTCGGCAGTAGGGCGAACATCAATTGCTTCAGAAGCTACTGTTAGGGCTGCAGCATTAGCGGCTTTGGGCTTAGTGCCTGCCCGGTAGCCGGTTGTCTTGCGTTTTGGGGATGCTGCAGTAGTGGTAGTATCTGATGTAATACCTAGTTGGAGAGCAGCTGATCTGTTGCGTGTTGTGGGTGACATGGTATTTATGAGGTGAAAAGTGAGCTGTATTAACTGAAGTTGTTTCGTTAAAAGAGATTCAAACGTTTAACAGTTGTCAACAGTTGGGGTCCCTCTAGATGTGGGAGATGCTATGACCTACAATCACTACATGAAATGGATATAACTAAGTATTAAGGTCTTTGATAAGTGGTTTGAACAATTGCAATCGAAGTAAAATATGATGTTCCATGGCAATCATTATAGATTGCAGTATATAACAAGGGTATGGTATTCAAATCCATAGGCCCATGGCACAAGATACTCCATGCCTATGGTAGCTTGCTCCATACTTACGACACTTTATACTCCATACCTGTGGTGGTACCCTTTTCCATACTTATAGCACTTTATACTCTATACCCTTGGAGCCGAGTGTCATACTTACGGCATGTTGTCTCGTAGGGAACAGAATGCGGTAAATTTGCTCGTGTCTCTATCGTGCCAATATGAATGCTTTAGTCCTATTTTGTCATTGCTCTACGTTGCCCGCGATATTTGTTTTTGTAGCTATCATTTGTGCAATTCTTGACTGAAAAAAGAAAGGTAAAGGTCAAAGATCCAACACAATGCTACTTGGTGTATGTGATATTAAAATAAAAACAAATATTTACTGAATTTTTGGAAGAATATTATTTCAGTTATCATCTTCATCCCCTTTATCGTTGCCCTTATCTTCATCACTGTCATCATCATCAGCTCTCAGCATTTCAAAGTAGATGGTTTTGTCCTCAAAGCCCTGAAGCAGTGTATCCATTGAATTATCGCCGTCATAGACATCGAAGGACGTCTTCCCGTCACGAACAATACCAGTGGGCCATCCAACCATCTTCACGCCCAAACTACGCGTCTTCGCGTCATTGAACAAAGACAGCCAAGGAACACATTTGTATTGTCTTCTGCTAACTTCATCTATCCTCAATAAGAATAGCAATTCTATTTATTTAAAGATTACATGCTATCACACTTACTGAAGGCTGCAGAGACTGCAATCTGCAAACTTTTCTTCATATCCGTCTTGGTTCGCTTTCTTACTGGCTCATGATCAATGGCAGGAGAGGTGATAACAGCGGCATGGGAGATGATAGCAGCAGAGTGAGCAGATGGGCCGCGTAGCTTTGCTGGGACCGGCAATTGCTTAGAGTTGGGAGCGTAATCTGGCACTCTGGAGGCGCTGTTGATGTCCTCTTCATCTTCATCATTGTCACCACTACAATAACTACGATCATTGTCGTCTCCATTGTCACTTTCATCATAACTGCTGAAAACGCCTTCGGAATCAGCCTCAGCATTTTGATCATCCTCGTTCTCATCGCTCGTGTCAGTATCAGTACCAATGTCATTACCAACAACGTCAACAAAAGCGACATTGACAGCATCAACATCCACATCAGATTCAACAAGAGGAGTCACCTCAGCCTCATCGGCCTCAGCATAACTGTCATCCTGGTCACCAAAAGCCGGCAAATTGATAGCTGCAGGCAAGACAGGATAATGCAATTGCTTGCGTTTTCTTGTCTGTCTATGAGGAGCGGGGGCAATCCTTTGTGCTTTAAAAATCGATTATCAGAAATGATGAGTTTTGCTGTGCCAAATGTATTTTCCAAATCATTTACCTTCAATAGAACGCACTACAGAGTTGCCCAACACCATTCTTCTCAAACAGCTTACGATTAAAAATGTTGAAAGTTTAGCATTGACAGTATTGACGCATTTCGCTGTCATAGCTATGAATCAATGTGCAATCAATTTTTTTAGACTCTACATTGTACCAGCGAGACGTACAAGAGTATTTAACTGAATTACTATACAAGCCTGAAGGATACAATTCCTCATGCAAAGTATCAGTGTACGTTATCAAAAAAGCATGGGTGTTGTAGTTGGTCTTCAAATACTTCAGATTGTTGTTCATTTTCTTCATATCATCTTCAAATTGCTCGCTTCTAGCAAGTAAAGAAGGAATTTCAGCATTGTTTGTGGCGGCGGCAACTGACTCCAACCGCCTTCTTTCATTCTCTCCAAGCACGCGGTACTCGGCTGAAGTCAGTGCGGACAGCTCGCCAAAGGACAATTTCTTCTCCTTAGGCCTAAGCTTGTTTTTGGCAGCCATCTCTGCCATAAACCCCGACCATTCAGTGGCTGGAGAGCCTTTCAACATCTCTATCTTGCCATGGAATTCGTCCAGCCTGTCAATGAACAAGTTGCCACAGACGAATCGGCGAGCCTTGTCTTCTGAAAGCCTGCGGCTGTTGTCATCGCTGTTCACGAAGTCGTCAACCAATTTGTTGACATTGCGGAAGAGCTCTTTTAATGAGCTAGTGATCTCTTGAGCAGTGGGCGAGTATTCAGGCAATGACATTTTAGTTAATAAAATTAGGAAGAAGGAAGTTTGAATTGCGTTACATTGACTCTATTAAATGATCTTTCCTGCATTCTGATACGAATGGTTACAATTGCTCGTCACATTAAATCTAAGGTTTACGGTTCCCCTGATTGCAGAATAAAGACTGACGATTGATAACATTGGATTAATTCCACAGGTTGGATCCAATTAAGCGATATCAAAACATATATTCTGCTTATTCATATCATATATGGAAAAAAATTGGTACAGGCCATCACTAATGAAACCACATCCACTGGAAGATCTCATCAATGCTTGCATTTCAAATATCCTGGACACTGATTTATATCAGTGGGACGATATCGCCCCTCACTTGACAACTCATAATGGTCAAATGATGAAGAGCTGCGATAATGACATGACTTAATCATAGCTAACTATATATTGCACTGTCCTGAGTATTCTGCCTGAATAATGCGAAAACTCTCGAATCTAATCTTTCATTTGATACAGTCGATTATATTATAAAACTTACATCCCCAAACTAAATCTTTGAAAATCATACTACCTCGCTATGATTATCAAACATGGCCAACATATTATCCAGATGGCAGAGCATTAGTCTTACAGCATACAACGCTAAAAGAATTACACAATACTTATCAAAATGTTCGAAAACTGAGTAAATCGTTGGTTCTCCATACGCGCCTTTTTTGTGTCATATTTATGGATTATAAAGGATGAGAACAAAAGGCATACTAAGCCCCAGGAGCTGAGACGTTATTCTAGACCTAATTATAGCATTGTAGAGAGTGTGGAATTTGAGGCTTTACAGACTAAAATTCACGGAAAAAAAAAGAATAAAAAAAAACAGTAAAGTCAACTTGATAAAGGTATGTTTTATTATCAAACTGACAGGTGTAAAGTAAACTCGAAGTCTCTCTACTGGCCAGGTAGATGATCCTTCTTATATACTATAACAATAGATAAAAGTTCTATTAATTAGATTGACAAATAAGTCAACTCAGATCAACTAATGTCTAATCATGCTAAAAGACAACTCTAGCAAGCTAATCATGATTTAGCTCTGTCTGGATGAATAATTAGACTCTCATCCAAAGTACCCTGATCTATCCTTTCCATAAGGATAATTAATATCGATCTAGTAGCATGTATCCGATAGGTACAGTCTTCTTAGTCTATATTAATAGTACATATCTGAGTGTATATCGCTAAGCATACATCTTTAGCATGTATCTGGATATATGGCATGTCTGTAGCATATCGTATGCATGTCTATAGCATGTCTCATATATAGTACAAGTCTGTAGTACTACATAACGTATCTGTAGCTAGTATCACGGATATAAGCATGTGTCTTATAGCGTGGATCATAAAGTGCACATCTGAAGCAACAAGCTCATATTGCATTAATCTTGGTGCCTATCCAGATATGGTAAACATCCGTAGTCAATGTCGGAATACAAGTATAAGTCTATAGCGCCATCCATGTCCGTGGTGCCATCTATAGCCTATATCTTATATAGTATGAATCTTATAGTACTAGCGTATCTGAAGTCCATATCTTCTTATAGTATAAATCGGTATCGTATATCTAATCCAGTGTACATAGAGTTTATATCTAAATCTAGTAACTGGAGGAACTGTCGGAATGCAGATCAGAGAGAATGTATTCCACACTGTCAACATTTCATGACAGAATTATGCCAGAGCTTCGAGCAAAGGCTCATTCGATAGGAACTTTTTGGTCAATAATATTTAGTAATGCGTAACATAATGTTTTGATGACAGATACTGATTAATCTTTTGAAAACAGTCAAAAAATCGCCAAATTTATCTCATCAAATATCAGTTGAACAATGTACATCAAACACTCGATATGGATACCATTGAATTCTGCTTTGAATTCTGTACAAGTTTCATATAAGTTTGAAGGGGTGTTTACTATCAAGAAACGCGTCATTTTGAGGTCGATAGATTTCGGAATCCCATGGATTCTCATTCAGAACAACAGAAATTGAATCTCCGTTGAGCTTCCGCATGTGTACACCACACGAGTATGCATTTGACCAAGCATTTTAAAAATCGGAGCGTACGAAAAGGGCTGTATTAACTTGTCATCATCTTCCAGTTAACAATAGATATTAATAATGCGTTGAGATGGTACTGTTGTGAGTGGTCATGTTCATATGGAAACTGAATCCAGGGTTCCACAAGCAAACAAGTAAACACATCAAACCGCATATAAATATCCTCCATATAAAATATCAATAAAAAGTAGTTCTTTATACCCTGGCGAAGATTTATTTTTCTGTTTGGTCTCTGTCCTGCCACCATAGAAATAGTATTGATTTGTAATAGCTACTAGACGTGAAGGAACCTATCTAGTTGAATAAGCGTATTTTATCTAAAGCACAGGTAAATTTACGCCCCGTAACCGAGCCCTCGAAGCAGTATAGCCAGTTGAGAGATCACCTCAGTCGATATGTTTCATATAGTGTAGGTGGATTTTGACATCTTGACATTGCGAAGATTGAATCTATTGTAGTTCCTGAGGCGTCTATGCACACACAATTGACTGAGCTTGTAAGCATAGATGAGCCATGGCACAAAGCTTGAGAGTTGGGTGTATTTGTTGTAATTTTCCTTGCTTTGCAGCATTTGTCTTGATTTCAATGAAAATGAAAAATTAGATTTTATTAAATTTGTTCAAGATATATATATATAAGTAATAGATAAAGTAAATTGAAAAAAGATGTTATGGCAACAGATTGTCCATTGGATACTTTTGATCAATGATCTGAATCCAGTGGATCATGTCTTGACGAGTTCCCGATTGTAGGGTATAGGCATTGTTATTGGTATAAAGAGCAAACACATTTGTGCGCTATTCACAAGATGTTAGCATCCATCGTGTTGATTTTATCCGCTTTATGAGAGGAGCCCTACCTGAATCATCTTTTCCAGCGCCTCATTGTAATCAATGCGAACAGAGGCTACATTGATAACACCCTGCTCATCTGATTCCGTGTCGTTGGAATAAATGTATATATAAGGACGTCGAATTACAAACCACCGTTTCACCCATAAATCCTGCGCCGCATCTTCTTGATATAGTAAATACCCCTTCTTTGAGATGTTGGCTCTGTTTGTGTGTACGAGGAATGTTATGAGCATGTTAGATGCATTGTTCTATGTGCGACCAGAGTACTTACGATTGAGTGATCAATTCCACTTCGGCAATTAGCTTGGATATAGACAATGGTTCTTGCACCAACGGCATGATAACATTGTTGGCTTCAATGACAAGGGGTGGTGGATCTTGACTGATGACAATGTCCTTGTCTGTGCCTAGTTTCAGCTGCCACAAATCAATGACTTTTCTTAGCAGCAAAGCTTGTTTTTCATCATTATCAGCAGCCACAGCCACAGCTGTCTCGGAGGACGAGGAGAGCGACGATGGAGACGATAAAACAGCATTCTTTTCCGCTTCTCTCAATACCAACACTTGTCTCGTGAACGCCACTTGGTTCTTGCGCTTGATGAATTCTTGAATATGCGTGAAATCATTGATCAACGACACACCACGGGGTCTCCAAGAGCCTAAAAACTCTTCACCGTGCACATACTTGGATGCTGTATTTAGTCTCCATAGCTGGCTCAAGCGTCTTGTCATGGGTGGCTTCAAATGGACCAAAAACACACCGCTGTATTTGCTGAGCTGTTTACCGCTTGGATATAACAACTTTCTAAAGCTGCTAAACTTGCCTCCGCCGGTGGACCGGTCTCTGCCTTGAATCTGTAGTGCAATATCCATGTTAAACTGTACAGGCTTCTCGCATCGTTCAGCTTCCACTTCCCATCTCAAGTTGAGTATGACACGGCTGTTGAGATCTGTGAGTCGATTCAAAAAGATACATTCATGCTGCGAACTGTCCCAAGCGCCTTGAGCAATGATGCGACTGGTGCCATCTGAATTGTAGAACACTTGCTGCTTGCTGAGCAGTTTGATGGGTATATTCTCCTGTGCTGGAGACTCCAGAATACGACCTTTGCTATCGAGTAGTCGCACATGGCCTATCGATGCCTTTTTGATCCTAGTCCATTCAAACTGATGGCCAGATGTATGCGATAATGTAAAGCATATTCGTCTCTGTAATCCTTGTCGTAGCGTGAAATAGCCTTTATCCATGGGGCTTTTGGACAATAGTTGCACTGGTGTGTACTCCCCTGAGGGAGACAGCTCTCTCACCTCTATCCAGGCTACAATGTCATGGCGCTCTGCAGTCAGTAGCTCTTCTTCTGATCTGCGTTCTAGAGAGGCAATAGTGGAATCACTACTGCTGCTGCCCGAAGATGACTTGACAGAGGTGTGGTCGTTTGAATTTATTTGTGATTTTTGCTGTTGTTGTTGTGCTGCGAATAGATCCACTAGGCGAGGTCTCTCTCGCTGATCGTCCCATCTCTCTTGCTGTAACAAAACTCTTGGTTGCGCTTTTCCAAATACTTCGAACGGAATATAGCCATTTTGCAGTATCTCCAACACATTGGGAGTGACAGTGAGCGAAAGTGTCTGTTTGAAGCCGAGTTGGACAGGATTGCTTTCAAAATAGTTGGCTGGTTCAGTGGCAAAGATTTTTTCAGCAGGTGAATGAGAAGCAATGCCGCCAAATGACGACAGCTTGAACTGGACATGGACATCTGTAAACTCGGATTCCTTGATGCCGCTGAACTCCATCAATTGTATCTCAAACAAAAGGTTTTGGCCACACTGCAAGGTTGTTTGATCGTCTTCTTTATCCTCCTCCTTGTCCTCGTCTTCGTCGACTTGCTCGTCGTCGTCATTTTCGGGAAATGTAAGCGGGTGATGATGGTGATGGCTGGTGAGTGGCAATGCCATGCTATCATTGACAATAGCAGCAGATCGAGCAATGGGTGACACCAAGATTGCCAGCTTACCGCGTACTTGTCCTGTGCTGTGGCAAATAATTTCTACTGAGCTTTGATAAGGTTGCTGTGATATTAGATTGCGCAGAGAGAGGGAGGCTGCACCGATGAACGTGTATTTGGGACACGGGTTTTCAAAGAAGGGATCTTCCCAGTTAAAATGCTTTCTGTACAGTGGTTTGTCCATAAAGTTGTAGAGATTGCGCATCTTATGCAGCCGCTGCTTGAGCTTCTCGAGCGACCATACGTAAATGACCTGATTCTTTTTATCAATCACACGCACGCCAACACAAGGCTTGGGTGTGGACATGAGCATGGTGTCTTCGTCCGTCTCAAATTGATGCAATGCGGATGTGGGCTCCCAGAAGGAAAGAGGGTTGGACAAGGGCTCGTCTTCAATCACGGCAAACTGATACAGCACTTGCTTGTTAAGCTCTCTGGAGATGATGTTGGCTTCTTTGAGCATGACGGCATGGGTGAGCACGACTTCAGCCATATCCACTGTTCTTAGCTGTCTCCATTTAGCCAGCACTTTGTGAATCATGGCCATTTGTTCTGGTGTGTACGCGGGCTCCATGAGTTGCTGTGAGTACTGTCTTGACATGCGATGAATCTTGGCTTCAAACAGGCGCTTCTGGTTGTCCAGTTCCTTTTGCATACGGTCCTTTTCTTGCTTGAGCTTTTCCTCCAAGAAATCGGAATGTGCGATAGATAAGTCAGTGCAAACGCTCTCTGCTCCATCTGTTGCTGCTCCTGTTCCTCCTATCAGTGTGGATGAATTGCGAAACGAGTCTCTGGTGGTAGAAGACACGTTGTCGTCCTCGTTCTCTGCCCTGCTTTCTGATCGTGTTCTTCTGGAATTGCGCACTTTAGAAAGATTGTCGTATAGACTGTCCAGTTCTTCGTCTTTAAAGCCTTCAAATTCCTCGGTTCCATAGTGATTCAGAGCAGCTTCACGTCGAGCATAGTTCCAGTCAATTACCTCAGACACATCAGAGGAAGGTGAGTCAGGTCGAGAGCTGCTATCATCCATCAATGCAGGCGTGGTAGCCCCACTCATGCTGTTGCCAATAGCCACTTTTTGTAGGTCACGCTCTTTGCGCACCTCTTCCGGGTTATTAAAGCGAAAGATGTGATAGTATCCCAGGATGATGCGATAGCCGCTTTTGAGCTGACGTGGTGCTGTGATGCGCATGCCGTTGACCATAGTAAGTGAGTCTGTGCCTGGATGCAGTGTCACTATGCCATTCTTGTTTTCAAACGTGCAATGGTCGTCTTGGATATTGGAGCCACTGAGCCGAATATCAGCCTGTACGTCGCTCTCTTGTCTTCCCAGTCGTGTCAACCCAGGTTTGATTTGGTACATGAGGCATTCTGACATGAGTGGATCCTCGTTCAAGTTAACGATAAAAGGTATTGTTTTGGGGGTATACACGCCCATGTCGTTCTTTTCAATGGTGATGCCGAGCTCTTTAAGTGATTTCTCTCGTTCCAAGTGAATCTCTTCTGTCTTTTTCAGCTTTTCCTCCCAGCTTTCGTTCAAATTAGCCAGTAGTTTCTCAGAGCTCTGCAATTGCTCAATGATCTCTTCTTTGGACATTTTTTTTTTCTTGCCTGTGCTATCCATAATCTCGAATTCAGGCAATGTCTTTTTACCAGAGGCGGTTGCTGCTGCTGCTTGTGCTGCTGATGCTGGTAAGCGAGAAGCACTGGTACTTGTAGTAGTAGTTTTATAAGCACTGGTGGCTGTGAGTTGCTCTACTTCTTCTGGTGCATACGTGCGCAGTCTGTCTCGAAGCTGATCCAATTCGTCTTTGAGGTCCCGGATGAGTTTGGCGTTGGGATCTTCATTGACAATAGCCTTATTTTTTATTCGTTTTGCTTGATCTGCATATCGTAATGTACTGAGCGTCTCGTCGTAATCTGCTTGAGAAATGGCGGCGATCATGGCTGTTTTGGAGTTACCACCCAGCGAGTCTTTCAGTAGCCATGTCAGTACCTAGCATATAATGTCAGCCTATGCAAACATCTTTAACCTCTTTCAAATTCTACTTACAGAATCTCTGTAGGGTATAAACACTTCCTTCTTTTTGCCTCGTTTTCCTTCTTGTGATGATTGCTCTGCCAGTCCAGCAATGACTTTACCCAGTGTTGTCAGTGATCGATTGATGTTGGCACCTTCTTTGAGTCGAGCACCTGTTGCACCCGTACTATTGGCACGTTCACTACCAGCTAAATCTACCAAACTACCGTCTTTCATGTCAGTGAAACCACTCCAATCTCATCATGTGTATATAATTGTGTACCTGATTCTAGCTACTTTCTCCGTCTCCAGCTTGGTTAAATCGTCCAATCTCTTTTGCGTTAAAAAAAGTGTAAATACGGCATGGGATCTTGATGATGTTTCGTTCATGTTGGTAGCAGCCACTGTTCTCGCCTTGTTGCCTTCATCCATGAGATGTTCAATATCGGCAAAGGATGTTACCACCAGTCGAGACAAATCTTCCACGTAAGGGCCCAGTGAAGGATGCTCTCTCACTTTGAGGTTACCTTTGTTTTTGGGGTTGAGCAGATCACGTACTTTTTCATTGTAGATTTCAATGTAGGACACTTCGACACGGTAGGTCAAGTTAGGTTGTGAATTGAGGGTGATACGGTTGAACAGCTCTGAACAGGTACGAGGAATGATACCTATATCTTCACCATAGCCCATCTATCATACAAGTAACTTAGATATACGCTGCACACAATATGCTGGAGACTTACCATCGAGTAGGATTTACCAGAACCCGTTTGACCATCTAATCACAACTGGTTAATATCATAGCACCATGCCATTACACAGTCATGTAGTTACATGCAAAAATACAACAATTGTAACCATCAAAAGCATGGTCCAGCAGCTCTTCACCCATATCGTTGTACACTGTTTGTTGATCGGCATAGCGAGGATCGTTCTTGTCTGCCGACCAGTATGACTTGTCAAACGTAAATGCCTTGACATCTTCCGATTCCTTTCCAGTCCTTTGATCCGGCGGTCTACTAATGATGGTTTGATCACCATCCATGCGAATCAAACCCACTGCTCCACGAGCAATTTCTATCGAGTGGTACAGAAAATCCTTTAGTATTTTGTGTTATGCGTACACACAGTAACTGCAATCAAATCAAGGTACCTCTAGCATTCATAGGACGACATCGCACGACGACTTTGATATTGCCTCCTCCACTCATGCTGTTGTTTTAGTTGTGTCGTATTGTCTATTGGAGACTGTTGTTTATATATGCTTATGTGTGTTGTTATGACAACGTAGTTTTTTCTTTCAATGTGAATAGTTCTTTTTTTTTTTTTTTGCTGTAACGGGTATCGAATATCCTCGCTTCGAATTAGTTGCAAGAGTCGACGTTTCAGATGCTAAGTAGAAACACTACTTGTATCGCAATAAAATCTAATGTGTTGGGCCAAACACTTCTTCTCTCTGTTGAATGTTGTTTCAAATTGTCGTAAATCAAGATGATGCCGTTGCCCTTGTCGAGAAAGCCAAAATGAGCAAAGATTAAAAAAAAAAGGAAGGCAGAAAAAGTATAATAATACGGGGAAGAGAGAAAAAAGAAAAAAAAAGGGGCAACTCACTTGCTATAAATTATCTGCAGTTTTATAAGGACACACATCCGCTGCAATTGAAAGATCAGTGGATGGTTGTTGAATGTCATTGGGCAAAAACGCGAAATTGAAATGCTGCTCACAAGTTTCCTATTGAATGAAAGTCGTAGTAGAAGATTAGATGACCTAATGAGGTGACAAGGAGCATGATGTATCATCAATATACGCCTCTGGATCAACTATTGAAATAGTCTGACACTTGAGTATGTATCTTGCATTCATTGCTCTAGATATTATGCTCCTCAAGAAGCTGAAAGTTGCTTCATAATTTAGTTTTATAACAGACAAACTAGCAATACATTATAACCCTATGATTTGCTAGGTATATGTCTTTCTAAAGCCAAAGGCATTGCAATTTGTATATAATTCACCAGAAACAAATTTCGGTATTTCCATTTTCAGATATTAGATAGTCTCTTGTTTCCTTGAGGAGTTTGTTGATACGTTGCCAGCTACCAAGAGAAGCCCTCTCTCTTTCTCTCTAACCCCCCCCCCCTCCCCCCTCCCCAAGATACAGCCCCCTTAGCAGAGTATTCACTTTGGTAGATGGAGCACCATCATTGCAGCAAGGGGCATATACAAAGGAACCACCCTTTGTAGAGCCAGCCTGGCATGGAACCACGTTACTCTCTGTTGTGTTTCTTTTGAATAAAGCAAACAGATATCTTGTAGCGTCAAGAGATGAGTGACTAGAGCGCTTTGACCTTGCCAAAAAACCTAAACTTCAGAATAGGAGCAATCGCTCTTTGATCATCCTAACGACATAAATTCAATGTCATTGAGAGATAAGCATTATCCATTTGCACAAGCAATTATGTATTTATCTATAGTGGAATGATAGTTATAGCTCAAGGTCGAGTGAAATACCTGTAAAGTATCTTTTCGTCTTTTTGTTTACACGCGTTGTATATCCTTGTCTTTTATCGCAAATCTGATAAAAAGGTTTGTGCCATTGCTTTTGCCACTCGCACTAACCAAGTACAACTCAAGTCATTCAAATAATACATTATTGAAAATAGTGGCCATATCGATTTCCAGAGCTTGCTGGATTATTACAGACCGACGAATCTACAGCAATTTGAAGCAGAATTTGCGAACTTTATCAATAGCAGTTTAAAGAAGCCAAACACATCCAAAGGTAGATTGGATCACTTCAGTTACAACAAAGTTAAGGTAAGTGCGCGAAAGCCAGTTCTCCCACTACAAGCAGATACTCATACATCTCTGCAATCATTGTAGCGCTTCAAATCGTCAGAGCCTGATGTATACTGGAAAAAAAATTGATCTTCAAGTAACTACTGACAATATCAACATCACCCAGCAATCGGCTCACTCTCAAAACTTGAAATCCGTTTCAAGCCCATTGTCAAAGAGAAAGGAAGATACAGCTACCGCCGCTACCGCCCAGACAAACTAATAAAGAAACCAAAGTTCAAGTTGTTAGAGATAACTATGTCACTTCGCAATGCATTTCAGATAATTCTAGCAATAATAGCAGCAACTTTGCCATCATCACCATCATCCCATCGAATACATCTGCTGCTTGGAGACAACATAAATCGATGACCTGCCTATTTATCCCGCCCGCATTGCAGATCCCAGACTCTCTGCTCTCTTTCAAAATGCTGAAGTTAAGATTATCAATAACCAGTTAAATCCTACATATGAGAAATTGCGTGTAGCTGCTTTCGCCATTTTCGTGGATGATGAAGGATGATAACGACGAAGAAGATGAACAGTTGCCTGAAAGCATTCAGACCAACATTCGCGCTTTCAAACGTGCCGTTCAACAACAATCATCATCATCATCATATATATATATATATATACCTGGAAAACATGAAAACAAAAGCGTCATCGTAGCTAATCACAGATTAACAGCCCCTCTCCCAAGAACATAACGCATCAAAATTTGCATGAATTAGCCTTACCAATATCAATATTCCTTCTATTCAAATTAGAAATTGCACAGATTGCAGAACTGTCCTTCCAAGAAAGCACAGCTACCAGAGGTGTGGTTCATGCCGTGTAAATAAAAACTGTAAAGCAAAAACATTACCAATTTTGACAGCTTTCAAGCCTTCATATATTGACATGTAGACCTTTCTGAGCCACCGGAATGACACCAAATTGTTGTATCCAAGTACTAGTAACTTCCTGACACCGTTGCTCACTAGTTTCATTCAAAGCACATAGTATAATTAGTGCCATTGGAAGCGTCTTGAAAAGTACTCTAAGAATGTATTAGGAAGCGTAGGGTGATCATTACAAATGGTATAGTCGAATTCAATAAAATAGATTTTTTTTTAAATTGTGTTTATTGATTGAGCCGCGTACATTAAGAGTAATAGGTCAGAGTGAAGAGGCAAGGTGCAATTGAGAAATGAAATAATAAAATATAAATGGAAACTAAACTAAACTAAAAAAAAAAAAAAAAAGAACTATCTGACTATCTAAACTACAAGAGGGAATGGAATAAAATAGATTAAAGAAGTCGACAAAAGACGAGATTCGGCCAATTCTGAGTAGAAAGCATATACTGAGTTTGAACTTTTTTTTTTTTTTTTTTTTTTTTTGCGGGCGGCGCTGCTGCTGGCTGACCTAAATGCCTTTCTGTTGATTGCAGTTGATAATTGCGATGCTAATGAATAGAGCATCATGGATTTGAAAGAATTATCGCTTAGCGCAAATACTTTTTTTGGGGGGGAGCTTTGCCTCATGAAGGTATATTTTGCAATGGCAATATCTCAAAAAAAAATCGCAGTAGATCTTACACAAGTCTTGTATTTACTTACGACCAGCATTGTGTCGCCATCCTATTATGAGCATCAGCAGCAGCGGATGGTAATGACATTTCTATTATCAGAAAATGGAGATTGTGGTGTACAAATGCTGCATAAAACTTGTGTTTTCTGTCACATCATCTCAATAATAAGCTTTGTTTAATATCAGTGTGAGCAAAAAAAAAGGCGCTGAGAGAGATACTTCCTATCCTCTTCCTCCTGGCTCTGATATAGCCTTTCTTTTACTAGCTACTAATTGACTGTTTAGGATCTACTTGATATACCAAGGTTTTATTATTGCTGACTTAAAATGTCTTTGGCGAGAGCACGCAGGGCAACGCCAACATTCAGCGTAGCGAGATAGAGCGGCTAGTGTTTATATATGGCACCTCACAGTAGCACCAATCTACAGCAGACAGTCCTCAATACAATCATCTCGTCAGCCTTTATGCTCCATGGGAAAAGCAGAACGGTCGGAACTGGACTTGGCCGCCTCCTCTGCCTCTACTCTCCTTGCCCCTTTATTCTCTGCACATGATCTTGTTCAAGCTGATTATGACACAGTATATATCAGAGGAACAAGAAATAACGGCTACTGGTAATGATACTCTACTGGTGCCATTGTTGCTATTTGAAGTATATTTGAGCATCTATATTTATACAGACATTGAATAAGTTTGGTTGTAATCCGTATCGAGTATGCGACACATAGCTTGCTATCCAATGCAGCAATGTGATAGCATTCAATTCATGCCATAGCCTGGTGGTAATCTATCGCAGTATTTCAAATCCACATCTTTCCTTTCTACAGATTGAAGCGATTGTTCCCAAGTTGGCCCACATTTATAAGGACCATATTTTTCGCTATAAAGCTACCGCTACAGAAGTACATTGTGTGCGCTTGGCATAACTCGGCTTCAAATGCAAGCTACTTGAATGATGTGAGAGATCTATAGATATGGACGAAAAGCTCAGGGAAAAAAACAAGCGCAAACCAAATTCACACTGACTAATGTATTTACCCTTATAGCCTTGTGTCCACAAGTTGACTCACATAAAGCAGCGATTGGTAACTGCCATTTAAACAATGGTAGCATGTTACACATTTTTAGTAGCATAAAGTGTATAAAAACTGAATTCCCCACACTCTTTTAGTCCTGTAGTTCTTAAACATAAATTATCATGGTCTATACATCCAAGTTACCCGCTATTGAAGAGCCCACAACTGGCATTATTCAGTTCATTTTCGCCAATGTCAACAAGACACCCGAAGACAAGCCCCTTTTGATTGATGCCCTGAACGATCGGTTCATCACGTATGCACAACTAAAGAGCTCTGTTCTTAAATTTGCTGCTGGTTTGCAGGACGTGTGTGGTTTCAATAGTACTGATGTCCTTGCTTTGTATGCTCCCAATCAGGTAAGATGATGCTGTTCATATCCTTTGATCACGGTATACTCAATCCATGGTATCGCACAGTACAATTACTCGATTCCTCTTCTTGGTGCTGTTGCTGCCAGTAAGTGTTTTAAACAAAATTCTAATCATGCAACATGAACCAACCAACAAACAAACTGGCTAGATGGCGCTACGACAACTGCAAATCCCAACTACAACATTGAGGAATTGTCCTATCAATTGGAAATGACCAAGGCCAAAGTGCTCATCTGTCATGAAGAAAATTTGGAAACCGCATTGCAAGCTGCTGAACGTGTAGGTATCCTCAAAAAGAACATCTTTGTCTTTGGTGACAAGGCTGTCAAGGGTATCCAGCCATTCCAAACTGCACTTATCCGAGAGCGTAAGGCTGTTCCTGCAGAACTTACACACCAGGAAGCCAAGGACAAGGTGGCCTACCTCTGTTTCTCTTCGGGCACTACTGGCAAGAGTAAGGGCGTCATGACAACGTAAGTGGAATGCCTGTTTGTGTCTATCCATGCCACTTACACATATTATCATAGCCATGCCAACATCACTGCCAATACCTGCCAATACACTGCCTTGGACAACGCCTTTATCGATCCCAACGTAGACCGCATGATTGGCGTGCTTCCTCTTTTCCACATCTTTGGCCTCACTGCCATCTTACACACTGCCTTGTACTGGGGTATTCCAGTCTACATTTTGCCTCGTTTTGATCTGGTCAAATTCTGTGAAACCGTGCAAGAGCGCAAAATCACCTTTGCCTGCCTTGTACCACCCATCTACTTGTTGTTGGCCAAGCATGAAATCATCCCCAAATACGACCTGTCTTCCTTGAGAATTGGTATCTCGGGTGCTGCTCCTCTCAGTGCTGATCTCGGTAGAGAAGTCAAGGCACGCTTACCTAATTTGACCATCAAGCAAGGCTATGGTTTGACAGAAACCTCTCCCTCTGCTATTGTGGAGCCTACTGATCGTACTATTGATGGATCCACTGGTATTCTTTTGCCCAATATGCTTGCCAAGGTGGTGGATGAGAATGGAAATGGTAAGAAGTGCAGTGGCTTTGAATGTGAGGGTACCAATGGCATACTGATGATATACCTATGTAGAGGTGCCTCAAGGTGAGCGTGGCGAACTCTGGCTCAAGGGCCCCAACATCATGAAGGGCTACATCAACAATCCCGAAGCCACCGCAGATTGTATTGACAAGGAAGGCTATTTCCATACCGGTGATGTTGTCGTTGTTGATAAAGACCAGCACTTTTATGTTGTGGACCGCATCAAGGAGCTGATCAAATACAAGGGTTTCCAAGTGCCTCCAGCTGAATTGGAAGGCATCTTGCTCACATCGCCCATCATTGCTGATTGTGCTGTCATTGGTGTCTATGATGCTGCTCAAGCCTCTGAAATCCCTCGTGCTTACGTGACATTGAAGCCTCATGTCGTTGCCTCTGATCGAGTCGCCGAGGATATCATGAAGTTTGTTGCTGATCAAGTGGTTCCCTACAAGCAGATTCGCGCTGTCAGGTTCATCGATGTGATCCCCAAGAGTCCTGCTGGCAAGATTCTGCGTCGTCTGTTGCGTGATGCTGCAATGGAGGAAGAAAAGAATGCCACCCATAAACCTAGATTGTAATATAAACGATATAAAGCCTGCATGGCTCTTTTTTTTTTTTTTTTTTTTTTTTTTTTTTTCGAGTCGATGACTACAGACACTGTTTTCAAATCCTGCATACATGATGAAACACACTTGATACCAACTACTTTATTTAAGCGTTCAGTACGAGCGGATACTGTCTATTACTTTCTTCTTTTTTTCTTTCTCTATATTTCCATTCCAAAATGGATTATTTCACTGACAATTCATCCATGTCAACACTCTCTACATCAACGACGTCTTTTGCAAACCAAACGAAACCCTCTTGGTGGCACAGAGCTCGTACCTCAAACGTGAGTGTGGCATGTCTAGTGGCATTGGTCCTATTTACGCAAGTAATACGGTAGCATGTATGTCGTGTGTGGTATTGACAGCTAGAGTAGAGACATGTTGGTGTATGGTGCAGTCATTCCATGCCTGCCTGCTCTTGTGTTGGATAAATTTCATGGCACACCAAAAGACATTGGATTCTTGTTTGGATGTTTTGGTAAGAAGCATTGGGTGATGGACCACACATGTACGCTATGATGTTCAACTCGCTACTATAGCCTTTGGGTATCTAGTGGCTACTCCTCTATTCGGTATCCTATCCGACAAGTGTCAGAACAGACGTTATGGATTGATGCTAGGTACGTCCTGCATCATCAGTTCAACGCTACTCTTTGCCTGGGCCTCCAGCTACAGGATGCTAGCAATAGCAAGAGTGTGTCAAGGCGCATCAGCTGGTGCTTCGTGGTATGATTCTGATTTCACCTTGATTTAGGCTTTTTCTTTATTTATTTGTTTGTCATTTACACAGGACCATTGGGTTAGGTATGCTGGCTGATGCGTTTCCCGTGGATCGATTGGGTAGAGCCATGGGCACAGTGATTCTGTCACATACAGTAGGGTTTTTATTGGGTCCTGTGATGGGTGGATTTCTATACGATTATGGAGGAACACTGGCACCCTTCTACTTTTGTGGTATATTTGGCTTAATGACATTGGTAGGCACTGTGTGTATAGCAGAACCGATCAAGATCCATGATCAACCCATGGACGCTGCCAAGCAACCAGTTCAAAAAGCAGCAGCAGTGGATGAATCAGCACCGCTCTTATCGTCAGCAACATCCTCGTCCTCGTCTACCTCCACAGTGGGTTCTTTACAACAGAAGCAATCCGCCGGAAGACAATTATTCAACCTGATCTCTAACCCTCACATTTCAGCTTGTTTATTATGCTGCTTTGTCACTTCGGCTGCATTAGCAGGCATTGAGCCAGCGTTGCCCATTTATCTCGAACATCAGTATCATGTTTCAACATCTACCATAGGAGGTAAACAACTCATTTTAACACCAAAAAAAAAAAAAATCAATACGACTAAAATATGTTCAACAACAAACAAACAATTAGTTATATTCATTGCACTTGTTGTACCATCATTCCTTGGTCCAGTGACAGGATACATGTCGGATAAGGTAAATACAGTTGTTACAAACAACATGTGGCAATTCTGATTCACTGTTGGGTGGCTATAGTTTGGAAGGCCTTTGTTTATAAGCATTGGCATGGTCCTCATGTCAATTGCCTCAGTCCTGGTTGGTGTGCCTGTTTCTTCATACAACTACATACTACCCTCATTATGCCTGTTTGGTATGTCGAATCCGTTGATCCACACACCCTTGATGCCTGAAATGGGAGCAACTGTAACTGAAATGGTACTCTAGATAAGTGTCTATGCATCTAGACTTCATACTGATGATATCATCTCATTGTAGGGGAGTAACGCTTTTGCCCAAGGTAATGATTATGCAGCCTATAGCACTCAATCATGTATTAACTCTCCATACACAGTGTATGCACTTTACAACATGGCATACTCTCTTGGTATATTTGCAGGTCCCTTATTAGCCGGAGTAATCATGTCTTGCGATGCAATTGAGATGAGCCGGAGGTTTCAAATACTGATGCTCATCTTTTCAGGAGTCATCCTCCTATCGAGCCCAGTGATTATGTTAAATCAGCGTAAAAGAGCCTGTTACAAAAAAAAGTAGTGTAAAGTAGCGGTCGATGTTTTGGCAATAATTGCAAATTCAACAATGCATCAACAAGGTGTATAGTTTTGCTCAATAAATTTCAGTAATATAATTTAGGACTCCATATATATATATATATATATGAAGGTGCATTGCTTGGCAGTATCTCCATGCCCTATGTTTGGAAAAAGCTCTTCATCGATTAGGTTGAAATGTACCAAAAGCCCAAGGCATTTTATGTGATTCAAATAGTTATCCTGTCATTAAGACAGACCGTAGCTCTTCTTTAGCAGCTTGAAGGGGTGAATGTTAAGTGTCAAGTCGTGCGCAAAATAAATCCGTCTCTGTCTGCAAGAGCCTTGTATTATTGCTGCAATGGAGCATTGCCATCACCACAAAGAAATCTCTAGACAACATCATTAAACCCTGTAGGCAGAGCGCAAAGGAAATATCATTGGCGCTACTCTTTTACAGCGAGGAGCAACTACAAGCAAAGCTATTACTATTGTCGTCAACGATTAAAAGGCTACAGCTATTTGATGTGTGCCATTGAGGAGACATGATAACACGTCTTCAATTTTACTTGATCCTAAAGGATATAACCATTGTAGATTTCGCCTCCTCTGACTGTGCTAATGGTGTGTCTCGAGATTAAACCGCTGGTAGATGATGAGGATTTACATAATCTGACAACAAGCATTATATTCAGTATAGTCATTTGATTCATGTAACTCAATGTTTATCCCCTATATTCGTTTATGGTGCACTTTTGCTACTCAACACCAGCATTAGCGCCGCTCAAGCAATTTGACAGATGTACTTCAAGCAGGACCAATGCCTCACCCTATTACAGTCACTCTTTTTTTTTTCTTCATTACCAAAATTTTCTCCATCCATATTCTTTCCAAATCAAATCATACAGAATGGACAAAGGTAGACAGACAATTTCACCTTCAAGATGGCTCAATTAAACAATCATCTACTAGGAGAAAGCGTATATCAGCCCTTACCAGGAAGCACCAGCAACAAGCTGGGCCAAGTAAGTTGCAACAAGGGAGATGGATCCTACACAGCATCTAATGTATCAACGCACAGAAAGCAGTAAAGGAATTCGTCAATGACTTTATTCGACCTACATCAGATGCAGACAAAGTTTTGAATGAAATGAGACCAGTTTACATTGATAGATCAAATACATTTGTAAAGGAACAGGACAAAAAAGAGCTTGCAAAGAAACTCAAGAACAAGAAGGATGGCAAATTAACAGCAAAAGAAAAGAGACGATTAAAAGTGTATGATATACCCAAGGAAGCACACCAATACAAGCTTTTCGAGCCACTATCACAACTGTGGCAAGGCTACATGAGTAAATTACTGTCTCAAGGATCAGTGAATTTCGAGCAAAAGTTGATCAAAGCAGATTTTCATGGTGCGACTATGACAGGTAAGCCTCAAGTCACCATGACAACCACAGTAGGATTGATCAGATCACAGTTGTTCAAACGACCAATCCGAGCTACATTGGCGTCACTGGTATTGTGATCCAGGAAACCATGTCCATGTTCAAGATCATCACCAAAGAAAACAAACTCAAACGTATGAATGCACAATGACTCAACACATCCACACCCATTAACCATATATGCTATAGAAATACCCAAAAATAGCAGTAATTTCAACATTTACATTCAAGAAAATCAAAAAAATTACACATTGTATGGACCACAGTTCGTTGCGCGTCCAGCAGAAAGAGCATCGAAAAAGTTTAAACCAAAGCCAACCATTGATTTATAAATATAGCAGAGTTTATATGGTAATCTTACAAGATGCAACACTTCTTTTTTGAGGTTCTACCTGAGGGCTTGTTCATCATTAAAGCGGCACGAGTGGCATTTTCGAAAACTTCACGGACACCTTCTCCTGTCTTTGCAGAGCATTCAAGATACTTGTAGGCACCAATCTTTTGTGCAACACCCAAGCCCTAAATACAAATAAATTATTAAATCTATTTATAGTTGTTTGTATTTGAATCAAAAATCATACCTCTTCAGCAGTAACAGGTCTTTGAGATGTCTTTCTTAGCTCTTCAATCTTTCCAGGATCGTTTCTTAAATCTTTCTTACAGGCAACGAGTAGGATGGGGAGGCCTTGACAGAAATGAAGAACTTCAGAGATCCACTACTCAGGGGCGTTAGCTTGATTTGATTTGCTGCTGCCGCCACACACACGCTTACCTTTTCTTGAACGTTGTCCAATGAATCAGGAGAATCAATAGAGAAACAGATGAGAATGACATGAGAATCAGGATAAGAGAGAGGACGAAGACGATCGTAATCCTCTTGACCTGCTGTATCCCAAAGAGCCAATTCGACATTTTTACCATCAACCTCGACATCTGCTACATAGTTCTCAAAGACAGTAGGGACGTATAACTGGCGATTCATCAGTTTGCATGGTTTCTTGGATCTATGCGTGTATATACGAGACTTACCTCTGGGAAAGTTCCCCTTGAAAACACAATTAAAAGACATGTTTTACCACATGCACCATCGCCCACGATCACGAGTTTTCTTCTAATTTCAGCCATCCTATTAGGAGAAAAATAAATATAATAAAAGAAAAAAAAGAAAGAGAGAGAGATGAGTATCATTATCGCATTTTTGTACAAAATGGAAGAGTGTCAAATGTTAAAAATAGCAATGAGAAATATAACCCCGGTTCGCCATCGAAACAAGCACATACACACACAGACACACAGACACACAGACACACAGACACAGACACACACACAGACACATTTGGACAACCTGAAGTGAATGTGTATCTTGAGAGCAAAAAGACATGTCTTGCAAATAGGTGTATCCGTGTATATACTGGCGTCTACAAGTGTGCCTGTGTACCTGTCTGTGTGTGGGTGGGTGGGTGAGTGACTAGAGGTGTGCAGGTTTTTCTCATGGCCATGGATATCAAGAGACATGTATTTACCTTTTGGTATAATAATATAAATTAGAAAAAGAAAGAGAAAAAGCAGTTGAAAAAGAAAAATGAAAAAGAAAAAAAAAAAAAAAAAAAAGGAAAAAGCACGAGGTTTGATTGAGAAAAAAGCCCTATCGTACTAGAACACACACACACACATTTAAACAATCATTGCTGTTCTCGGGTCGGGTCAATGGAAGGCTTCTCATGCTGTTCCATTTCAGTCACAAGGGTTCAAAGCTGATGTTCAATCAGCATCGTTTAATGGATCCTTTTTACTTGATTTGGTTGATTAAAAATGAATGGAAAGCAGCTTTTAGCAATCAAATCAGCCTGGATTATCTATAAAGTACATGAATAATATTCATACGTATCACAAGTAATGTACTATCAGCTTTCAGGCACACGTGTAGGTTCCAAATAAAGCCTCATAGCATTTGTCTATTGTTGCCCTTGATGATAGATGTGTGATCTAAGCTTTTCTTGTTTTGTAACATTTCAAGCGGGGCCAGAGATATGAAACTAAACGAAACGGCATGTAAATGCCGTATAACGTTTGCAACGGTGTTTAAAGATATCGAATTGCTTGGCCTGCAGCCAAATACATTCGAATGCTGCAAAAAGTAGAAGCAACTTTCCTAATGTGAACTGCCGCGATAAGGATCAGTTTCGCCTCTTGATGAATGATGCTTCAATACCCAACATTTCTTCTCGCTAGATGAGTCTTGACCCTATTTCTACATACTCAATAAGCTTCAATTGCATGAGGAGCAGCTAATGGCGACCCTTGATACTGCAGCCAAAAGTACAATCTCTTATGCTCTACACAGATCGACCTGAGTAATTAAAGATCGACCTAATTAGGAAGAGGCGCTTCAAAAGAATTGTATACAAAATTGCATTTAAACAGCTTATGTGCCGAATACCTTTCTTCATGCTATGGTATGCTTATGATAGCGAGTGGCACCTATTCTGGTTAAAAAGGGCTGCTAAAAGGCTGTAAATGTGTTGTTTGAGACGGATTTAGCAAAACATGGGGGGTGGCAAGGTATAAACGAGCATCATCCAGGAGAGGATTCTTTTGAAGATGCCCTACAGCATTTCAAATGCTCTGCCAATCACATTCTGGCTTGGCTATGCCTACAGAATGAAGGCCTATACTACTTGACTTGAACTACTATGCTTGGAGAAAATATATAAGTTTTCAACATTAAAGCATCGTAAGTAATTGAGAAGGTTTGTCAATCGACAAAAATAACAGCTCCAAGTACTTTTCGTATCTGTGCAAATGTATTGAGCTATAAAGACACGGTAGAGGATGATGTATTTATATTGTAGTCGAGAGGAAATTCATGTACTGTTATTGAAAAACGAAAAAGGAACTATATAAGAAGAGGAGACGGTAATGCTTATTACAGCAAATGAGACTAGGGACTGACGATAGAGGCTTTTTGAGCGAATTCGATGACAGCTTACTTCCACGACAGCATCGTAGGGACAGTATCCACAAACTCAAACAGCTTGTTGGGGGTAGTTGGGAACGAGGTATCAACATAGCATCTCTTGCGCAATGTTTTATCCTCAAACTTGTACAGTGCTTCAACTACAGTCTGTTAGCTAAATCGCGCTGTAAGACATTGCTAGAAATGACTGAAAAATCTTCGATTTACACTTACCAAAAGAACGCACATAGAATTGTGGAAAAAGTGGCTCAATCTTCAGTGTTTGTTGCTTCTTATATGATGCTCTACATTCATATACACGTAGCTACTTCATATACGGGCAAGCAGCATACTGGTATTTCCCCTTTTTATTCCTTAGTGTCCCTGATACAGCAAAATCTGAGTGCATCTGAGCCGCGTTTTCTCGCGCTCAAGGCTGTTTTAGATGGTCAGAATAGCATCAAACAGTTGCTCTCATCTGGCAGTTACTTGCTGATATCTTTGCTCAACTTTTTTTTTAAGACCCAAAAAACATGGCCAAAAATCGACCAAAAAGCATGAGATACCCCTCATGGTTTTCATTGAAAATCAAACGATCGCGTTTTTTGACCTTGATCATGAAGACTTTTACTATGGTATATCATGAATCAAAATGTTTCTCTCGATCCAAAGCAACCTCTGAAACCACTTTTGCGAGGCCTTTATATGCAAAATCTTGACATTTTGGCCAAAAAACCGCTTTTCATAGTTTCTTGAATTGCTCGATAAATTCAGTCAAAACACTTATTATAAATAGCACTATCGGATGCGCCTTGAGAGGTACTTGTATAATGCTCTAAGGAGTATGGCCGAGTCATCACAACTTGCTAGTCCAATCTTGCAAAATAGGTCGAATCGTGTCCAAAAAGCTTAAAAACGAACAAATCAGAGTAGACTGTAAAGCGGCGATTTGACTTGTTTGGCGGTGGCACCTGCTGCATGAAAACGACCATGTCCCTCTCTCAACAACGACCAAAACCACATGGACTGAGACATGAGATGAATGTACCACACATGTTTTCTCACTGGTATCTTTTAACAACCGTAGAACGGGAAAGTTTCACTTGGTTCGCTTCTAATATGGACTTGTATATATCCAACAGTTAGGCGCAAATGTAGCGAAAACTGCTGGCATTGCGTTGTTTGATGAGAGTGCATTTGATTTAGGCTCGCTAAAAAAAAAAGAAAAAAAAAAATACCGATAATTCAATGCCATAACGTGTTGCTGCTATTGTGATGCATGGGAGTATAAGCTTGATATCGCGTCTGTAGTACTACTCACCTAGAAATAGATTAAATCTTTTATACACAAACAAAAGATGACGAAACCGAACGATTTAAAGGGGGAGGGGGGGGGGCAGATAAGCGACAATGTCACTGAGATGCACATATTGCTTTCTTTTCCAACTACAAGTATGTTAAGACAAATCACCACTGCAAGAAACCAACTTTGCTCGAGCTTTCAAAAGGTAAAATTATGCAAAAAAAATAAAATAAAATAAACATGCCATGTATTCAGCTCTGATATACATGCAAAATCCCACAGACCGCTCTTCGTTCTTTTGCATCTGTTGCCAATGTAAGTCATCGCATGCTCTCTGACGACGCGTACACACCTTGTTAACGTGTTATTATGACTAGACCCACACTGTCACTTTAGTACCTGGAGATGGCGTTGGCCAAGAGTTGTCTGAATCAGTAAAAGCAGTTTTCAAAGCCGCAGAGGTTCCTGTTGAATGGGAGCAATTTGACTTGTCAGGACATGTATCTCGTAACGATGATTTGATGAAAGACACGTTGGCATCACTGCGTCGAAACAAGGTTGGACTGAAAGGTATCTTGTACACCCCCGTCTCGAGACTGGGACATGCCTCGTTCAATGTGTCTATGAGAAAGGTATAGCATACAACACACGCAGTACAGTATGTCTGCTGGATAGACTAAATGTTGATCACAGGATTTGGATATCTATGCTTCTATTTCACTAGTGAAAACGATTCCTGGCGTCAAGGCTCGTTTCAGTGAGATTGATTTAGCCATTATTCGTGAAAATACAGAGGGCGAGTACTCTGGATTAGAGCATCAATCTTATCCAGGCGTCGTCGAGTCATTGAAACTGGTTACACGCTACAAGACGGAACGTATTGCTCGGTTTGCCTTTGATTTTGCTTTAAAGAACAATCGCAAGAAGGTTACTTGTGTCCATAAGGCCAACATCATGTAGGTGTGGTGTGAGGCGTGTTATATATATATATATATATATATAGTACTGACTGTATAGCGCAGGAAACTAGGTGATGGTTTGTTCTTGAATACGGTTCGTGATATCTTTGAAAAAGAGTACACGAAATCAGGCATTGTATTGAATGATATGATTGTGGACAATGCTTCCATGCAACTGGTATCTCGTCCTCAGCAGTTTGACGTGCTTGTTTTGCCTAATCTCTACGGCAATATCCTCTCCAATGTCGGCGCAGGCTTAGTGGGTGGGCCTGGTATCATCCCTGGATCAAGCTATGGGCGTGAATATGCTGTATTCGAGCCTGTAAGTCATAGTTGGATTGTATAACGGACACCCTGCTTATTGCTTTGTATAGGGTTGTCGTCATGTAGGCGAGGATATCGGTGGAAGCAATGTTGCCAACCCCACAGCCATGATCCTTAGCTCCGTCATGATGCTGAGACATCTCGGTCTTTTGGATCATGCCAACCGTATCTCCAATGCCGTTTACCTCACCATTCAAAACAAGGAATGCCGAACTCGCGATATGGGAGGACAGCAAAGCACAACTGAATTTACAAAGTCTGTCATTTCATCCTTGTAAGCAATGATTTATTTCTTGGGTTCATCTACTTTGGGTTCAATACGCTTCTCGAGTACTTTATCCACAAGGCCAAAGTTCATGGCTTCGTCAGCTGTCATAAAATAATCTCTTTCTACCATTTTCTCTATTTTGTCACGTATATTCAGCCAGTGTTGTCTTTCTAAATTGTTTGATCCAAGACTTACCAATGGTTTCGAGATCGCGGATGCCAGTGTGCTTTTGGTAAATTCGATTTAATCTCTCTCTCACACGCAAAATCTCTCTGGCGTGAATAGCAATATCAGATGCTTGGCCAGCAGCACCGCCAGAAGGTTGGTGTATCATGATGGAGGCATTAGGCAAAGCGTATCGTTTACCGGGTTCGCCTAAGTAAGTATGAGCGTGTGCCATCATGGTGTCCAAGTGCCCGTGTTACCTGCAGCAAGTAAAAGTGATCCCATCGAGCAAGCTTGTCCATTACACAGTGTAGATACTGGCGACTGGATGTATTGCATCTAATGATAGCTTGAGTCATGACGTTTCGATCCCATCCACCTCGCAACTTACTGTATCGTAAATAGCCATGCCTGCAGTGACACTGCCGCCTGGTGAATTGATGTACAAACTGATCTGCTTTTCCGTGCTTTCAGCCTCCAGAAACAACAATTGAGCCACAATCACTGAGGCGAGGTTGTCGGTTACCTGGATGCATCATTACTTGGTCTATCATACATCATGTCCTTAAATACAACTTACAGGTCCATTCAAGCAGATGATGCGCTCCTTTAACAGACGAGAAAAGATGTCGTATGCTCTTTCGCCACGGCCCTATATTGACATGGCACAGTTAGCAGAGCCGACGAGTGCCATCTCACGGCGATATACGTACAGTTTGTTCAATGACCATTGGCACCATTTGTGCATGAGGAGACTCGGACCAGGAGCTGATGATGTTGTTGCCTGGTGGTGTGAAGAAGGTCTAATCCAACGAGTCAGTAATGCAGCTCAGTTAGTTGTATGTGTCTAGCTTACTCTGGCATGTGTGGCGCGAAAAAGCACAGGGGAGGATTTGCGGATGATGTTTGTCAACATTGTCTAGAGAAAGGTTGATGTGAAAAAAGGAGAGCGTCTATTTATTGCGGAGGGGTTATAAAATCAATGCGGCGGGTGCAACAGTCCTTTAAGAGCACTGGATGAGTATGCTGCTTGACACTATCAGTATGTCTTTTTCACTTTTATACACATGGATTGACATAAGATTACTTTTTTTTTATTATTATTATTATTATTATTATTATTATTAAAAGACGGCACATTAGATTACAAAAGATGATTGTAGTTGGCAGCCATGTTGTTCTGCTGTTGCTGCTGCTGCTGTTGCTGTTGTAATTGCAGTTGCTGCTCCTTCTTCTTTTTGCTGGAGCCACAAGGTCTTCCTCTCTTTTTTCTCTCGGCATCCACACATGTATCTGCTTTGTTCAGTCTCACACAACGAGCGCAGGGCCTTTGGACATCACAAGCAACATGCGACTGTTTGCATGAGACACAGGCTTTTCGAACATACACTTGAGCACCTCGATTGTCGCTTGCATTCAAACCGTAAGCAGTGTTGTTGGAGGATAGAGAAGACGAGGAAGACGATGAAGTGGAAAGTGTGGGCACGGGTGGACCCATATAGGTGTGATGGTCGTAAGGAATGGGGTAGTTCATGGCAGCTTGTTCTAATGAAATGCCCATCGCATTGCCGTCTTGATGAAATGCCATCATGGGATAGGCAGCAGCTTGTGGTGGCATGGAGTGTGCTGGCACAGCTGGTGGCACTGAGAAGCTCTAATCAAACCCTGGTTAGCAAATGCCCATCAAGACACGCATCTGTGCCGTAATTACCTGTGGATGTATAGGATGGCTGTAAGATGTAGGAGGAGTATTATTGGATGAGCAAGATGAAGCATAGTCGTGGGATTGTTGCATAGCAGCCTGATACCGCATCATTTCATATGGATCACCGCCGTTTTGGAAGAAATCAAGATACGCAGGATGAAGATCAATAGGGTTCGACACTGGTGCAAATGAGTTTGCGTCAAACATTAATTGTGAAGCATAATCGTATGTGTTTGGTTCTGGAAATGCATGTTTGTCATTTTTGGCAGTGTCTTGATGGGGTTCATACATTGGAGGAAGGAACGAGAGGAAATATATATATATATATATATAGAAAGAAAAAGAAAAAGAAAAAGAGAGAGAGAGAGAGAGAGAGAGAAGGGAAGAAAGTGCGTGGATGACTACTGTATTAAATCGAATGCGTATGTTTGTCTCAAAGTAGGTTTGCTTTTTTGATAATCTAACTTTTGCAAGCTATTTGTTTGTCTGTGCAGTTTATGCAATTTTTAGAGCAAAGGCTAATCGAAATGAGGGAGCTTTTTGTATGGTGTGCTTGTTTCATGCATGTGTTGTCAACATGGCGTTGCTGGATGATGGCGCTTGATTCAGGCATCCCTATGTTGATTGAGAGAGACAGAGAGGAGAGGCTTGACATTTGACAAGTGGAGTTTCTCCGAGGCTCAGTTGTAATCTTATCAAAATTGAAATGATAACCGTTTCTTGACATTTGAGAGACTTTGTCTTTCGAGTGTTGTCACTGCAGACTACTAGTAACAAACAAAAAAGAAGGGATGCCCACATCTAGATTTGTTTTTTCCCAACTTTGAAAAGCATCAGTAGAGTCAAACTGTCATATTTGTATGTGTGTGCCGAAATGGGATGACTCGAACGAGAACGCTAGCATTGGCATCTTGACGGTTCCTGATCCACGGAATATTTAATTGTGTATAATAGGAACTTTTTAGCGTCTCTGTGTATATAATCTGTTATAATGATGTGGCATCATTATCATGTAGTCTATTTGTGTTTGGGTTTCAAGGGGAGGAGGAGGGGGAAGGTTGCTAGAAGGCTTACATGTACCAGTGCTGGGCAGTAGTCATGGCATCATGTCAAACATGAGTATCACCTTCAAAGATGGCTGCTTCAAGCATGCTGCTCTGATATGCAGCACTTGCATGCCTCGCTCCACCTACTTGGTTGTTTCCTCCACATGGGTAGTATCTTTGGTCTCAGCAGCATGAATCTGCTTTCATCATCTGTAGATTGATTCGCACGAGAAACACACACGTGATGTGCTAGTATTCATCATTCGTGCTACATTCAAAGCGGCAGTTATAAATGCAAGGAACCGCATTGCACAAAACTCTTATCAATCTCTCTCTCTCTCTCTCTCTCTCTCTCTCTCTTTCTCTCTGCATATATATACATACTTCTCGCCAGATGATGATACACTTGACATTGGGAAAGATGCACTTCACTATACAATTCTACTTGCTACTCATGTCACTAGTAGCCACTGCGCAGGCACTCAATCTGCAGATACCATTTCTTCCCTCCCATAAACCAATAAATACCCTAAAGCTAAAGACAATATACCACCATGCCTCTGCCCATGGACCCATCCCCAATCTCTTTCGCAAAATAGACATCCATAGCAGCAACGACATCACCGCCAACCAAGCACAAGATGCTACCTACACTTTGCAAGGCACATTTTCAGTCATGGATAAGCCCATCACTGCGGATATACAGGATCTCGTATCGCAGCGAGAATACGGCACATTGGCGAGATGGAACAACCGTATCAGACCCATGCACCTAGAATCCACCATTGGTCTCGTACCTGATGTAACGCACAGACCCTCCGTCTTGGCACTAGCCATGATGACGAATAATGCATACCTGGACATCAATCTGAACAACACGGAATGGTATGATCTTGGCGCACCCTGGCAACTGGTAAGCTGACAACCGAGCCATATAAGGCAGTTTTGGATTACTAACATGCATCTGTGATATCAAAAGAACAACTCGTTTGGATGGGAATCAGATGGTATTCGGGGTCACATTTTTGCGGATGAAGACGATAAATTGATCGTCCTCAGTATCAAGGGAACAAGCGCAGGCTTATGGAGTGGAGGACCCACAGGCGAAAAAGACAAGATCAACGACAATATGCTGTTTTCTTGCTGTTGTGCTCGAATCAGTCGTGCCTGGTCTCCTGTGTGCGACTGCTACAAGGGAAATGAATACAAGTGCGAGAACAGCTGCTTGCAAAACAACATTCAAAAGTCAGAGCTATACTACGACAATGCGCTGAACATCATTGAGGATGTGCAGGAACAGTACAAGAATAGCACGATATGGATTACAGGCCATTCTTTGGGCGGTGCCGTGGCTAGTTTGGTGGGTTTGACCTATGGCATTCCTACAGTGACCTTTGAGATACCTGGCGATCGACTGGCATCATCGAGATTGCATCTGCCTAGTGGCAGTGTTGCCAAGAATATGCCTCTGTGGCACTTTGGCCACACAGCTGATCCTATTTTTGTCGGTGTGTGCACAGTAAGTTTGGGGATATCTGCATATATCAGAAGGAGTGGGGCTCTCAATGCTGAAACAATAGGGGCCTTCCAGTAGCTGCTGGTATGGAGGATTCGCCATGGAATCTCGTTGTCATACGGGCAAGGTGTGTGTATGGGATACAGTGAACGATAATGGCTGGAGAGTCGATATCAGATCGCATCGAGTGCGAGATGTAATTGAGAATATACTGAAAAAGCCAGAGGAATTTCCTTTGCCCAACTGCGTGCCGGAAGAGAATTGCCAAGATTGTGGATTATGGGAGTATTATGATGACAGAGACAATCTCAGTAGCAGCAGTGATGGTGGTTCTGCTACCAGCACTACAAGCACAAAGACCAGCACAAGTCATGCGCCAGATCCACCTACTGATCCTTGGACAAGCACAGATGAAATTTCCTGAATAAACAATGCCATGAAACACTGACCATCAGTACGAGATGCCCTTGTTTCAATGCAATTCTGTAGCACTAGCAAAAGATCAACGTCGTCTCGGATGTGTTTGCAATTTCCGCATATGCATTTAATATGGCCTTACGTCGTAAAGTCACACAAGAGCAGGTAGAAAAAAGCAACTGGATGATTGCATGTTGCGCATTGTTGAAATTAGCTCCTTTTTTTTTCTTTCTTTCTTTCTCTCTTTTTTTTTTTTTCTCATACCCTGATGATGGATACATCTTCACCTTCAAGAACAAAACCTATTAAGCCTCTTGTCAATGATTTCGACTTGGATGTGGTTGATGAGGTATTGTTACATCCGGAAAAGCCGGAATATGTGGACCATTTTGGCTTCACTGTGCAAGTGAAGTCTGATCATGAATCGGATACAAGCGATTCTGAAGAGGATGAATTCCAAGATGCAGCCAGTACAAAGAAAAGCAGCAGCAACACTTCGACACTGTCCGTCTCCTCGCCGCCAAACGAGCATCATCACCACCTGGATGCGATACCCAGTGTTACACAGCAACATGTCAATGAGACGACCCGCAACAGTAGTATTACCACAGATAGCACAGATAATGCTGATACCCTGTCAACAGACTTGACTCTACACAGTAACAACAACAACAACAACAACAACAACAACAACAACAACAACAACACAGAGGATTGGCAGATGATTTCTAGCATAGAAAAGTTGGGTTCACACACGACAACAGCATCAACACCTGACAATGACAACAGGCCAACACATAGTCCAACGCCCAGTACAACCAGTTATTACGACTTACTATTGTCAAAATTCTCGAGATCTGGACATCACAATTCCTCAAAGCAGGTGCAACTGCAAGAGGAAACATCGCACAACTTGGAGCAGCTCAAAGAGCAATCATCGAGGGGAGACACCGACTGGGGTAACTATACAAATGCACAGGATGAACATTGGCTTCTGACGGCGCACTTTTCATAGAGTTTTGGTCGTCCGTCATTTCTGATTTTGAGCGTGTCAACCGAACACAGCATAGCAAATTTCGATCGCTGATCAGTATAGGCATTCCATCACAACTACGAGGCAAACTATGGCGTATCTTTTCCAATTCTGAAACGGATAGCGATTTGGTTGAAAACGAATATCGTGAATTACTTGATCAGACAAGTCCGCATGAAAAATTGATCCGCAGAGATCTACCTCGTACCTTTCCTACACTGCCGTATTTCAAAGACAAGGATGGAGAGGGGCAAGAAATGCTCTTCAATGTCATCAAGGCATACAGCTTATTTGATGAGCATGTGGGTTATTGCCAGGGCCTTCATTTTGTGGTGGGCGTGTTGCTATTGCATGTAAGTTCTTGTATCAAGAGAGATATGGGTAGGCTTATATACACCATCTTGTGTAGATGCCTGACGAGGCAGCATTTTGTGTCTTGCTCAAGCTGATGGGACACTATGAATTGAGGGGCCATTTTACACCGCAGATGGAGAAATTGCATGAGCACATGTATCAATTTGACCAACTATTACTACAACATCTGCCACAAGTACATCGCCATTTAGATGCGCAAGGTGTGGTGCCTAACATGTACGCCTCACAATGGTTCATGACGTTATTTGCCTATCGATGCCCCTTAGAGCTTGTTTACCGTGTATTTGATCTATTGTTTGTGGAGGGGTCAAACATCATTTTAAACTTTGCATTGGCTCTGATGAAGAAGAACCAGCAAGTGATTCTTAGCCTCGAGTTTGAATCACTGCTAGAGTTCTTTTCTGGGAGCATATTTGATGCATACAAGGTATTGTTACTAACGACTACTCTTCCTCAGGCTTGCTAATGACTGTATATATATATATATATATATATATATAGGACGACACTTATGACTTTGTGCAGGACGCCTACAGCTTTGATATCCCATCAAGGCAGTTGGCAAAACTATCAAAGCAGTATCAAGCTGAAGCTGCCAAAGAAGCCAAGATGCAGTCCATAGAAGATGGCATACGACGAGAGAACATTGAGCTCCAAGAGCAAATAAAAAAACTAAAGCTGTCCTACAAGACATTAGAAAAAGAGCATCAAGATATTGCACAGCAAGTCATTAGCTCCAAAATGTCAATGGCCAGTCTGGATGCAGAGAATCAGCAATTAAAGCACGAATTAGCAGTGATGAAGGCTGAAATGGTAAAGATCAAAAATTGCATGGACGATGAACGGCAGAGGCAATTCGATGAATTGGCGCAACACAATGCTCACCTGGTGGATACAAACTCGCAGTTGGAGGACAGACTGTCTGAATTGGAGACCGTTTTGATTGACATGAAGCTAAAGTATGCCGAAAGTGAAAATGATTACGAATTGATGAAGCAGAAATTGCATGAAGCTCAGAAATTAAGCAACATGCATCATTGATTTATAGATTATATCCAACCCTAATGCTATAATAAAGGATCAACAGACCTTGCTTGTTTGGTGCACAGTGAATTTGACGACTCGTTTGTGCGATGGTAAATGTGTAATGAAAGAGGTTTTGTTACAGACATCTGATTCGGGCGATTATCGAATGCCAGATCAGTGGAAGAGAGAGAGAGAGAGAGAGAGAGAGAGAGAGGCAATGTAGAAGTTGCGTTCTTGAACCTCAAACCTTACAAATCCACAGTTAAACACAAGGTGCTTGAATGTGTGCTTGATTGTGACATGATTGCCATTCTGCAAATGAGAAAGCCCTCCTAGCCCGAGAAAATCTATCAAATGCAAGAGTCAGTTGTTACTCATGCTGACTAAAATGCATGTTCCTTTGTTTCTAACGAGGTCTTGTCTATTCTTGTACCAGGATTTCCAAGTGTTTCAAAATCGCTTGACGGGAACTGTCATTCGCATCGGGTAATTGACCTAAAATTCAAAATAGGTTCAAGACAATCTATTATGATTCATGCCGCCTGGCTGTCTTTTTTTTTTTGCGTGTAACGCTTCCCATCAAAAAATATACAACTGCTTGTCAGATGTTGAACTTCTAAAAACGCACCACGGAAGCTCAGTTCCTTAACTTTGATTTCAGATCTTTATGCAATTTTTTTTTTTTTTTTACTGGAGTAAAACTTTAAATGAGAATGCTGGATGAATGAATTGAACTGTGCTGAGCATCGTAAACTAGCTAACAGGGCTCCATTCCAGCTAGTACCAAAGCAACCGAGAAAACAAACAGAAACGAAAAAAATCTGTTCTTTTAATTAATTTAAACAAGAACAATAGAGAAGAGGAAAATGTTAGGTATAAAATGTATAATAAGACCAAAACAAGCTCATTTAGATGTTTCACTAGCCAGCGGTGTAATCATCAAGAAACATCATGCTGTTTAACCATAATTCCTCAGTACAGGATTACGCTTATTAAGTATAGACTTCTCCCAGCTGCTTTCCTTTAAGGAGTTTGCTGCCAACTTGCTTTCGTACATGTCGCCTTGCTGGAAAGTTTCTTTTTTTATTGCACCAGCGTTCATTGATTAACCTAAAATGCCACCTGTCAAATAGTTGCTGCTTTACGGAGAACAGGAGAAATGTTACGCCTTTGTCCTAAAGAGGGAAAAATAGATTTGTTTTGGTCAAATAACCGGAAAAACTAATAGGGACGAGTTTCACAGTCTAACAGTTTCTTATTGTGTCTGAAATGCTCGCAACCATTCATTGAGATGTGCAAATGTGTGCCAAGACACCAAAGCCCAGCAACCGTAGATCCGATAAACAGATGTGCATACGCAGTGATTTGGAATTGGCATGCTCTGTGCAATAATAACGTAAAAGCGTTTGAAAAATACTTGGGTGATTGCTTAAATAAGCAAATGTGTTGGAGGTCTTTCTCAGAATGAGGAAGTCAAAGCGGATGCTTAATCAAATATTTCCACAGTTTCCCCCCTCCCCCACCCCCCCCTCTCTTTTTGTTCATTGTGTTCATTTCAAACTGCCCTTGGTGAGATGAAATTATTAGGTCTCAAGGCTCATCAACATAAAGAGATATTGCTATGCTTCTACAGTCTGTTTCCAAGGCACACATGCAATAATTCACATTGAGTATTTCAAAATCTGTTGTGTCCCGACATCGATGTCGATTTGACCTCGGCATGAAAAACTGTAGTAAAGCCTTGGGAATAAAACCTTAAAATACAAACCAAACCAAACAAACCTATGCAAGGGAAGAGGCACAACTGTCCAACGGCACATGGGATGCTAGCAACCAATATGTTTTTCAGTATGAAATGATCAAATGAGAATGACGAGGAATTAGGATAATAATTTAAGGGAATTCTAGGCACAGCGAGTGGTGCAACTGTGCTGTGCAAATTCAAAAAGTATAAGGCACTGCTTTTGCTATGCATTGCTTACCAAGACAAGCTTGTCTATAGGCAGATAAAAGTAAATCTACATTTGCCATATCGCCACCCAGGGGTGAATGAGTAAGGCGGGGAGAGGTACGTACACTGATGAATGTCGTATTGGTGACCCGCGTCAATCTATAGATGAACAATGTGCTCCATCGTCTTCGGAAGAGGGAGAACAGCCAAGTAATATAAACTGGGACTCAATATTCTCAGGTTCTGCTATTTGTTATCAGGAATACGTTATACAATCGTTATCGAGGATCCTTCGCTAAATAATTTTGCAGTTTTCCAGCTTCCTGCAATAGAGTTGCTTTACCGCGTTCAGGCGTTTTGACATTGCAAGCATTCTCGGTAAATACTTGAAGCGTCTACGCACTGCATTTAATGGCGTGATTGGATACAACTAGCAAGCAAAAAAAAAAATAAAAAAAAAAAAAATCCAAGGATTTCCCTCCAAATTCTTTCTGTTCAGGGACTACCAACGGGGATGTTTCATTTAAAAAAGTATCCTCACCCACAAACTGCCCAAAATTGGCAATTTCAAACTGCAGTGTTGTAAAACCTGGGAAAAGGTGGAATGGATCAAGATCTAAGGCTTGTATATCTATATATATATATAGGACCTTTGAGATGACTCCATGTCCAAATTTTTCTGTTTAATATCATCCCTCTTTCTATTTGAGATATATAACAAAAAAAAAAAAAAATCATCATCATGGACTCCAAGGAAGCAAGATTCCCCAAGTACATGGTATACTGCGTTCTCATGGCTTGTATTGAAGCCTTCAGTAACGGTTGGGTCATTGGTTCTGCCAATGTGCCTGGCCTCGTCACTCACGAATGTGAGCATGGTATGGAAAAAGTAGCTGCTAAAGGTCTTCCTGATTGTTTGCCCATGAACACTGCCCTTTGGTAAGTCATTCAATTTCGATTCTACTCTTTCCGGTATTGACATTTTGTCTTTCGATAGGGGTTTCGCCGTTTCCTCCTTCTGTGTTGGTGGCCTCATTGCATCTCTTTTCGGTGGTGCTGTTCAAGAAAAGCTCGGTCGTCGTTTGACCATGATTGTTAACAATTCTGGTTTTATTGTTGGTTCTCTGTTGTGTGCCGTTGCTGTTCATCAAGCCATGTTCATCATTGGCCGTATTCTCTGCGGTCTTTCTTGTGGCCTTGGCTCTTTGGTTGTTCCTACTTACATTGGTGAAGTTTCCACCATCAAGGCTAGAGGTACCATGGGTTCCTGTAACCAATTCTTGATCGTTATCGGTATTCTTTTGGCTTCCGTTATCGGTCTCCCTCTTGCCACAGTGCCCCTCTGGCGTGTCAATTACGCTATTGCTGCTTTCCCTGCCATCTTCCAATCTGTCTTCTTCCCTACTTGTGTCGAAACTCCTCGTTGGCTGGTCGCACAGAACCGTATTGATGAAGCTCGCCACAGTCTTCAGAAGCTTCGCGGTAATTATAACATTGACTCTGAGTTCTTTGAAATGGTTGAAGGTATCAAGGGTACTGCAGTTGCCAACACCTTGGTCCGTGGCGCTGATATCACTGGCGATGAGGGTCTCAAGCTATCTGAATCCAAGGAGGCCGGTTCCTTTGATGCCAACAACGAGGAGAAGGGTGGCAATGATATTGACCACAAGACCTACTCTATGATCGATGTCATGAGAGATCCTGTTACTCGTCGTATTGGTATTACTGTGTTCATTCATCACATTATCCAACAATTGTCTGGTATGAACGCTGTCATGTATTATTCTACCAACATTTTCTTGCTCGCCTTCAATAACTCTCAAAGCATGGCTCAGTTGATGGCTATTATCACCACCATTGTCAATTTCGCTGCTACTATCTTTGCTGTTTGTGTCATTGATCGTTTCGGCCGTCGTCCCCTGTTGCTCATTGCCGAAGCTGGTACTTGTATCTTCTCTGTTCTCTTGGTTGTTGGTTACAAGACAAATACCCCTGGTCTTCTGATTGCCTCTGTCTTCTTGTACGTCGCCTCTTTCGCTGTTGGTATTGGCCCCATTCCTTGGTTGATTACCTCTGAAATGACTCCCACTTATGCTGCTTCATCTGTCGGTGCTGCCTCTACCTGTATCAATTGGTGTATGAATTTCTTGATCGGTCAGATTTTCCCCGTTATTTTCGCTGCCATTCAAGGTTGGTCTTTCCTCATTTTTGCCGTTATTTGTGCTTTGGCTTTCTGCTTTACTTTCCTCGCTCTTCCCGAAACCAAGGGTCGCTCTCTTGAAGACGTTGTCAGAGGTTATGAAAAGCATAAGAAATAAGCTCGTTAGGCGCTGTCATCATTTTCATACTCTTGTACTTTACACATTTATTAATCTCTTTATTCTATCATATTTCAATTGCATTTTATGATCATTTTTGTAATAAAATCCAATAAACAAAGCATTATTCAGTTTTGAATGTCCCGCAAGTGTAGTTGCATCCACTTTTACTACTGTAAAATATGCAAAATGCAGCGTAAGTTGAATGCATTCGAGCAGTGTTTTCTTGCGTTAAAAGCCGTTTCAGACAGCCAAAATAGCACCAGACAATCTCTTCCGTTGAGCACATATTTACTGACACATCTGCTCAACTTTTTAGGAACCAAAAAAAAAAAAAGGACCAAAATCCACCAAAAAGCATGAGGGATACCCTCATGGTTTTTATCGAAAATCAAACGATCGCGTTTTTCACCTCGAAAATGAAAACTTTTAATATGGTATATATTAAGTCAAAATGTTTCTATTATAAATCTAAAGCAACCCCTGAAACCACTTTTGTGATGCCTTTATATGCAAAATTTCGACATTTTGGCCAAAAACTTCATTTATTATTTTCCAAGATTGCTTACTAAATTCAGTCAAAGCATCTGTTTTACTTGGCACCATTGGAAACGCCTTAAAAAGTACTTTAAGATTGTATTAGAAAGTGCATGCTGATCATCACAACTTGTGTAGTCGAATTTTACAGAAGAGATCAAAGAAGTCGAGAAAAGAGGATATTTGACCAATCTTGAGCAGGAATAAATTTCAAGTTTGAATTAATTTTATTGGGCGCTGCTGTTGGCTGACCCAAATGCCTTTTTCTGATGATGGCAGTGTTGATTGGAATGGTGATGAAGGACCATGAGTTTGAAAGCAGTATCGCTTAGCCTGAAAGGCTCTCTTTTGCTTTTGTTGGGATTCTTATATCTGGCAACGCCAGTCAGCCTGGCTCGCTACCCAAATACAGCAGTAGCTGTCGTAAGAGACGTGTACTCTATAAAACCAAGATCTTACATCCATTACTCATTTTTCCTGAAAAACGTTCATGTGGGCATGCATATCGGCGCAGAAAAGTTGCTTATTTTGGCTATCCTAAGAACAGCTGACCATTCAGTGCACTCATTTACCTGCATCAATGTTGATTGCTAGGCAACATTCAAATTCATCGTGATAAAAGGCTAATAAGAACAGCCATGCATTTAATATGTATTTATGATATAGATATAGATATGTATGTAAGTATGTAGGCATGTAACATCAGATAACTGGAGATTGTTGCTCTTAATACCACATTTGACCATGGTGACTATTGGCAAGCGTTTGAGCATCTATGCAGGTACACATTGAGTAAGCATGTTTGTCTTGAACATGAATTATATGCACAACACATACCTTGTTGTCCCGTGTGATGATGTTGAAGCATCATGTCATCCATATTGAAATTGAAAATGTTATCACAAGCAGAACTTAAGGATGTGCACGACGTGGTGGAGGAGAGAGCAGTGGCATTGGAGTTGACTGAATTGGTGGAATTGGATGGCTGTAGAACAAAAGGATATCCACCTAAATGACTAGCCAAGGAAGAAGAGCGAGTAGAGGAGAGGGGCGATTTCTCCATCTTCATATGATCTTGTTGCTGCTGTTGTTGGTGGTGATGAAACACCATGAGCTGATTGTGCTCAGAGATGGCAGTTGCTTTTGGAGCAAACAAGTTTGAAGATGAAGAAGACGCCATCATTGCCATACTTGTAGCTGTTGGTTGATGTAGCTCAGCATTGGGCGTATGGTCTTGCTGATCAAACAGCGTCCAATCCACGCCATGACCTGCTGGTAATCCATCATAGCAATTCAAATCCGTAGTATTATCCAGCATCAGGTCTTGAAAGTAGAATGAGGACGGTACTCCAGTCGGGAGGTCATTTGACTTGCCAAAGGTGTTGCTATGAGAAGCATGGGACCGATAGCTTTGTGTTGGTTTTGCTGATTTACTGCTCTTGGGGGTTGTTCGTTTAGTAGATGCTAGCGATTTTGTATTCAACTGCTTATTGGTCTTTTCTTCTTTTGTTAGAGGCAGAGACAGAGATGAAGTTAATACTGCGGTTGTGGATGTAGTACTAACATTGGCATTTGAGTTGGCAGTAGCAGCAGCAGCAGCAGCAGCAGCATCAGCAGCTCTCTTGCTTCTTGAAATTCGCTGCTCTCCTCTCAAACGCAATTGAGCTAAAATCGATCTTGAATCTTGCACCTCGAGCTCAGTTTTGATCATTTTCGACTCCAACTCACTGTTGTCCGCCATGGGCGAGCTAACGATGGAGTACACTATGGAGCGTTGATTGGCAAGGTCAGATTCAATGCGACGTATACGAGCTTCCAGATGAGACAGATTGTCGATAAAAGGGTCTACATTGGTAGGCTGTGTTGTGCGGGATCTTCTTGAACTTGGGTAAGCACACAAGACGCCTGTGGACAGACATCGTGTGCAGTTGGGATGCGCCCCATCGCAACGCACTTTTTTATGATGGCATCGGAAGCAAGCAATGGGCGCTCTGGGCCTCTTGCTGGATGATTTGGTCTTTGTAGGTTCGTTTGCTGACTTTCTCATAGTTGCAGTAGCAGTAGACATATTATAAAATTAACGATCGTGAGGGGTGAGGGGTGAAAATGTAAATGAAATAAAGGAGAGAAAAGGGCAACAGGCTAAACTTGACAAGCATCTTTAAAATAGCATATATTTATATATACGACAAGATGTTTGTCATCCATCATGCTTTCTTTCGCATGGGTGCTCCTTAAATCATGGATAACCCAAATCAAGTTGAAACAGTTGATTTTGTATTGAATGCTAACCTCATATCCAAATCGATTATTTGCATGATTTTTTTTTTTTTCCTTTGTGGTATAAGCAGATGGTTCATGTTGCAATTGTAGAAACTGTCTGATTAGATACTAGAAACGCGGTGTAGAGCTATCATCATTTTCATTTTTGCATTATTCAATGATGTCAAGCATAGGCTTCGTTCTAGACTTGTTTATTCTGTTTGATGCTTTATCTTGATCCAAATACTTTGCCAATGCCACTTGAAATGGCCTTTCCTACTAATCCACTGGCGCCACTGCCAAGCGACCCCAAAGCAGAGCGAGTTGCCATACCAGTAGCCCATCTCTTTTTTGCATCCTTATCACACTGAGTATATCCATACACGTTGGCCATGTTCAAAGCGAGTGCAACGCCCACAATAATCAGCCATGAAAACTTGAATGTAATGAGACAAGAAAAGGCAAACAATGCCCACAGAGCAGGTGTGCCATAAAGTGTCCACCAGAACAAACGTGTATCTGCTGCGTTATTGATTCTACTGGGCTATTTGTATGATTTGCAGTCAGTACCTTTTTCTTCTCACCCCTTAAAAAAAAACTAAGACTTACACTAGCACTCTCAAACACCCATTTATTGGAACCATCAGGCTGAATCTCATTCCACCAACGAAGACCTACCAACAATCTACCAGAGATATTCTTTACTGTCCAAAAGTCGAATGCTAATAGTAAGATGGTGATGACAAAGACAAAGGTAAAGTTGTCTGTGAAGATGGAGCCCAAGAGATAAGTCAACAAAGCGCCCAGCCTAAAGGATATAAAGAAGAAAGCGGCAATGGGATGGCTAATATTTCATCGATTAGGTGTATACGTTGTATTCGTAAATCAGCCAGCGGTACCTTGATTGTTCGAAATACTCTCTAATTGTGTTGCGTGAGGTGGTGTCTTCATTCACAAACTGTTGTTGCTGAGCATTATTCGTACTGACAGGTTGAGAAGTAGTAAATCCTGACTCCAAGTCTTGGTCAGCAGCTATGCTTGCTGAATGCTGTAATAGATTGAGCTTGTCTTCTTGAGGCTGAAGAGTGAAGTTAGTTAGTAAAGAATCTCGCCATAGAAGCGTCTGCATATATTACCATGTGTAGTGGGGTGGAGGGGGGAAAAAAAAGGCAAAAAAAGAATAAACTCCAAAAATGTTGGTGTGTGTGTATGTGTATGTGTGTGTGTGTATGTGTGTGTGTTGTTATCATCCGCCTACAAAGATGTTACAACACACTTCAACAGATAGACTTCGAAAGCCCGCAGCATTGCCAATGTGATGGTTTTCGAGGATCAGAGTAGCATAGAAAAACATCTGCTTGTATGGGCTAATTGCCATAGATGTTGCAACTTCACTCAAAGAGTATAGACTCAAAACCTTTTGGTTTGTAACAAGAAACCGAGACACATGTGGCATGTATTACATCTTGCCTTGCTGATTCATTATGTCAAGACACTAATCAATCAAGAGCGACATGATACAAATATATCGATGCTTACTTGCACTCTTCCATCAAAAGAGTGACCTTTGGTAGCGGATGAGCATCTTGATTTGATTGAATAACCGCTGGATGTCAGAGCTCAATAAATAGTGCGATGTTTCTACACACTTCTTTTTTCTTTTGTATATTTTTTTATAGAAAAAAAAAAAAAAGAATAATGGCTTTAAAACGTATCAACAAAGTAAAAGATTCAAGCAAAACGTTTGGTATAGAGAGCACATGCTAATAGAGCGACTATAGGAACTCAAAGATCTCCAACGTGACCCTCCTTCAAACTGCTCTGCTGGCCCTGTTGGCGATGACTTGTTCCACTGGGAAGCTACTATTGTGGGTCCTGTAAGTTACTTCCATGCTATACGCAGCAGCAACCGAGCCATCGCAACTCACAATGATATGTAGGATGCCAGCCCTTACCAAGGTGGTGTGTTCTTTTTATCAATTCACTTCCCTACTGATTATCCATTCAAGCCTCCCAAGGTAAATACATGTAGAGAAGGCATCATGTGTATTCAATCACACTCACTCGATTTTACTTTGCAATAGATCAACTTTACTACCAAAATCTATCATCCCAACATCAACAGCAACGGCAGCATCTGTTTGGACATTTTGAAGGACCAATGGTCTCCTGCATTGACCATCACAAAGGGTAATGCATTTTGAAGGAGAGAACAAAGGCCATGTAGGTTAACATTTGGTTTTCTTCTAGTTCTCCTCTCTGTCTCCTCTCTTCTCACAGATCCCAACCCTGATGATCCTCTTGTTCCTGAGTTGGCTCACATCTACAAGACCGATCGTGCTCGTTACGAAGCCACTGCCAAAGAATGGACTAGAAAGTATGCCAGTAAGTAATTTGTGTGGAAAGAAAACTTGGGCAAGGGATATGGTGTATTCATTAGGCTATGTTTTTTTTTTTGTTAGCGGAATAAGTGGTGAACATGACAACAACAAAAGCGATTTCAATAAACCAAATAGATTTTTGCATATACAGAGTGTTATTATAAGAGAAAGGGAGAGAGAGAGAAGGGGGATATGGATTACAGCCATGGGTGAGTTTTACATGTCGCACACCAGTAGGCCATGCTCGTAAAGACCAGATACAACTAATTTGGAGTTTACAACATCAAGAGCACCCGAGCTAGAAGTACTAAATAGGGAGCCAGTGTCTTGGATCAATGTCTTGGTCTCTCCAGTCTTGATGTCCCACACATCCACTTGAGAGGGAGGCTTAGTGGTAGATGAAGGATCAGCAGCAGCAATGTACTTGATTAGCTCCAATGGCTTGGGATGGCCGCCAACGACCAGCAACTCCTTTTCAGCCTGATAGTGGAGATTGTCAACAGCCATGTTGAACTTTGCCTCGGCAACATGATCGAGCTGGACATGAGGGATACCGTTGCTTGACAAGGTTGTCACGATTCTGTATTGCCTGACAGAGCGTTTGTTTGTCTCGGAAATGAAGAGTGCATGATCCGTGCCTGACACGCCGTTAGCAAAGTACAAGCCCTCTACACCCTTTTCTACCTGACCTGTCACTGCGTTATAGAAGCCAACATTGCTCCAATGGAAAAAGTAGTCTTCCACCTTTCTCAAGATGGGATTCACAAAGTAGTGATCATTGGAAAAGAAGAAGGAAGGGATGCCATCCTGTGACCTCAATCTGACATCTTGGACGACATGAATGCCGTTGGGAGAGTAGATTTTGGGGTGCTGCACAGTGTGTTTGTGAATCAAAGTGATCTGATCATCATCGACGCGAAAGAATTCGACAGAGGGATGGCCATGATGAGGCTTATTAATAGCGGCAAGTGTCTTTTCGTTGGACTCAGGATGCACATCAAGAGCGACGCCCAAGGGATGGAAGTTGGCCCAGATGTTGCTTTGGATTTGCATGTTGAATCTGTCAATGGAAGCAGGTGTTTCAGCATAATTCACTTTCCAAATGGCTCCAGCAGGAACAGCTTCACCGGGAGTCAGCTTGTCGATGCCCATGATATCGTTGTACTGGATTCTGACAGGATCACAACTGACATAGGCTACACCAGGCTCATTGGACAAGACAAAGTCCTCACAGTACTTGAAGTCGCTGGGACCTGTTAAGTGTGATATATGTACGCGTTTAGCTGTCTAAGCCATAAACAAGTATCTGCACACATTACCTTCCATCTTGACACATTCGTCGATATTGTAGTCTTGCACAGTAACAAACACACCAGAGAGAGGAACAAGCACATCTATTAAATTTGACACGTGAGTATAGAAAGAATGTAGATTGTTTGAAAGCATCACATACACAGAATGGAGGCAATGTAGGCAATGGGAAGGATATAGCCCCAATACTTTATATGAAACCAGACGTCCCTGTGAGGAACAGCTGCTGTATTATCAGCACGTGATGAATCCATATTGCAAATTGAATAAAGGAAAAAGAGAAAGAAAGAGAAGAGAGGGTGCCTTAAAATATGGTCCTCATTTTCAATTGGGGCTTTCGCCATGTTAAAAATAATAAGCTTTGTGTAATGGCTCATGTTGATGCGTGTCTGCATCAAGATCCTTTTATTGTTAGACTCTGGGCTTAAAGCTGATTGCATTTTCGTGAAAATAAGCTTGCAATGTTCTTGATTTCGCCTTGGTAATGACTTCTACATGCTCCACATGGACACTGCTGGACGTCTTGTTGATCCAGTCAAAGTAGTCGAGAAAGGTCTGAATCTGGACATCTATGCATACAAATAAACATGTGAATTTTTCATCACCATATGCTAAAGCAAGATGAGAGTGTTACCATGGGGAAGACACAGTGCTTTTGTTCTGTAGCCATATTCCTCCTGATCCGTATACACTGCAGATCTCTCCTTCTTGAGACGCTCATCAAACCAAATGTTGCGCCGGAGATCTCTAAGGTAGTACGCTGTATCCATAAGACGCACCTTAAGATAGCGATGCAGCTTATACATAGTGGCATCAGACATCATAGAGACAATGGACTTGCTAGTTACTGCTTCGGGGCCAGTCAACGTGTACACTTGACCAGCATGGTATTCATTTAAGCAGGCTGCAAAGGAGCCATCTTGCTGCAGGACAAATGCTGCAATAACTGCGCCAACATCACTGATATCAATGGGACACAGCTCCGTATCTGAATTCAAGGGTAATGACATGGCGCCAGAGACCTCCACCTGGTGAGACCACAAATGAAAGTATTGCTGTATAAACTCGAGTCGCAGAATGACCCAATTCATATCTTGTTGTTGTTGCTGCTTGGACACCAAATGATTCTCCACCAGCCCATAATCATACAGGGCTTGATGTTGCTCTGATTGTGCGCCTTGATGTGAGAGAAAGATGATGGATTGGACACCAGATTTAGATGCTGCGTTGCAAATACGTCGACAGTGCGCCACTCGGTCAGTATGGTTGCTCATGATGAGAATAACTTGATCAATGTTGCGCATGGCTTTGGACAGATGATTCGGATGCTCAGGATTTACAGGAAGCACATCAATCCCCTTTTTGGCAAAATTGCACAACCAGGGTAACTTGGTATTTGTCTCTTGACACAAGACACGCATATCAGAACACAGTGCAGCAGATTGAGACAAGTGAGAAGTGATGCAGTAGCCCAAGTAGTCATCAGCGCAGGTAATGAGAAGCATTGTATATGTATATAAGTTAACCAGGTAAGATTAAGAAGAGAAAAATACTCGCAACAATGAAAATAGTGTCCTTTTTTATATACCTGTTGCTCTCTCACAATGGAGAGCCACAAGACAACACAGTTTCATTATGGATAACATCAATGAGCGAATAATTCCGTGGCTAGAAGTCCTTACTTTGTTCTTGAATGTTGCGCTTAAAGATAGCCTTGTTGAATTGTATTTTTAGAGAGCAAACATACTAGCTCAGACCACCCCAGCCAAATAGATGGCGATAGATCCAATGCTATTTTTACACTGTGTATGAAAAACTGGACTGATGTAAGTTTTTCATATGATCGACAGCACCAATTCATTTTAACAACAAGCAATGGAACCTTTGGTCATAATGATAGCAAGAGAGGAGATTTATCCAATGTTTCAGCTCATTGTATATTAGTAGCCAAGTACGAGTTGACATGCGCTCAATTCGAAACAAGCATACTACTATCGTTTAGCAATATTATAATCATAAAGCGCAATTTGGTACTCTTTGCTGAATCCTCTCTCACTGATTGATCATTTTACAAACCCTCTCTGGCTTATGCCCTCTTGGTTTATGTCTGTGTTTTTAAAGTAATGGCTGGTGGTCTGTTTAATGGTTCTTGGCCGTATGCGGTTCTCCACACAATCTTTCCATTTCGTGATTTAACTGTAATGCAGGCACAGGCTTCCAATTGAATAGCGGCGATTAAATAATGTTCATTATACTTGGAAATGCCAAATACTGCCAAAATGTTAGTAGTTTTAATCAATTTTCGTGCAAAATCACATAAGAACATACCTTTGATAGCTAAGCATTATCTTTAGAAGTAACTATTTTACACATAATGAGCCACATATTACTAGATTTTAAATGAAGGATCTGATTTAATTTGCAAAAAAAAAAAAATTGCATTTTGGCACGAGGGTAGGGGTCCAAAAAAAGGGTGTCCACCTATACAAAAGCATTATTCCATCAAAAGTCATTATTTTTACAAGCTATAAAATGGAAACAATAGTAATTGCTGCTATCTACACTATATAATAGTAGCTACACCAGCAAGTACGCGAACTGCAGTGGCTACATTCATTTTAGCGTTTTTTTATATGTCTTTTGAATGCTACTTCTTCATTTAAAAAGCTAAACATACTATTGTCCGATCGAAAACACGTACAATTTGCATATCTGTATTTTTAGTTAGTATTGCAGATTACACTTGTATATGAAAAGAACGGGCTACTGTCAATTTTGTATATTTCACCGATATTTTTAAACGGTTATATCTCGGCATTGAAGTTACTAGTAAAATTGAGACTGGCGCAATTAAAATCTCCTTGTTGATTTCTATCTGTATCTATAGTTACTTTGGCAACCTTTGGGGGAGTCGATTTTTTGAAGAAGAAAAAAAAAAAAAAACTGGAGTGTAACATTCTGGGATTGAAATTGCTTTGACTAGTATATCAATGGCTGACCATTGACAAGCTTGCAGGCCACACATCATGCCTGAATAACATGAATCAAATCGCTGTTTTCTTTCTCATAAACTGGTTTTGGTGTAGCTTCAATATGAACGTACATTAAAGCTCACAGGAATTGTGCAGAATAATATAAGAGAGTTCTGATAAAGGTCGCATTCGTTTCGTTAAATCATTCATGATGATTTATCAAAATCGTTGACGTTTGAGCCCCATTGTGAAAATTGATATAGAGACATGTGCTACTTTGCAGTCGCGAACAGTAGCTCAAAGGCTCACAAAAAGCTGATATGCCTGTGAATTTCATTTAAATGCAATGTATCATTTTGCATGATCTGCTTTCATAAGACTGTGTGACAGACATGGCTTATGTAAAATCTGCTTACACTCGTACACAACCAAGCTATTCATAACAGGTCCCAGATCAAATCTCACATAGCATTCAATGCAATTACAAAGTATGGTAACAGCATTAGTATATACATTACACATATTATTAGATAATATCCTCAAGACGAGAGTATAAAAACCTCAGATCCACGACCCAGAAAGCATCATTCATCTCATATTCCACAATGCTTCGCTCAATCACTTTTCTATCTGCTATGATTGCTATGGTGGCTGCTCTCTCTGTAGAGGTCAGCATCAAGGGACCAGAGAAAGGGGCCTGTAAAGGTGTCATTACATTCGTTGCTCTTGATTCCGATTGTGGAGATTGTTTATATGGTGTCAAGGACTTCCGTTACGCTACAGTCAAATGTAAAACGCAAACTGCTGCCGAGCAGTGTTGCAAGACAGTTACTAAATCTTGGTAACATTCAATAAACTACACACTGCTTTGGAAACCAATAGGTTTCCTTGAATTTCACATAAAGTTTCGAGACTGTTGAAATGTAGACCCAAAACCAATGATTGCTTGTTTTCAGTTTTCCATTTAATTCTTCCCCCTTTCGTTTTGAACGGATTCATTTCTTGTTTCAATCAAAAAAAAACTCTCACATCTTAAGAAAATGTAAGTATATCCACACTCAAGAAGGGCCAGAAGAAGGCGCGGTGATATACATTTGGATACTTTGGTCTTCTCTAATTGACTCAAATGTGGCTGTTTATCCAAAAGGGATTGGAGAGAAATAAACCTCAATCGCGTTTGCTGTGCTTAGTTACTGATGCCATTTCCTCTATTTTTCAGTAAAAAAAAAAAGAATGTCATATAACAGTCGTAAAAACCAAAGCACTACTACGTCTACTCGCACAGTATCATATAACTCGGGTGGTTTAAATGAAAGGTATGTAAAAATGACAGTAATGCTTAAATAGAGCGCTGTTATCCTAATTCAATGGCATAATAGGTTCAGCAAAATTGTAAAGAGTGCAGTAGCACAACGCAGGCCAACCACAGTAAACACTACATCTAGCACGGCCGGTGGCAGCGTGTTTAGCCGTCTTCGAGGAGCAAAGGCTACACCACGTGGAAAGGCTGGATCAACGAATATTCAAAATCGTCTGGGAAAGACAAACAGCGGTGGTATCAAAAAGAGAAAAGCAGGAGGACCTAGTTCAATGGAGGGTATCGAGAGACAAAAGGGTCGAGTTGCAAAGCGAGCTGTAGGAAAAAAGCAGCCAACAAAGCAAGGCAGTAGCAAGCAATCACCACAACAAAAGCAAAAGAAAAAGGTGGCCAAGAAGCCTGCAACTGCCGACGATCTCGACAGAGCACTTGACGCTTACATGATGAAAGATCCCAAGACAGCTCAAGCAAAACTGGATGCTGAACTTACTTCTTATATGGATGAAGCTGGTGATGTTTTGATGGATGAGAACTTGTAGAGTCATGGTGAATTGGATGGTGGAATCGTGTAAAGAAAAAAAAAATGAGGAGCTTGATATATATATATATATATATTTCTAATCGTGTAGCATTGAATAAAAACTACCAAATACGCAACAACAGTTGAAATGGGCTTGTATGTCAGTGATTTCCGCCTATGATCTTACTTACACGCGCTTTATAAGCCTGTGCACAACGAGAGAACTTGCAGGTATGGAGGGGGGATCAGCAAAACATATTTATTAGCGAGCATGTTCATGAGGAAATGCTATCACAAGGCAGTTCCAGGTGTTTTATCATTTAGGCATGGATCTCCAACCGAAAGAAAGCTAATGATTGCTCGAACTATAACCTTGTTATGAATATGTTGCGACTGATTTAAGCCCCCCCCCTCGCGGATAATAATTGGAGTTCTCTTTCGAAGCAGCCCTGTCATTCTAAGCAAGTATGTTGGTATTTTCGAAAGGATCATCCCATTGCAATGCCAACTTTAGCTTAAAAGTTGAATCATACAGCACATCCACCAAACGGGATCCTGTACAGAGCACGCCTTTTTCCTATCATGGCACTAACAAAATAGAATGCTGCTCGAATAATCGATCTACTCAAGTTACAATCGATAGTTTTCGTATCAAATAAATATTGCTAAATCTGAACTGTTTTTTATTGGAATGAATAAGTGATCCTTGTCATAGATTTAACCATTCAACTTCTTCCATTGGGTATTCATAGCCAATAAAGAAGTGGTAATACTGGGTAATTTCATGAGAATTCATGTTAGTAATGTTACATCATATCAAAAAAGAGAAAAAAGCTTACCCAGCAAGGCCAACAATGCCCTCATCAGCCTTTAACCAACCCAAACCAGCAGATGGAATAATAATATCAACAGCATCTGAAATGAAGGCGTATCTAGTAGTGTATTTGTCTCTGTGATAGATGAAGATAAATGTTAAAACGGATACTGAATACATACTTTCTGCATTATATGAGTTTACCTGGCTAATGCCTTTTCTTGGGCCTTCAAATCGGCAATTTGGCTTTCTGATTTCTCCTCAGTGTTGACGATAGCCTTACGAGACTTCTCAAGCATATGCTCACGAACACTCAATTGCTTGAATTTGTACAAACCAGAGATCAAAGAGGCTGCAATGGCGGCAAACCAACATTTCTGACCAAACTCGGTAATCTTTTTGATATTGGCAGGCTTGTAAAAGTTGATCGAGTTGGACTATTCCAACATATGAGATCAATGGCAATGTGCACAAATCCGAAAAGACTTACCAATACAAACATTTCACTTAAATAGTAAAAAAACATACCAGCTTGCTTGGCAACAGCAGTGAATCGCAATACTTCATCTTGAATGCTCAAGCTCTTGACACCAGTTTGAGCGAACTCAACAGGCTTCAGGAGACGAAAGAACTTACGGCCATTACCGAGATGGGTCTTGAGGTTGACCCAGCGCTGAATAGTGTCCTTGGGAGCACCATTACGGAACAAGTAGAAGGCATAGAATCGAGCAAAGTATTGAACAAGACGACAGAGCTTTTCGCGGCCAACTGTTGTGTTTAAATAGCGGTTGAAAGCGTCGACGCCAGAGTGAGTGAGCATCTTTTGAATTTTGTTTAGTAAAAGAGAGATTTAGGAGAAGAAAAGGGAGTGCAATGCTGGAAGATGGGCGTGTGTAAATAATAGGGTCGACAGATACAATCGAATATACCCTTTTGTGACGTTATTCCCTTTTCAGCTGCTTCAATGACTAAAGACATATGTTGAAGAAGCTAAAGAAACTCTCTGTATTTGTACAATTAATGACATGTTGCTAACAGAAATATAACCCAGAGAAGTTGGATGTGCTTTTTCTCACTTTTTCATATATGCTTTTATATATTTAGATGTGTGCAAGTCAGCTTATCTAACGCAAAATATGTAAGGGAGATGCATTTCATGTTGTAGATGGTGGCATTGCATTACTGTACAGCATATCAAAGCAAAAACACTGTCTCGAAAGACCAAATTATACATTACAGATAGTTGGTAAACAATATAACGAGTGTATAGCGAGTGAATAGCTTCTATTTGATGTTGTTTTCTTATTATAAATCATCCTGTGATTCTGTTGTTTATTCACATGAAATTCGAGGTTCCTGGAAATGACGCTTCTTGAATCTTGAAACACCACAACTCAAAGACACAGACTGTGCGGGGTAATGCTCAATGTTGGTCTTTGGCAGTTTGTTTTGATCCACATCAGACTTTTAATATATACTGTACAAACGAACATTATTGTGATAATGCTTTCCATGAATCATATTTATAGGTCCAAGTTTTGATACAATGGAGCTTATCATGTCTCTCACTCATGGGTATTAACATTGCACAGAGCTACTAGCGCTATACATTAAAAGTTTCTCATCGTCAACCATAAATTGAGTGAATAAAGCTGCAGTGCTATGAATTGAATCACTATATATATATATATATATTAATTTCTACTACAATGTTGCTCAAATTGGTGTTTAAATTATCCCATGCAGCTAATAACTATGGGTATATTTTATCCAAGAGGATTGATGATATGCTCTCTTATATGATAAAAACTTTTCGTCTATGTATTCTATCTTTAGCAAACATTCATATCCAAACTTTAACTAAAATTCATTATAATCCAAGAATACTATATAGCCATTTCTTGATCAAAGCCATTGATATAGCATGTATATCCTTAGCCTGATTCGTGTGTTGGTAGAGGAGTTTACGGCAATGATGAAGTCTAGAAGGTAGAAGCGCAAACATGCATAATACTGGCGACAATGTTCTTCTCCTATTCCTTGTTATTGGCATCTTGGTCGATTGGCATTCAGAGCAGCTCCACTTCTAGATTGGTTCCATAGACATTCTTGTTGGCATGATTTGAACAGAGCAAGATTAAGCTCTTTGATTACACTTTTGGATTTGAAAGAATCAGTGTAGTGCTTGTTAATTATGTTATAGTTCTCAGCGTCATGCTCGTGATTCTGCTACTTTGGAAAGCCTGATGAGTTGATAGCCAACATTCTCCTAGACCACGGTACTACTATACCAGCCTTTGTTGTACAGTATGTAATAATGATAACCCAAATGCCCAACTGATCTCTACTAAGCTGTGATCCTTGCCTACTCGAAAACAATTTTGAGTAACATCAAACAATTTGATCTAGTACAATGCAATACTAGTTTATGCTGGTGAAGCAATCACTAGCATATGCTGACACGAGCCAACTAATATGACTCTATGATGCAAATTAAATTTAAATCAGTGACAAGGTCTTATTGAGCCGTAGCACAACTGGCATGCATAAGAAAAGCTTATATAAAACTAAATGAGCAAATCAGGCATTTTTATCGAATGTGATATGCCTCAACCCCCCCCCCCCCTCCCCCACAGTGTGTGATACTCAAATATTGTGTCAATCAACATTGGAAAATGCATTGATGAATACAACATCTTGTGTTGCACAAAGATGATCTGGTTCAACGTGGTTAATTTCTACTCAATTTCTGGGGATGTACAACGACTGAAAAGCACAGATCAACAGCCATGGTACAAAATTCCAAACTAGTTGTTGAGTTGTGGTCATTTGAAATGTAATAAAACAAGCAAAGCATGAGGGGAGTGTAACACATTGTCAATTTTTATTCATTTTACAATTAGTCAACAAGCGTTCTCCAAGACTCTAAATGACGCTTCAATTTGTGGATGTTTTGATCGACCTGGCTAGGTGTTTGCACCTTTAATCCGTCGAGATATCGCTTAATAGCAATGGCTGCCTCGTCAGTTTTGCCCTTGACAGAAGCCTTTTGGTTTTTAAAGGTCTTTTCGAGATAATTCTGGATCCAGTCAATGTGAGCTTCTGTATAACCCAACTTGCGATAAGCATCGTGCTCCTTCTTTCTCCAGAAATGGCCGAATGAGTCCTTGATTTCGCTTGGGTCAAAATTGTGCACCTTGTCGGTAGCATAAGCAGCAGCACCAGACGCTTTGGACAGAGCAGAATGAATCGTACGCGAATGAGCCATGGATTTGGAGGAGGAGCTCCACTCACTCGAAAGAGAGCTAGCAACAGATTTGACAGAAGCAGCAGCCTCCTTGGCAACCACTTTGGGCTTTTTCAACTGCTTCAAATTGAGTACTCTTTCAACATGCGCTTGACATGATCTAAAGAAGGACTTGATTTGATACCACACATCCTCACAGCCATACTTTACACGCTCAAACCAGTTTTTCACATGATCCTTGGCTTGCCCAGTGTATTCCAGACCAAATATCTTGTATCCATGTACATCACGATTGATGGAATCAATAATCTTGTCCAGTTGATCTTTCTTGAGCTGTGTTTGCTTGGAGATGGATTGAGAGAGGTGATCAAGCCAAGCCTTGTCGCCAAGACGATGAATATCAGTGTTTGAGATGCTAGTGCGGATCTGCTCGCCCACATCCTTTGCCTGTTCCTTGGTGAGACCGCCAATATGAGTAATGTGATCCGTGACAGATTGCATCCAGTGATTGAAGGCAGCAGCACCGTCGTCTACAATGCTTGTTTTGCCAGTAATGACGCGTTGGAACCAAGAGGGTTGTTGATAGTGAGACTCTACAGAGTGGTATGCCTTTTGCCATTGATCCTCGGTCAGCAGCCTCTGTTTCACAGCTTGATGATGCGCCTTGTCTAAAACAGCTTTAACACGCTCCTTTGATAGTTGCCCCTTTAATTCCAACTGACGCAATTGGTGCTTCAGGTCAGTGATGAAGGCATCAATATCGTTCTTTGCCAAATGCGTGTTTTTGCTCAGAGTTTGTGTAAAGCCAAACAGGATCTGATCCACATTGGTGCCCAAAAAGTACTTTGCATTGGCAGTAGCAGCGTCCTTGTATGATTGCGCAATCTCGCTCAGCGACTTGTGATCCGAGGTCCTATCATACAGAATTTTGTACTTGTTGAAATACGTGCCCAGGTTATCCTTTGTCCATTCATCCACTTCCTCTGTTCGCACTAGAGACGGACATTGTTACACTATGGGCTCGTTTTTTAAGTGTGTAATACATACCAATTGCAGAAGATTGTCCTGTGAATGATAGTATAAATGCAGTGATAGCTAAAAGTATTACAAATTTCATATTTGAACAAGTAGGAAAAGAAAACAAGAGAGAAAATGAAGCTGGTTTTCTTGCATTTATTTGACCAGTGTTTCGGTGTGTCTCGGTCATATATCATCATTGTGATTTCATGTTGTCTTCTTCTGTACATATTAAGGATGTCTCAGACTGACAATGAAAAACTTCATTGTTTCCTTGGAGATTTTGATTGCGGGGGGTGGGGGGGGGGTCTAGAGATGTGGTGCAGCAATAGTGTCTGGTGTCCATGACTACGGGCATGCTAGACGGAGGAGAGTAGGGATGAGATTGGAATTGCTCATTCCTTATACTACGCTTTTAAACCACTGCGTTTAGTGCAGAGTAGCCTCTTATATAAATCACACTTTGAATCTGATTTGTTTAAAAAGATTTTCAAAATTGAGCGAATGATAGGATAGGGGTGATTTGATATAGAATTATTATCAAAAGGGATAATTCAGATTTTAAGCTTGCACAACTTCTTATTGGATGGTTACACCCCAAAGTTGTCCCCACTACCCAACAATTCATGTCATATTCGAAATCAATATAAAAAGGACCATGTTGTAAGCTCAAGAGGAGATAATCAGATCCTTTTTTCATTTTCTTACATCTAATTGATTGCAGCAAATAAAGAGCATCTCATTCCCTTTATTTTTTAATATAGAAAATCATCCAAATCATTAGACATGTCGAATATAGCAACATTAACATCGACTGCACGCACAAAGACGGAGTCTATGAAGCCTCCTCTTCCAAAGACAAAGATGCCTCCCCTCTTTGATCAACCTGTTACAAGCAAGAATTGGACCAAGTTTGTCAATTGGCCTCAAGCCATCTTGCTTTGCGCTACTCCTCTCATCGCATTGTACGGTCTCCTCACCACTGAATTGACTAAAAAGACATTGATCTGGTCCATTGTCTACTACTTTATTACTGGTCTCGGTATCACTGCTGGTTACCATCGTATGTGGTCTCATCGTGCTTATCGTGGTACTGATGTCTTGCGTTGGTTTATGAGTTTTGCTGGTGCTGGTGCTGTCGAAGGTTCCATCTACTGGTGGTCTAGAGGCCATCGTGCTCATCACAGGTACATTGAATTGCATGTGTTTACCCTCATGTTCCATACTAACACACATTCCAATAGATGGACCGACACTGATAAGGACCCTTATAGTGCCCATCGTGGTTTCTTCTTTTCTCACTTCGGCTGGATGTTGGTTCAACGTCCCAAGAACAGAATTGGTTATGCTGATGTCGCTGATCTCAAGGCTGATCATGTCGTTGCCTTCCAACACAAGTACTACCCTTATTTCGCGCTTGGTATGGGGTTCATCTTCCCCACTTTAGTTGCTGGTCTTGGATGGGGAGATTTCAGAGTAAGTTTATTTCCCGTCTTGGCACGTTGTTGATTGAAAAGCTCACATTTTATACTCTTTAGGGCGGTTACTTCTACGCTGGTGTCCTTCGCTTGTGCTTTGTTCATCATGCTACCTTCTGTGTCAACAGTTTAGCTCATTACTTGGGTGAATCCACATTTGACGATCACAACACTCCCCGTGATAGTTGGGTCACTGCCTTGGTTACCATGGGTGAAGGTTATCACAACTTCCATCATCAGTTCCCTCAAGATTACCGTAATGCTATCAGATTTGGTCAATATGATCCCACCAAGTGGTTGATTGTTGTCTTGTCCTGGTTCGGTCTTGCCTATGATTTGAAGCAATTCCCCACCAACGAAGTGACCAAGGGCCGTCTCTTTATGGAAGAAAAGCGCATTCAAGCACAAAAGGATAAATTGTCATACGGTACTCCTCTCAAGGATTTGCCCATCTACACCTGGGAAGAATATCAATCTCTTGTATTGAACGACAACAAAAAGTGGGTGCTCATTGAAGGTGTCTTGTACGATGTTGAAGAATTCATGAAGGAACACCCCGGTGGCATGAAGTATCTCTCTACTGCTGTCGGTAAGGACATGACCACTGCTTTCAACGGTGGTATCTACAACCATTCCAACGGTGCTCGTAACTTGTTGACATCGCTCCGTGTTGGTGTGCTTCGTAACGGTATGCAAGTCATGACTGAAGCTGATGCCACTGCCTCCACCTACGATGATTCACTTGAATTCGATTCCAAAGCTGCTCTCTTCAACAAGAGCAAGTAAATCCTTGTCATTTATACATATTTATTTTCTCTTTCTTTTTTCCCTCCACCATCTTTTATATATTTTAGCATTTATATCCATTTTCTATATTAAAAAAATCCATTCTCTTATATATATATATAATAAAGCCATCAATCCAAAGAAAATACCACCTTTTGTTACTAGCAGCCTGATCTGACTCTTGCAGTTTGATATTGATGAGTCTGGTGCTGATTTCTGAAACAGTTTGATTTACGTTATACAGGGTAGTAGAGATCATCGCAATTCGAATAGATTGATGGCTATACTCTATTGCTCCATGCATTGAACAGTGTTACTATTGACATGGAAATCATCAAACCAATCCAAGCATCATGCTCAGTTCTCAAAAAAAAAAAAAAAGCATTTCACATTTGGGTGAGCCATTTGTGGTGATTTTAACCTATCAGGTATGTAACATTTCCTAGAGAAAAGCAGAGCTAATAATAGCCAAATTATGCCATTGTGCTTATTTTAATTCGTAGTAATGCCGTCCTCATAGCATTATGAGCTTCCCACAGCATCGATTACCCTCACATTCAGTATGGCAGATGTTTAACGAGCAGCCGTCAAAATAATTCAATTTTCACTTTACGTCCGCTCAAGATTGGACAGATTCTGGTCAATTTCGACTTGGTTGATCCACCTTTACAGATTTGACTGTCAAGTTGTGATGCTCATCCCATACTCCCTTTCTACTTTTTGGAGTGCTTTTTGAGGCGCATCTAATGGCGTAAAATACAAGAGATGTTTTGAGCAAGCTTGCCGAGCAATCTTGGAAAATATGAAATGACGTTTCCTGCAAAAAAAATACCGAGATGTTACATATTGAGGTCGTACAATTAAGATTTCAGAGGTTGCTTTGGATTGAGAGAAATATTTTGGTTCAATACATACCATAGTAAAACTCTTCGTTTTTAAGGCGAAAAACGCGATCGTTTGATTTTCGACGAAAACCATGAGGTGCCCCTCACGCTTTTTGGTCGATTTTTGACGCTGTTTTTTTTTGGTCCCCAAAAAGCTGAGCAAACGTGTCAGGAAGTAAGTGCTAGGTGAAAGGAGTTGCATGTTGCCATTTCGGCGGTTTGAAGCAGCTTTTAACGCGAGAAATCACGGTTCAAATGCATCCAAATTACCATCATTTTGAGTAGTAAGAGGCAATGCAACTATGCCGTACACCCGTCTATGCGTGGCAGCTTTAATACAGACATGAATCCATTAAAAGAAGCCATATTCACAATTATGGAGGGTTCCTACCTAATATTGACAAGTAAAGGAGTATCTACAACAGCGGAATATTCAATAAAGCTTCTAGTGTAATGATGATATGGATTTAGGTGATCGACAGAGCGATCCGCCATTGGGTAAGACGGCTCTCATCAAAGCGTAAAGGCACTTTTAGGCTTTAATAATGAGTGGATCTACTGACACCGACTGGCAATGACCAAGTACTTTATTATGGCGGGATGATGGCTATCTGTACGTGTTCATCATTTGACGTTTGAGATGCGTAAAGGTAATAGCAGCTCTCTGTATTCTTTCATGTCATTGGCAAACTCCACGATGGCAATGCCTTGAAATCTCTAGACATCAGCAACACCTGGTTGCTCCTTTATATATATATATATATATAACAACTTCCCACATTTGAATCAGGATAGAGTGCACATTGGCCAATCATGGCAGTGTTTGTTTGTAATCATAAAACCCTGTCAAAATGGATAATGTTTCGGACTCTATCCCTATTGTTACACCTTGAGCAGGCTGAATGACCCCCCCTGTGCGTTTATTAATTTTGATTTTTTTTTACCTTTGTTTTCCCGTAATTTTCTTTTTACTTCTTTCTTTACCGTATTTATTTATTTATTTAATTTAAACCATGCAGTCGACATCTCGCTTATTAAGAGGTTTGTATCCAAATTCAAGTCGCGTAAAAAGGAGGACATGTGTTAACCGAGCAAATGGATAGCTGTGGGTAGACAATCACCCATTGTGCGACGTACACTTCAACAAAGATTCAATTCTACCACAACAACTGCTACTGAGGCTCCCAAGAAGGGCTACTCAAAATGGAAGACTTTCAAAAATATCACTGCAGTTGGTACAGTTGGTTTCGTCGGCTATACACTCTATGGTAAGTGGATCGTGTTCATTGTGGGGAGGGAGTTTTAGATTAATTTAATGGCCATGTAGAAATGTACTATCACCGTCATCCCACTGAACATCCCAATCCTACTGACTCCAAAAAGAAAACTGTCGTGATTCTCGGTAGTGGTTGGGCCAGTACCTCCTTCCTCAAGTCAATTGATACTGACCTCTACAACGTCGTGGTGGTGTCTCCTCGTAACTACTTCTTGTTCACCCCATTGTTGCCCTCATGTACCGTAGGCACCATCGATGTGCGTTCTTTGGTCGAACCTATCCGTTTCATTACTCGCCACAAGGAGAACGAAGTCAAGGTATACGAAGCAGAGTGTACTGAAATTGATTCTGAAAAGAAGGTCATTACTATCGTTGGTATGTGTATTGCTCTATGATGACATGATGAGCTCGTAATTGAACAGAAACCTTATAGATAACTCCGAGGTAAAGGGCGATAATGCAACCAGCACTATTCCGTACGACTACTTGGTCATTGGTGTGGGTGCTCAAAGTCAGACATTCGGTATTAAGGGTGTTGAGGAGTACGGTTGTTTCCTCAAGGAGGTTTGGGATGCTCAAAAGATTCGTACAAAGTTGATGGATTGTATCGAAACTGCCGCCTTCCCAGGCCAATCTCCTGAGGAAATTGAGCGTTTGTTGCACATGGTGGTTGTGGGCGGCGGTCCCACTGGTATCGAATACGCTGCTGAACTCCACGATTTCTTGGTCGAGGATTTGACCCACTGGTACCCTGAACTCGCTGGCAAGATCAAGATTACTTTGGTCGAAGCTATGCCCAATGTTCTTCCCGCTTTCTCCAAGCAATTGATTGATTATACCGAATCTACCTTCAAGCAGCAAAATATCCATCTCCACACAAAGACTATGGTCAAGGAAGTCAAGGAAAAGGAAATCATTGTGCAAGGCCCTGACGGAAACAAGGAGTCGATGCCTTATGGTTTGTTGGTTTGGGCTACTGGTAACACCTCTCGTCCTTTGGTCAAGAATTTGATGGCTCAATTCCCCGAGACACAAAACATTCGCCGTGGTTTGGCTGTCGACGACTGGCTTAGAATGGCCGGCACCAACGACATTTATGCTCTGGGTGATGCCACTGCTACCAAATATGCTCCTACTGCTCAAGTAGCTGCTCAACAAGGTAAATACCTCGCTCGCGTCTTTGCCCAACTCCATGCCACCGAACACTACGAGGCTCTAGTGGAAGAATCCACTACACCAGAGGAAAAGGCCAAGAACATGCGCAGATTACAAAAGGCACAAGACATCAAGCCATTCCACTACTCCCATCAAGGTTCTCTATGTTACATTGGTTCCGATAAGGCTATCGCTGACTTGCCTTTGGGTCCTGGTAACTTGGCATCCGGTGGTGTTGCCACTTATGCTTTCTGGCGCTCTGCTTACATCTCTAACTTGTTCTCTGCTCGTAACAAGTGGTTGGTCATTACTGATTGGACCAAGAAGACTTTCTGGGGTCGTGATATTTCCAGAGAATAATAGGCTTCATTCACATTTTCTTTTCTGCATTACATTTACAATAATAAAACTCTCCTTACTCGAATTGACTGGTGCATTTATCAACTATCTCGTGCCATTGCGAATAATGCTACATATCAAACATCGCAATAATAAGGATACAATGAATTTTGCCTAATGCAATGAGACAAATTGTATAATCTACAGACCTTTCTTTTGTGAAACGTAGACAGGCAATGATCATACAAGTATAGTCGCGGTACGGCCGTTACGAATAATGAATAGATGATTAGAAGATAAAAGCGATTAGCCTTCAAATATTGATCAGCATTGGTTGCTCTGTCTGATCAAAAACTAACATATGGTGTAACTATCAAAGCTGAGCCTGTGTGCGGTTGTTAAAGATAACTGATTAAGACGATAAGCACCTGGGTGATGGCACGAAGAAGTTACCTAAAACTCTAAGAGATATGTTGTTAGTGCCGACCAAGAGAAACCCAAGCCGCACAAATGAATTGTCAGCCGTTGGTTACCTAATCATGAGTAAGTAAGTCTACAATCTACAAAGCTCTTATATTTCACGAATTACAAGAAGCAATAAATCCGACATCCTTGAAGCAACTGCCGCCATTGCGCTTGATTTCTTCTCATTGCTTGAATTGGCTTGGAAGAGCAAAGAGTTGATAAAAACGTCAATCTATCTTTTAAACCGTAGAAAGAAAAGGGTGGTAATGGAGTTAATCGATGGTGAGGGATAGGCTGAGTGCATTCTATCTCCCTTTTATCGCAGAACATCCAATGCCAGCTCTTCCAAACACCCATAATTTCTAAATATGCTAATAAAAAAAATTTGAATATTCTCTTATTTCTAAGGCGAGTCATTACATATTAACTAGTGTTAATGCTTGTATACTATATCAAGACAATTGTGTTATTCGTATTTATGTATCTGTTGGTGATTGCTAAGCTCTGTACACTGATAATGACCCTGAAAGCAACAGGAGCCGTCAGAAAGGGCTTCAGACTTGAATTGAAACTGCGCTAGCTTGTGTGGAGAAAATCCAAGAGCTTTTTTCTACTGGAAAAAAAGTAAATGCATCTGATGTAAATGGTTTCCATGGCAACCAGGGGAGCAACAGTAATAGGGATCAAGAGTGACATGCTGTACATATCAGGCCGTATTCTAGTGTATTAATTTGATATATATATTCTTACTTTATTTTAACTGAGGATATGGAGAAATCAAGCATTGAAAATGGGAGAACCCATCAGAGGGTTATGGTCGGACATTCAAATATGCTCTCTGCCTGAGATGAAGATGGCATGCCAAGGCATCTGAAAACCTACTTTATAGTAGGTATCTCAAGATGGATCGAGTAAACCATTCAATGAGTATTATCTTTTGATGTGTATCTTTTGTAGCTACAGTTAATAATTAGTTGGTAGCTCTAATTTACTGGGCACTTTCGGAGATAAATGCGTAAACAAGGAATCTCTCCTAAGCGTTGAGGTCAAAAAAGTTGGGTCAAACAGTGAATTTGCACATCTTGTACAAAAATTGCTTTTTCCCAACAAAACAAAACAAAAGCTCCTTGAGCAGCCTGGATTACTCTGATGCTATTTAGATTGTATCTTATTAACGTATTTTGAATTCTGTAGCCAATACGCGCATTTTATGGACTTTCTGAACCTACTTTAGAAGGATGTACTTTGTTGAATGTACAAATTTTAATTCAGTAGATCCCTAAAGAATCTCCAAATTTAAAATGCGTTTGATACGGATTCAGCAATGAGAAGAGTTTGCAGCCTTAATATATTCTCGATGATGATATCATAGGTATGTTCCTAAAGCATGTTTAAGGTTGTAGCCCTAAATGCACCTTGAATCCATCGGAATGAAAGGGCACGTTGGTAAGGCGGCAAGTGTCGACTGTATCGTACAATGCATAAACAACCGCTCAAAATTGATCCGATGAACCTTGTTAAATGTAAACATGTGTACACCTAAATAGTCAATCCATATAACCTCGTGGTACACTATAGCAATAGAGATAGCATCATGAATCTAAAATATAATTTGCATATTTAGTTTCAAGTGGGCTTTGAAGGCTAAGCCCATCCATTGTATTTCATACTTGGTGCTGTGTAGAATATGTGGTACAGCATGACCTCAAATTCACAGTCCATTAATATGTTTCTCTTTTTTTTTTTTTTTCCTTCTTCTGAATTCAATACATTACATACTTCCTAGTCTTCTAAAGAAATGCTATTTTTCAGCATCATCATATTACTATTTTGCTCTAGTCTATGTTTCGGTAATGTTGTTGCTATTGTGGCTGAAATGAAAAAAGTGCAAAAGAATTTTAATATATCCCTTCTTTTGCAACCATTACGCATGCACGCTTCATAAAGCACACAAGCCTGGTAAATGCAACTGAAACTACACAATAATACCGAATTGACATTTTGAAAATACAGTTGTGTTATGGCATGGCATGGGCGATGATTGTTGCAATCCTGATTCGATGGGAAGAGTAAGCAAGTTGATCAGAGATCGCTTGGATGGAACATTTGTCTACAGCGTCCAAGTAGGAAACTCGGTCGATGATGATCATAAAGCTGGGTTTTTTGGTAGAATTGATCAGCAAGTTGACGCTGTATGCGAAAAGCTAGGGCAAATACCTGAATTGCGAGATGGATTTAACGCTATTGGATTCTCTCAGGTATTTTCTTGTTTCCTTGTAACTGACTCCTTGAATATTCACCAGTTTATATTCTATACGCTTTACAGGGCGGATTGTTTTTAAGGTACCAACCTACAGCAATTTGTGTGCAGCCATCCTCTCTTATCAGTGCAGCATTATAGAGCATATGTCGAAAGATGCAATAAGCCAGTGGTTCATCGTTTGATAACATTTGGCTCCCCGCATAGAGGTTTGGATCAAAAAGCTGCATGAATTTCGTTCCCTAAGCCAAGACTTTTTCCTCATTTTAGGTGTGTCAGATATTCCAAATTGTATGAACCCACGGGATTTTACATGTAAATTGATGAGAACAATGGTAAAGAGCGGCGTCTATTCAGATTATGTCCAGAGTCGCATCGTACAAGCACAATATTATCGGGATCCAGCAAACGAGAAGGGTTATTTGGAGAGAAATCGATTTTTACCCGGCCTGAACAACGAGAACGATGAGAATGTTAGATACAAGCAGAACCTCAGTTCATTGGACAAGTTTGTAATGATTCGATTCAGTGAGGATGTGATGATTAAGCCAGGCTACACAGCAGTAGGTGGTGAATGGTTGGGATATGTTTACTGTGGTATTAAACGGTCAACTAGTGGTTCTGGTTACATGATGAGGATCGACAGCTTGTTCCGTTACAGAACCAGACGCTTTACACAGAAGACTGGCTTGGGCTCAGGTATTTGAACGATCATGGCCGTCTAGAATTTTTGGTGTGTCCAGGACAGCATGTAGGGGAAATCGAGACATATTATATTGACGACGTTTTACTCACCCAGAATCCCCCCCCCTTTTTTTTTAGATGCAAATAAGCGATGACTATTTAGACAAACAAGTTATTCAACCCTATCTAAAGGAAGAAACAGAAGATTTGCACTTGATTCAGCAATTCTGAAAAAACTCAGCCTACGCGAGATAAATATAGTGGCAGATCACAAGCAAATAAGCCCTGTTGTTTTGGCTTATTTCTATAAATATATATATATAGTAGGCTGCCTCCTTTCATTTCTTTCTCTCTTTCTTTCTTTCTCTTACCTTCATTCCTGTATCATTAAATAAAATTATAATGAAATTGACGAGCATCATTCTATTACTACTAAACACAGCTCTATTAGTCAAATGTCTACCAATTACATCTTCCATAATCACAGCAGCAAGCTCCACAACGACATTCACAACATCCGCTGTCAGTCATACCAGCATAATAGCCAATCAGGTGGACGAATCACCAAACAATACCACCACAATAGAACAAGATCCAAATACATGCCCAAAAACAGATTTCCTGATACCCGTAGAGAGATTCGCCCAGCTTGTATCAACACACTGGCAATTTGACCATTTGGATTCTATCAAATCTGGAACATACAAGACGATATCTGAGCAATTTCAAAAGCATATATCTGTTTCCATCCAGCAAAAGAAGGGCAAACCAGCCGAACAGCAGCAAGCAATGAATAGCAATAGACAAAAGACATTTAGAATCATCTCTTCTTGGGAAATGATGGACCTGGAGATATTACATGCGCAGATTTTTGGAGCAATTCAGGCACATACTGAAGGCAGTTTGCATCTTGCATGGGATCGTCTAGCAGATAAATTAGGCCAGCCTGCATTCGAGGCTTATATCCGATCTACAGCTTTAAGATATTGCGGTAAGCAAGATATGCTGCTCAGCTCAACATGCTTAAAGCAGTCGGCAGCACAATTATCATTTGCATTGGACGGCTATATCCAGCAGAATCTGATCCAAGTGTTCAATGCGTTGGATAGCGATATCTTGCCTCAACTGCTGGCCAACACATCCAAAGATTTGACAGACGTCTTGGCGTATTTCAATCGGTTGTTTTCGCTTGGTGATAATCAGCAGCTCGAACTTGAGGTTACTCCATGGACACAGCAGACGGATTCGTTAAAATCAAAACTACTTCCATTATTAGACAAATCTATCTTGAATGATGGCCATTTGTTTGATTTCTTTTCAGACTATGCTTGTCTATCAAGAGCATAGATCAGGAGTAGACAATGATGGACAGAGACGAGTGTAAGTTGTACTTATACAAGACATTTACTTCTATTATACCATTATATAAAGCCATCATTTCTTAAAAAAAAATCCTTTTGTGCTTGATTTTGATTTTCTTTGCATTTTCATGCAATGTCCCTCTAATTACTACTGAATGCCTCCTGATAGTTGTATATGTATATATAAAAATAACAAGAAAAAATAGTGCATCTGCATTATGTATGTGTGTGTGTGTGCATACAGCATTCAAACAGTAATAGTCTTTTTTCCTCTCATACCACAAATAAAAACCACATTGTAAATGACAGATTCAGCAGACTAGACCTTTTGCCAAGGAGTCTATATATGATTGAACCACAGCCTACATGTGGGCATCTCCCTTCTAGCAGCAGTAACATCTCCTGAGGATGGCCCTGCAAAGAAACAAGTACATACATCTTACCAATGTGCTCCTAATTTTACAGTAGACAAAATATTCTCACCTGCCTCTGGAATTTACATATATAAAGAAAGCAAGCAATCCATAGGCACGGCCACATTTTTTTTTGGGATTCTAGACCACCATTGTACATTCTAAAAAAAAAAAACAACATTCTCCTAGTATATCCAAATGATACACAAGCAGACTAGGATGAGGCTCATGTGGCCCAACAATTTCTCTCTAGTGGCTTATTTACAGTTTTATTGCGACATGTGTTAAAACGATAATAATGAACTCGCCCTGGTAGGCTTTCGTTGCAATCCATGTGCTTCATTTAGGGAACATACTCGTTTCGCTGATGAAGGCGTGTCATCTTGGCTTTTTCTACTACTGTTGCGAAACAGAAAGTTGTTGCGAATGGAGCGTTTTTTAGGTGTTTGTTGTGGCTGCGGTAATGCTGGAGAAAGTGGTTCATCTGTGGACTCGTCAGAGGATGAATAAGATGAATCAGATATTAAAGCAGGCGGTGAATGCGATAGGGGCGTTTCATCTTGGTGATATCTGAATTCATGGAGTGTGCCTTCCATTGCGTTCACCATATCCTGTCATGAAAGTTTGATTAGCTTGACACCACTACCGTGTCATCAAGACGAGCTTACATTGATGCTTTGTATCAAATAGTCTGAATTGTCCTTGTTGTACATAACTGATTCACTGGCAAGCTTGTTGGCAACCTAAGATAGCATGTTATTACGCATTGCTTATTGTTGAATGTGCGATGTTTACCTGAGCCTCGTTACACAGTTGCAGTGTGCTACTTGTGTAAATGTCATTTGCACTATTTGGATTTGGTAATTGTTGTTGTTGACATTGCTCCTTGTTTTTCAGTGCTTGATTCTCTGCTTCCAGCTGTAAAATCAGCTCGAGATGTTCATTGACTTGATCTGTTTGCGTTTTGGTGATGGCTTCAATTTCCGCTTGATGTTGCTTTATCAGAAATTGCTCGCGATCTAGTCAACGTGTGTCAGTTCATCAAGTGTAGCTATCAAAAGGCAAGCATACCTTCTAATTTCTGTTTCATGGCTTTGTAAGAATTTTCGTATTCGATAGCCTTCTTTTTCCATTCCATCACAATGGCTTTGAGATTACTGATGGTAGACTAAAATGATACGCTGTAAGCATCCAGCATATGCATCGATAAAGTAAATGCAGCATATACCTCTTTTTGCTCCATTGCCTTGTGGCAATTGGTTAAATCAGTATACCAGCGTCTCTCTCTTTCTGTCAAGTGTTCGACATTTGTATCTTGTAATAGCGATTGGATGGCATCATTGACATTGGTGTATTTTGTACTGGTAGTAGATGTGGGCGTAGGTGGGAGTGGTCGCTTGTTGACAGTCATTTTGCGTGCTGGTGTTATAGATTAAAGAGAAAAGAACAAGGTAAAGGGCATGCAATTGCGTCGTATTTATATTCAAAATCATACCGCACCCCTTGATGAAGAAATACCATTCTAATTGATCTCATAGAGCATTATTTTCGGTCATTTGTTTTGACACTCTCAAGAAAAAGATTCCTTTTTTGGAAATCGTCTATTCTTTTAGGAAGTTGTAGAAACAACATCAAATTTTCTGAATCTGTTAAGTGAAGATGGCAAATTCATTTCTCTTGGATAGCATGCTAAAAATTTCCAATTGATTATTGGCCTTTTTGTTCGTGTCCATGGCAGTCAAGGGATACTGAGTCTACGTGTATCAAATCAAGATTATATCATAGCATGTGTGTTGCCATGATGACTACATCAAATGTCAGTCTCCGGCTCAATAATGACTTAACGCATAGATAATGCCAAGTATAAACTAAAAAATTACAAAGGTTGGGTGACACTGATAGGAGAGACCGAAACTTGCAACAGCAATGGTCGTCTTCATGCTCTGAGACGGGCAAGACGAATTCCTGTAACCTTTCATCAGCATAATTCACTTCTTTATACCAATCTCACAACATCAATTTATTTTTATACTATTTCTCTCAGCAAGAAATTTGAAATGTAAATGGTGATTTCCTATCACTATGTATTTATATGACCATCGTTTACCGTTGTAACTTCCTTCCAATTTCTTGAGTGGAGCCTTGTTCAATTTGTATCGTGCTACAGCAAGCGTATATGTACATAATGGTGGCTTGACATTCTTGTAAACGATAGCAGACAGCTAGTATTCAATGGAACCTTGACATCACTCTACTAGTGTCTAGGTAGCTGAAAACCAGCATATTCTCCCTTTTATTTTGCCAGTGTTTCATGATTCAATATTTGCAACTGCTGTATTCGACAAGCAGATAAAATCGCCCAAGCTCTATTCTGATTTTTACGTACAATATAAACTCGGCACTTCGCATCTACATGAGCAATTCGCAATAAATTTGGATACGTATCAATCACAGATAATGCACAATAACAGCAAAGCAAAGTGACCAGGCTATCATATGGAGCTTTTTAACCTCTTATATGTTATGAAAGCATCGATTGTCTCTATAATAACAATAGCGTTAGTGTCACCCGAGCTTATTTAAGCCTCGACAAACTTGTGCTCAAGATTGGCCAAATTCTGTTTTTTTTCGACTTTATCGATCAAATTTGTGATATTCGACTATAAAATTGTGATGATTATCCCATAGTCCCCTAAGCTTTCCAAAAGTACTTTTTAAGGCGTATCCAACGATGCTAATTATAATAGATGTTTTGAATAAACTTGCTGGACAAATTTAGAAAATGTGAAATGAGGTTTATGACAAAAATGCCGAGATTTTACATATGAAAGTCGTATAAACAAAGTTTCAAGGCCTGCTTTGGATCGATACAAATATTTTGATTTATTATATGCTATAGCAAAAGTGCTCATTTTTGGGGTCATAATCGCGATCGTTTAATTTTTCGACGAAAACCATGAGGTATCCCTCATGGTTTGGAGCCGATTTTTGACGATTGCAAAAAAAAAAAAAAAAGTTGAGCAAAGGCGTCCGCAAATAAATGATGGATGGGAGCAATCGTTTGATGCTCTTCTGAGCGTCTAAAATTGCTCGTGTCACGAAAAAGGGGCCCAAATATATCCAAATCTCGCCGTGTTTTGCACATTTCCGACAAGTAAGAGGTAATGCAAATGTGCTGCCTGCCCATATACGAATTGTCTTCATGGACTCAGATGTGGAGAACCCTAGGAAAGTCAGAATCACAGTGACAAGCTGGATACGGTAAAAATGGAAAGTTGAAAAGTGGAATTTCATTATAACGCTAGTGGCAAATGCAAATAGTACTAAACACAGATAGTCCAAATGAACAGTGCTTACGAAAGCTATGCAGTTATGGTTGTTGGAATGCTTCATCAAGGTGTACATACATATATTTGGAAAAAAGGTTATACAGCACTTACAATAAAACGCATCTCTTCAATTGCCAAGGTCGAAATTTGTCCCATTTCCGCATGTATATAACAAGCATCAAATCATGTAATCACACAACCCAATTTTTATTATTTTCTAAATTTGCCCTGAAGCCATACTCTGTACATTTTCAGCTTTCTCTGTCGATTCACAATGAGTCTTCTATCAACAGCGTTTTGCTCGATAGTGAATTTTTCAAACATTTTAGCAATTTCTTCTGGCGTGAAAAAGTAGACTCTGGTGCCATCACCACGAATGTAAAAGTTCTCCTTCAATAGTCTGTTCTTTTTAAACCGTAATTGAGCCAGGTCGTATCTTCCATAGTCTCTAAACATGACCAATCCTCCAGGCTTTAGCATTTTGTAAATGTTCTTAATGGCCTGATCCCACTGCTCTGGTGCCAGTGCAGACAACACAAAGATGAGCACAATCATATCCAACGATTCGGGTTCAATCTCCTTGGGTATCTCTGCACTGGATAGATCCCACACAAAGGCAGATGACCTGGAGGGGTCGTAATGTCGATTGCCTCGCACCACATCCACTGCTGTTGATGAATAGTCTGCTGCATAGACAAACAGGTCTGGATTTTTGCTTTGATCCAGTAAGGGAAACATGGTGTTGCCTGCTCCACATCCAATTTCAAATACTCGCTTCTTGCCAGCATCCTCTTGACTTGTTTCAAATAGCTCAGGGAATTCAATCTTTAACCAGTTGCGATCCTTGAAGAATTTGTTTTCGTTTTTTTCGTAAAATTTGTTCCAGTATTCAGCTGGTTCCTTGTAATATTGCTCTGGAAGTGGTGGTGTTGTCATGTCAGCAAACATGGCTCACATCACATGTCTACGTTCATTACCTTGCTCATCTTCTGGCACTGGATTCTCCATCTGAGCAGATACCTTTTCTTTAGCCATATCCTCTTGCTCTTGGTCCCAATCCACATGATCCCTGTGTGCATTTCATTGTCAAGCAAGGTCACCTTTATAAGATCTACACAATCTTACCAGGCATTGTGAGCAAAGACATCATTATCTTGCTTCAAGAGTCGAGAACCAAATTTGGAGGTGTTTTCTGCATTCTTGTCTTGATCTACATCGAGCACAGACGAGCTTCTCTTTTTTCCAGTTTCCACATTATCAGCCATTCTTGTCAAAAAAAAAAGCGAAAAAGACATGCCAGATTTGCAATGCCATCTACCAGTAAAAGCAGTCTGTTTGAAAGGGTCCCTCTATTGCTTACATTTGATACTCCTCGAACCGGGCATTGAGGACAGCTCGCCGCACCTCTAGTGGATTTGAGTTGCCTTTGCGGGGATTCCGCAAGTAAAATGAGATGGACAGGTGCAACCATAAGCATACCTTCTCTTTCTCTAGACCATCCAGAATATCAACCATGGTGGTATGTAATCAAAGCACATTAATAGCAACATGTAGAAGGAAGAGGGGCATGTCATGACGATCGATGGATGATCCATGGATCATTATCAGCAATAACGACATTGGATGGGCAACATGGATGAAGGATGACAGTTGTATGGCTTTGGATCGGTAGCTAGCAAAGAGAGAAAAAAAAAACAGCTAATCAAGCACATTGTTCACCTTGCAACAATAACAGCAACATGCACACACACACACACAGCACTACATGAAATATACCATACCCTTCATTGATCTGCTTATGTTCTCTTCCTTCGACATGCTATAAGTACAGAATACAATAGAGAGGCTAATGTGACATTTGAATTATATAGCAAGGTACTTTCAAGCGTCAAGTCGAAGTTGGTCGTGTTGTCCTCATTAACTACGGTGCTGATGCCGGTAAGTTGGCTGTCATTATTGACATCGTTGACCACAACCGTGCTCTTATCGATGGTCCCACCACTGGTGTCACTCGTCAAGCCTTCCCCTTCCGTCGCATGGTCTTGACTCCCCTCGTCCTCAAGGATCTTCCTCGTGCTATCGGTCAAACTGCTCTCAAGAAGGCTTTGGAGAAGAACGATACCGTCAACGCTTGGAACAAGACTGCCTGGGCCAAGAAGCTCGAGCAACGCAAGACCCGTGCTGGTTTGTCTGATTTCGATCGTTTCAAGTTGTTGAAGTTGAAGAACCAAGTAAGTTTAGAAAAAGAGTGTGTGCGTTTGTGTTATGCTAGATTACTAATCCTACCTTGTAGCGTCGTTTCGCTGTCGGCTCTGCTGTTGCTGCTGCCAAGAAGCAAACTGCTTAAATATTCTTTATCGTTCCATGTATTCAATAAACCCAAGTTGAAAAATAACATTGTGATGATTTGAGCAAGATATTGTGTGTTTATTAGTTGTGTGTGTATTGGGTCCATGAGTATAACTTTATAAATGAGGGAAAAAGTACAGATTTACAAATCGTGTGATTTGACACTGTCTGAATCTTTCACTAGCTTCTCCTGGTCTTGTTGCTGATGCATTTTAAAGGAAGGTGTTATATCAGTGACATCAGTGACAAGGCTGTCAGACGGCTGTGCTGGCTCATGGTGGTTCATCTCGGCATAATCATCTTGTTCTTCTTCGGACGAGGAGTAACCTGCTACAGTGTTGTGATTTGAAAATTCGACAATGGGCTCATCTGGTTGATGAAGCTGTTCCTTTAACTCGGCAGCCTGCTGCTTTTCTTGCGCCTCCTTGAGGATTTCCTCTACTGTTCTCGTGGGGTCCTCATTCAAAGGCCTTCTACGCTTGTAAAACAAAAGATAGGCTGCTGTTGTCTTGACATCATTCACATCTACTTTGCTGACGTGCGAATCATCGAAATTGTACCAATACCCATCCTCAAAGTTTTGAGCAAAACTTGTGTCTATGGAGAGAGATGAGAAATTGTACACAAACACATACACAACCCAACTTACAATGGCCACCACCCAATCCACCATAATGGTTATCCACACCGTACAAATCATACACAAGCCTATCTTCATCCTTGACACTGGCATGATCCTCAATGCTCAACACACGATCCGTCAAGTCTAATTCTGATGTGGGGAAATCGATCAGAGCGTCAATCTTGTCTCTCCAAGTACGTGAATGACTGAATCGCTTCAAGTGGACCACCATGATTTCAGGCATGCGCCATAAATCAAACTTCTTTGTAGCACGCTGATGCTTCTTACACTTGGGACAGTACCAGAGATCCTCTTCACTCAACTCTTCTTCCTTGGTAAATTCGTCCAAACAATCAGACAAGGTCACTTGCTTCTTTTGCTGGGCAGTCATGTCCTCATCGTTGGGATCTCCTAAATCATGCATGTCGTTCCAAGCATCTGTGCAAACACCACTGTCGTTGCTATGGTGACGAGCAGCACCAAAAAGTTGCTGTGCCTTCTTGGGTGTCCATGCCAACAGGATGCCTTCTCCTTGTCGAATGATGGTGCTGGGGGGACAGGCGACCTTTCGCTTGGGCAAAACTGGTGGAGGGGCAGAATGCGAGGGCGGTGCTGGCGCAATCAGAGGGGATAATGGCCTGTTGCTGTTGGAGGAGAATCGGTCGCTGTTGTCAGAGCGGAAGGATACGTTGTCCATGGAATCACGGTCATCAGCATCAGGTTGGTTGTTGGCAGAAAACAAGGCAGCGGCATCCTCTACTTGGTCATCTTCATCCTCATCTTCTATGCGAGAAGGTAGTATTATGGAGTCTTCCATGTCAGTATCCTTTTCCTGTGCTTCAACTTGTTCGTCATCAGAGGAAGATTCATCTTGTTGCTTTAAATACGCTTCGAGCTGTTCTTGCTCGGCCTTGACTCTTTCAGCAAGATCGACCAAACCATTCCAGCTCTGTACACTCGGCAAGAGTTCCTCAAGACCACGAGAGTACGAGCGAGGAGCAGAGAAGACCTTGACAGCAAACAGGTTGCTCATGGGCTCAATCTTCTTTCCACCAGCAGCAGTGACAGCAGCAGCTGTATGAATCAAGTTGTTGCGGTTGGGTGCAGCAGTATCAATATCCATGTCATCTTGGCCTTCCAATACAGTAGTAGACTCCAATTCCGTGATTTCATCTTGTCGTTCTTGCTCTTGCTGCTCTTGTTGAATCACAGTGTCATAACCAGGAGGCTGTTCATCATCATTGTCAAAACTTTCGCTGTCTTCAAGTGTCTGCGACTCTTTCTCCAATGACTCGTTGTCTGATACGCTTTGCTGCTGATCCTCCTTGACTTCTTCAAACAACTTAAACTGAGTATAGCGTTCCACATGGGCTGATACCAGATGATAGAGTACATCAAACTTGTTGGCATCTTTGCGAGGCACAGCGAGGATAATAGGGTCGCCGAATTGGTCGATACGCTCACCGGAATACGTGTCAGTCTTGGTCACCGTGGCACAGTACACGGGAAACACAATCAACTGATTCTCATCAATGGGCTGGCTCACTTCATGATCGTCCTCCAACTGACTATAGCGGTTGTAAGAATATCTAGCCTTCTTCTTGGGGAGGGGAGGCACTGGGCCAGGAAGTTGGTAGACGTATATGATATCAGAAGAGCCAATGGTAGCTACAGGTTCATATTGAGGGAACACCTTGTAGATTTTGTGGCTAAAGAGTTCAACCACCAACAGCTATAACAGAGAAAAGAGTGAGTTATAAGCAATAGTGCCCATGTTGGTGTACTTGCTTACAGTATTGGGATCGTCCACAGACATCATCTTGGCCACCTCCTTTTGCAAGTGGGCAATGCTGGCTTCTTTGCTCAGGGTCACGACCATCTTTTGTAACTGCTGCGAAGGATCATAGGGAACATAAACAATGCTGGTCTTGCTCTTTTTCTTGATTGGTAATGGCAAGGATAAATACATGAATGGATCAAAAGTGACAGAGACCTATCGTCATTAAAATGAGTCAGTAACGCGCGCTTGTCTCCCCGAGTTGACTTGAATACACTACGTTTTTGCACTCTTCACAAATCAATCGACTTTTGAATTGGCCCTGGAACAAATCGACAATCACAGAGTCATTTCTAGCACGGTGATAATCCCAACTCTTTTGGGCAATTTCAGCATCCTTCATGCCATCGAAATCAGGTAGCTCAATGTAAGGCTTCTTGATGATGCGATTCAAATCTTCGTGAAGGCCATCCAGCAAAAATGCCAGTAATTCCTGTGTATCGTGTTGTTGATATCCACTGAAGGATGAGTTGAAGCGTCCAATGGTATACTTGAAATCTCGAGGTGCAAATGAGCCAGCTGTACCACTCCACAGGTGCTGTACCAACTCGCCATAGGCCTCTGCCACTTGTCCCTTCATGCCCAGTGGGTTGTCTCTGTTTAGGTCTGTCTTGTAATTGCCAGCCAAGAACCACTTTGTCAATTGAGGTGTGTTGCTGAGGCATTGTAGTGCTGAATTCATAAAACAGGTATTGCCCAAGTTTTGCAGGCCACATACACCACGTGTGTGTCGAGGAGGAGGAGGAGGAGGAGGCGACGTGGTGGATGAGGATGTTGTCAAATTGTTGAATCCATTGGCAAATAAGCTCGAAGCAGATGAGACAGAAGACGAGTCGCTGTTTTTGGTGGTGGGCTGTTGCTGATCAGATGGGAATTTACCTGTGGATTTATCTTTGACCTCTACAGCGACAAGCGACGCACCAGAGAAAGTCAATGTTGCGTCTTGCTGATCCAAATCCCAGCTGGTTGCTTGATTCACCACTTGAGCAGATACATTGGGTACAGATAGAGTGTCTGGCTCGTTCTTGAGGATCCATGCTTGCATGTCTGTGTCGGGTGCGAGATCAAATGCATTTTTGACAGCATTGACGAAATCAGCGACAGTACTGATCTGGGAGAGAGTGATGATAGGACAACGCGTCAGCTGGCTTGGATGGCTGCTGCTGCTCTCGATCAAATACAGCTTGAACTGGGGAGGATACATGTCGACTGTCTTTCCGTCGTCGTTGGTGATGACCAGTCTCTGAATAGGTTCTGCGTCGTCTCTGGAGCCATACCTAAAGAGAGTGTGTGCATCAGTCAAAGCGCCTTTTACTCATGATTTTACTGTGTTTACCAAGCAACTAACTCTATCCATGCCTCCTCTGGCACAGCAAAGACGTCTTCATCCAGCTCTAAATCTTCCGCAAGTCTGCCATTTTGAAGGATGGTGCGATTGTCGATGGGACCTGGAGGGGATCCTTGGCCAATGAGCCTGACTTCAGGTTGTGTGCTGCTCATACGAGCGCAGTATTGATGCCATCGATTATACCATGCCTTTGAGATTAAGCACCACGTTGTGCCGTCTTGCAAATGCTGTTCCTGCAACTGCTTGATCAAGCTGACTTGCTCTTTTGGGTCGACTTGTTGTGGTAACAGCTGTTCCTCATTGACGCTGGATTCTCTAGCCCGTTTCGTTAACACTGGACTTCTGTCCATCTCGGAATCTGACATGTTGTTGCTGTAACTATTAAACAGCGTAGAAAGAAAGTGAGAAAGACAAATGAAAAGAGAAAGATTTTTCTTTATTTTAAAAGAGTTGATGATATATGGATGATGTTGTTGATTTGAACCTCAGCGTAATTCACTTGATAAATTGACGTTTCCATTGCACAGCAGTATGGATTGGATCGAGTAGATAGATCCAGTCAAATCACAGCTATATAGTATTTTGATGGCATTGTTAAAAATCAATAAAATATGAGCATGGCCTCTTGGATCAAGACAGAAATCCATCTTGCAATGCTAGATCCAAGCAGAGCATGTAAGCTGGACCATGGCATTCAAACCACACCATGGCCATTTAGGGACTAAAATTAACTGGATTTGTGGCCAAATGAGCTACATTTTCATACAGGCACATTATGCAAATCTAGGATGGCGTTGGATATCAACAGATTTCATGGCAAATTACAACATGTGGATCCAAATCTAAAGCGATTCAACATCTACTGGCTGGAGCCATATCAACAAATATGGCGAATCAGTCGAGATCCATGCTTTGTTTCATTGTTCAATACATAGGTCAATGTGACGTGGCTAGCGAGTCGTTCTGCATACATTGGGTTCCAGCAAGCCAAAATGTATCCATTTTGCTTGATTACCTTTTTTCTTTTTCTTTCCAACTCTACATATAAAACTGCGCATTTGTTACAAGGATAAATAGCCTGACTCTATCTTTCTTTATACAATCTTCCTTCTTTATCTCTCACTCATACATACCTATCACTCATTGCAAGACAAATTCAGTAGCAACAACCACGGACATCACATCACATCAATCGACCACCTAGAGAGTATATTCTAATCCATCACTTGAACTTTTTGGTATATACTCTTCTCTTTTTTTTTTTTTTTGAAAAAAAAAATATATATATATATAAATAAGCAAATCTACCTCAATCAAAGCAACCTTATGGAGCAAAAGTCCAAAGCTTCAAAACGTACGACAAGAAAAGGCTCCTCTTCCAATACAACTCCTCAACATCCCAATACAGCGACTACTGCGACAACTTCACGTTATAGTTTAAGAAACAGAAAAGAGTCTTCAGCAGCGACAACAGCAGCAGCAGAGAATATCAGTACTACTTTTACAAGGTAAACACATGAATCATCCGCTGATAGGAGGACACTCACAATCCATACTAGATCGCAGAAAAGAAAACTTGAACCAAGACAACAAGCACAGAATCTCATTGACAAGAAGAAACCCAAGATGGATCATTCTACCACTAGCAGCAGCAGCAGCAGCAGCAGCAGCAGCAGCAGCAAAGGAAAGCAAAAGGTTGAAACCAAGGCCACAGTAACAAAGTAAGGAGTCGATGAGTAGCCAATGTAACACACACACACACACGCACACAGCAACTTATCACACTGTCTAGTAGAAAAATGAAACAGGATGATGTCTTGGATAACTACAATAACGATAATCATGATGATGAAATCCAAGAAGATGAGGAAGATAATGACGACCAGATGGATCCAATGCATTTTGACCACCAACAACAAGAGGATGAGGACGCTTCTTCTGCTTCTCAAGAAGAGGATGATGACAACCATCCAGATGAACAGGAAAATCAAGACGACGATGAGGATGACGATGAGGATGACGAGGAGAATGAAATGTCTCGTGTCAGAAGAACACTTGGTCTTCACATGCAAGGCTTGTTTGGCGGCATGATGTCCTCTGATTTTGGCAGATTCAAATCCATCTTGGCAAGTCTCAGAAACAGCGATGATCCCACTGTACAGTTGATTGCGCTTCAAGAATTGGCAGAGATACTCTCGGTCAGCAGCGAGGACAATTTGGCTGGTTATTTTTCGAGTGATAGTTTTGCCAGAGAACTGGTCCGTATCATGAAGGGTCCAGGTGATGTGTTGTCTCAAGTAGGTGGTGTCAGCGACGACATGGATCAAGACATGATGCTTGCTTTGGCCATGAGCGAAGGTCTTTCAGGTGGCAATCCAGAAGTCATGCTGCTTGCATGCCGCTGTATATCCAACTTGCTGGAAGCCATGCCCACTGCTGTCACTAGTATTGTCTCTCATGGTGCTATTCGTGTCCTCTGTCAAAAGCTGAAATCCATTCAGTATATTGATCTGGCAGAACAAGCTTTGTACGCACTAGAAAAAATTGCAGCTCAGCTTCCGCGTGCCGTAGTGCATGAAGGCGGTCTTGCAGCAGCACTGATGTATTTCGACTTTTTCAGCATTCATGCACAACGCACAGCATTACGCACGGCATCCAACTGCATGCGTGGTATCGATTTAGATTCGTTTCCTCAAGTCATGGAAGTGGTGCCTACCTTGATGAGTACCATGAGCTACTCGGATCGATCTGTCATTGAATTGAGCTGTCTGTGTTGGGTCAGAATAGCAGAGAGCTACCGTAGCAACAAGGAGTGTTTGGAGCGTGCCATCTCGGTGGATTTATTGCAAGTGTTGTATGGATTATTGCCTATTCCTGGCAACGTGAATGCAGTGCACCCAGCCACATGTCAAGACTTGCTGCGTATCTTTCGGGCGATCGCCAAAGCATCACCTCAGCTTGGCTTGGAACTGCTCAGACTTAACATGATTGAAGGTCTTTGTCACATTTTGATGGGTACAACAGCAGTACCCACAATCCAGCAACACATTACCTTGGACTCCAAATGGCGCGATTCCCTCCCTACCATCATGAAGATCATTGTCGACTTGTTGCCCTCTTTGCCCAAGGACGATATGTTTAGCTCTCGACGATTTCGATCTGTGGCTAGTCGCACTCGCTCTTCATCCTCTTCTACTGCAGCTGTAGCAGTGGAAGCTACTACTATATCTGAGGATCCTCGCATTACCTGGTTCAATGAGGATCCTCAAGTCATGCTTAAGCTGGACTCGATCTTGTTTCCCCTTGTGCTGGACATCTACGCGTCCACTGTCAATTTGCGAGTACGCCAATTGGTCACTCACGCCTGTGTCAAGCTGCTGCAGTTCTCCAACGCTGATACTCTAAACAAGGTTTTAAAGGATGTCTCCTTATCCAGTTTCTTGTCTGGCATTTTGACGCGTCAAGAACACCCCGTATTGCTGATTGATGCACTCTATCAAACAGAGTTGCTAATCAAAAAGCTGCCCAACGTGTATCCATTCCTGTTTGAAAGAGAGGGTGTATTGCACGAGATTGAGTCCATCTCAAAGCTGCCCTTGACAGAAGAGTCTACGCCGGCAACACCACAACAGCAGAAGCCAGCATCAGCAGCAGCAGCCGCAGCAACAACCACGCAGCTCAGTCAAGATAATACCACTGTGGATGAGAGTGATGACACAACAACAGACGCAGATAAGCAATTCAACAAAACAACCAAAGGCGATGAGGATGATGACGGTGACGATAACGACGACGATGAGGACGATGAGAGTGATGTCCAAGGAAGAGCAGCAACTAGCTCTTCTTCTACCAAACCAGCATCACCATCACAGCGACAATCGCGCATGCTAAATAGTCATGGTTTGCAAGCCATGATGCGCAATCATCAGTTGCTACAGCAACAACAGCGTCATCGACACCATTCGCTGGAGAATGAAAAGGGCGTTGGTCGTGGATCCACCCGCAAGTACATTATACAGCTTGCTCAGCACTTTGTGGAAAACTACTTTTACCAACAACAAGATAGCAGAGGCAGCAGCTTGAAGGAGATTCTCCAGTTTACACATGACGTTTTGCACCCTACAGACGATGATCCAGCCTCAGAGCAAGCATTGATGCGACTCTCTGGCTACTTGCGTGATTCCATCATGGGCATTAGCAGCTTTGAATTGATCAACTCGGGTTTAATGAAGGCGTTATTGACCTATTTGACCAGCAACGATGACACACTCAAGGCTCCTTTGCAAGACCGTGTGGAAGCATTTGAGCGCATCTTTGTTCAGCAACCAGATATTGACACAGAAGGCAACAATGCGCTCAAGAAGTTAGTGATTCGCTTGCAAGAGATCCTGAGTCGATTTGAAACTTTTGAAGTTGTGACACCGTTGGAATCCACTGCCAACGACAGTCTGCGCAATCCCACCAGCATGTTGGCCAAGCAGCTGCGATTGAGACTGACTGGCACCAGTGACGATATCCCCAGTAGTTTCAAGCAGTTGATGGTGTCGACACATGCAGTGGCTACCTTCCGAGTGCTAGAAGACTACTTGCTTGCTCGCATCAGTGCTACGTCCATCCTGTGTGATATGGAAGATGACCATGAGGACGACGACGACGACGAGGAGGACGATGAGGAACGTTTGATCATTGACAGAGACGGCATGGACATTGATCAAGAGGATTCCATGGAGCATGCTGATACAGTCATGAGTGAAACTGTGGTTGTCAACAAGGAGGATACCGAGGAGGACGAGCAAGACGAGCCAGCTGCATCCAAGGCAACTGCTACTACGAGCAGCAGCAGCAGCAGCAGCAGCAGCAGCGGTAGCTCATCTGTTCCAGTCAACAGAAAGGAAAAGAAGGATGGCGAGTGGAAGATTCGTTTCTCCATGAATGGTACCACCATCTCCAATGACTCTACCGTGTATGCTGCAGTCCATCAACATGAAATTAGTACTGGCAACGCATCTCCTATTGGACGCAACATTTGGGCATCCTCCCATCCCATCTCCTTTGAGCGTGTTTGGGTGCGCCACAATGAACAAGATCAAAAGCCGGCTGTGGTGAGTCAATTGGCAGACATTAGTCGACCCAAGGAACTAAAGGAGGACTCTACCTGCTACCAAGTGCTCTTGTTGCTTAAGGCTTTGTCGCTTGCCATTTCTAAGCGCACCAACGGCATCACCCCACAAGATTTTGTCAACCGAAAACTGACTGCCAAGGTCAACCGTCAATTGGAAGAGCCCTTGATCGTCGCAAGTTCTTGCTTGCCCACCTGGATCTACTGGCTGATGAGTGAGACGCCCTTCTTGTTCCCTTTTGAAACGCGCTATCTGTTCATCCAAAGCACCTCATTTGGCTATGCACGTCTGATTGCTCGCTGGCAAAGTCTGCAAATGCGCAACAACACGCAAAATGGACCTCGCAATGACACTGCAGATCAGCAGCCCGTGTTGGGCCGTATGGAGAGACAAAAGGTAAGAATTATACGCACACAGATGCTAGAGTCCGCTGTCAAGATCTTGGACTTGTTTGGAAGCTCGCCTACCGTACTGGAAATTGAATACATGGGAGAAGAAGGCACGGGTATGGGTCCTACTCTAGAGTTCTACGCAGCCACGTCCAAGGAATTTAGCAAGCACTCGCTTAACATGTGGCGTGGATCCAACAAGGCTGAAAAGGGCCATGTTGAAGCGCCCTTTGGTCTGTTCCCCAAGACATGCACCAAGCCAGGCTCGCGATCTGCCAAAAAGGTCAATCATCTGTTCAAGACGTTGGGTCAATTCATTGCCAAGGGCTTGTTGGATTTTAGAATTCTAGACATCCCATTCAACCCTGCTTTCTTTAAAGTAGCTTTGGATCATGTGGAACCCAGTCCAGCGCTTTTGATGGTAAGTTGGGTAAAGCGAGATGACGTATGGCAAGTGTATACTGATGAATGTTGTAGGAAATTGACCCCCAATTAGCCAAGTCTATCCGCATGTTGACATCCTATTTAGAGCAAAAGCGTGTCATCTATCAAGACAGCAGCAAGGTAGTGTATTCACGATTGCAACTGGACGACTCGAGACTCACATCTGTATAGACATTGGCACAGCAATCAGCTGCAGCAAAGAAAATTCAAGTGGATGGAGCCAAACTAGAAGATCTCTGTCTTGATTTTACACTGCCCGGAGACAGCAACTATGAATTAAAGGTGAGTTAGTTGGAGTATACCACTGGGCCAAGATGATCATCTAACACTTACCATGTGTCTTTAGGCGGGCGGAGCAGATATTGCAGTTACCATCAACAATGTGGAAGAATATATTGACCTGGTTCAGGACGCCATTGCCGGCTCTGGTATCTCTCAACAGATCAACGCATTCAGAGAAGGCTTCAACGGACTGTTTGCTATTGATGATTTAAAGCTATTGACACACGCTGAATTGGTCTCGCTGTTTGGCAAAGCATCTGAAGATTGGAGCTACACGACATTGGTCAACGCCATTAGAGCAGATCATGGCTTCACCATGGAGAGTGAGCCTGTGCGATTCTTGCTGGAAATCCTCACCAATTTGTCAGATGAAGAAAAGCGCCAATTCCTCCAGTTTACAACAGGATCACCCAGATTGCCTATTGGTGGTTGGAAAGCACTTCGCCCTGTATTCACTGTGGTCTGCAAGATCCCTGAAGCGCCCTTGACACCTGATGACTATTTGCCCTCTGTCATGACCTGTGCCAACTACTTTAAGATGCCAGCCTACTCGACCAAAGAGATTATGCTTGAACGATTATTGACATCCATGAAGGAAGGCCAAAGTAGCTTTTTGCTTTCTTGATTATGTATATTCCCCCCCTCTATTCACTCTCATTCCTTCTTATTGCACGCTCACGCTCACAACAATGCCATGTTTGTACACACACACACACACACATTTATATATTCTCATTTCGCAGCTCTTATATGATCCATATCCATACCATTACAATAAAATTTGACATGATTTCCTGAGTATACCAGTAGCAAGGCTTCTTTATATGCTCAATTAACCCATAATAACCTCAACAAAAGTAAGAACACGCACTTGATTATGATAACATCAGGACAGTTGATCTGGCTATATGCTATATGCAAGAGTAAAAAAAGAATCATTACCCATCTCATGGTAGATGAATCGATGCTTGCTCAAATTATTATTGATATAAAACTTTTTGCCATAAATAATGCATTGATAGCTGACTCTGACCAAGTTAGATAATTTTATTGATTTACAGGTTTTCATCTCATAGTACATCCATCGACGCTATCCCAACACACTTATCATAGGGAAGCTCAGATAATAGTTAGTTTAAAAAGTAATAGAGATTTGCACGAGTGAGAGTGGAGGTAAAACCAAAGGAAATAGATCCAAGCTATCCGCTGCCAGGACCCTCCAAGAAGATTGATTTAAGACTGACAATCATGCCCAAATGCCCAAATGTCCAATTCTGTTGAAAGCTTCCAGCATTCCCTGCCAAGTCCTACCATTGAATCAGAGCTTTACTGTTAATCAACATAAAGTACACGAAACCAAGCATTACCTTTGTTCAAAAGAGTTATTTTGAGGGGCAAATGCCAATTTTCATGCTTTGATGCGGTACTTGCACGGATTACCATCTCCATAACATGGCTGTCGAAAGGCAGACATGACTAGTGCAAGTACACCAACTGCTTGCTTCCATCCAAAAGATCAATCAAGCTGGCAATAGCAAGATTGCTAGAGGTATCTCCACAAGGCTGACACTGAAGGCTGCATCAGTAAGGAATCGTCGAGCACTCATGCAAGAATGTACATGTATATTATATATATAAAAAGATGTGTGAGTAGCTTGCAATAAACAGATTTGCAAAAAAAAAAAAAAAAAAAAAAAAACGCGTCAGCTTTACCTGAAAGTACAATGAATAATAGCAATGAATAGTACTGCGCAGAAATCACCTCGTTGCCCACGCTCTGGAATGAAGCAAAGCTACTAATCCAGCGTCAAGGAGAAATATATCCGGCATAATTGCTTCCATCCAATCTCATTACATGGTAAGTGACAATGAAACTGATATCTCCACACGCCTGCTGCACAGTGCCTAAACAATTTTGATGCGGTACTTGCACGGATTACCATCTCCATAACATGGCTGTCGAAAGACAGACATGACTAGCACAAGTACACCAACTGCTTGCTTCCATCCAAAAGATCAATCAAGCTGGCAATAGCAAGATTGCTAGAGGTATCTCCACAAGGCTGACACTGAAGGCTGCATCAGTAAGGAATCGTCGAGCATTCATGCAAGAATGTACATGTATATTATATATATATATATATATAAAGATGTGTGAGTAGCTTGATTTCAGTGAATGTGTAAACTTACCTGGGTACAAACTATTAGAAGGCTAAAAAGTATTGCACAAAAATCAACTTGTTGCCAACGCGTTAAAATAGAGCTTTGCTCCATATTTAAACGTCAAAGGAGATGTAGCAGATATATGTACTTCCATTCAGCTTCGCCACTCCAGGTAAAGGGTATTAAAAGCTAGTATTTCCATACATCTGTTGCGCAATAACTCTATTATCAAACAAAGAAAAAAAAAAAAAATATATATATATATATATAATGGTGCCCACAGACCAACAACGTGACGTTCAAGTCAATGCCCACTTATACATTTGACACCACATTCGCTTTAAAATCGCTTGGAACATGTCAAACAGGCCCAAAGAAAAAAGAGCTGTGAGAAAGCCTACGTTGAATGGTGTGCCAGGAGATTACATCCTTCCGGTTGCGATACGCGATAGTTGTGGTCTAAATCTCTTGACACTCAATGCTAGAGAATGGCCCTCCGTGGAGAAACTTGTGGATGCCTACTTTCAAGATGCAAATGTTTGGTCAAGCTCTCATTCGGAATTGCACAAGCAGCTGTTGGATGGATTTGCTTGCCTTGATCATACCTCGGTAAGACCATGTGTCAAATCCTTTGCAAGACAAGTTCGTCTATATTTGCAAGCACCTTGTATTGTCGATGCCTTGAAGAAATACTATCATTTCAAGGAAAGAATTGCCACTCAACGCCAACATGCCCTGCTAGCAGAAATTGAAGGAGATATCACGGGCGCTGCTCTCTCGCAGCGAGGCGCAAAGAGATTATTAGAAGAAGACAACAACCAGGTAAATGCTTGCGATGTGCTTAGTATGGGAAGTGTACTAAAAAAAATATATATATATACTTTAGGCTACCTCTTCCTCAACAAGACAACGAGTGCTGGTAAAGAAAAGACATTTTTGAGACAATATTAACAACAATTCTAAATTAATGCTTCGTAGCTCTCAATTCGTACAGATACTCCTGATGTATCCGAGCTCTCTGGAGATTCTGGTCAAAATGATGCCTTAGATGGAAGCAACCAGTACGAAGAGCCTCTGCTTGATCTCGATGAGCCAGCCAATATCAGTCCCAGTGTGAAGAAAGTAAGTTTAGTATCGCATACGTTGGATCAAACATGTCTCACAAAACATACGCACACTATAGAGCCAATACTCATTCGTATCAAATGGAAAACGCTTCGACTATCATACACCCTCAAGAAACCTCGTATCGCCCAAAAAACCTGTCTTATCTCAAACTGATCATAGATCCCTGAGCGATTTGTTCGAAATACGTCTCTCCTCGGGTACACAAGGCAGTTGCTCTCACGACACTGAATCTCTGTATGAGCAATACCAAGACCAGCAGCACGCAAACAGTTGTTTAAAGACTCACACAGGGGCCATTTCTTTCTTGACCACCGCTTTGGACCCTGACAATTTCCTTGACACCAGCAAGCTTTGGGCATTACCTGGTCAAGGCAAATTCATTGACATGATGCGCCACATCCTCACCGATTATTACCAAACGTGCCGAAGAGCGTCACCTCTTGATCTTAATCAAGAGCGAACATTCTTCTGTGAATGCGTTGTACCGATTTTTAGAAACTTTGGCGTTTTGATTGGAGACATTAGTGGTTCTTGGTAAGTATTTTTTGGTAATATCTAGGGAAGACGACGAGGGCATCAATTGATTATGGTCAAAGGTGTGAGAAACAGCTCCTGGAAACAAAACGGGTGTGGCTCCCTTTGAAAGACTTTAGAGTAACAGGCATAACAAGAAAGCTCCATGATGGCATCCTGTCCAATAAAGCAGAGACCATTGCAATCATTCTAGAGTCGTCTGGGTAAGCTAAACATTTTCTTTTGATTTCTTGTATGAGTCAATAAGGCTAACGTGCTCCTTTAAAAGATCAGAACACAGCACTGCGCATATCATCGATGATACCTACAAGCAGTTGAAAAGCACCAGCGACTTTTATAAATACCTGATTAGCAAGTATACAATGGGCTCACTACAAACTCTTATGGCCATCAAAATCCCCTGTGTGACAATAATTAGCAACTGCCTCACCCTCTGCCTCACAACCATACACAATGAACATAAATGGAAATACGTTGAGGTTCGTTCATGTGTTATCCCTACCAACACTAAAGAAAGGAAAGCATGGATCAAAGCTTTCGAGTTTCTAGCCTGTCTTGAGGATGTCGTGAATTTGTCGCTGAAATCAATCGAACAACTGGAGAATGAGTCCTTGGGTTACACTACCTTGGACTCTAATGAAATATTGGTTAAAGATTACTTGATGTAAATCTCTCCAACCCCCCCCCCAACACACACACACTCTTCTTTTATACCAACTATAAATTGCTCATTGTATATCTCATCCCATAGCACTGCACACTGTATATCCCATTTGAAAGCACATCACATAGTTTATATCACTTCAAAGTACCACACATTGTATGTCTCATCTCACTGTAAGTCAAGCAATATTTAATAAACATTCGCCCAGGCCCTACATCCACATTAACATTGTATACAATATCAAATAATAAAAGACTTGATTTATTCCCAAGATGTTAATAAATGTATATTTTCTATCTGTAATGTGCAATTGTCCGCTGCCAGTAGTTGACCCCCCCATACAAATATTGATGTCTTCAGTATCCTGAACAGCCACCCATTCCACTTTAGATTTAAAATCTGATACATCAATGTTGATGTCTATAATTCCATTTATTATACAGTAATTATGAGCTCTATTGACCCAAATACGTCCAAAAACCACGAGCTGATCCATGCAGAGTATCGTGTAGAGTAACAACATTGCGAATCATTTCACGGAAGCTCCAAAAACCGATCTGCTTAAGTCGCTTGTTCCGCTCCTGCTGATCTGATACAAGATTGACAAACCCTGTAGTGATGCATTCGTTGAGTCGATTGCCAAGCGTCGAGTCATGAATAGTCCAAGCTCCATTGAATGTCTCGAGATCCATAATAATACGCCCTTTGATGGGAAGAATGGTTCTGTTATGGTTGATATAAGCAATAAGTGGACGCACCATGGCACTGTTGAGATAGCTAAACTCGGGTATCTTGAGAGGGACTACGCCCTTGATATTTTTGAAGCGAACATCAATATCCATGACAAACTTTTTCTTTTGATCTTGCTCTGCAACAGGTGGTGTGGTGTCTCCCAGTGAGATTACTTGACCAGTGCCTGTGCCAAGGATGATGGATTGGGGCAAACTTTGCTTGAAAACTTGAAAGATAGCCTGAGCTACGCTCGGTGGTTTCCCCTTTCTCTTTTCATCTGGTATATAAATGTCTGCACAAAAATCCATAGTGCCTGAGGTGATCCATTGTGGTGGTCCAGGACCAAGTCGATGTACATGATCCATGCTCACGCCTTCAATCCTCAGCCTTGATTTTCTTTCATAGCCCTGCTCTTTCATACTGTCATCTATTAGCACACCAAACTGCTGATTCTCCCCTCCCACAAACACGCCTTGAGGGTTGGATTTTTTGAATGGATAATAGCTGGCCAAATTGGGATTACTGCCTTTTGCTTCTAGATCAGAGTATTCCAAAACACTCTTTTCAAGCTGAGGCGTATGTACACTGAATAAACTGGTATCAAATGAGCCAATGATTTTGTCTGCGCACAGTGTATCGTAAAATAGCCTACATAGAGTGTCACTATACACATACAAGGCACACTCCCATGTCTATTTACCATTGTCTTCTCAGTCTACTAAACTGTGCTTGAATAATAGAGAATGGAAAGGGTCTAAATCCCTTCGGCATGTACACCACCACGGACATGTCTTCCAGCACAAGTCGATCCATTTCAAAATCCCCAGGAATATGGCTCTTCCTCACTGTTTCGGCATCCCAGGCAGCACTTTTGTTCCAACCAGCCCGTCGATTGTCAATAATACCACGGACCCCTACCACATTTGCGCTCTTGACAATGCCCTTTCCTTCCATCAGTCGCATCAAGCTCAGTTCTACCTCGACAGAGTCTATAGCCAGATCAAACCATGGCATGCGCTTTAATCTCTTTTGAGCCTTGGGTGTCAATTCATCCTGATCCAACTCGATACCATGCAACAAATCGCCTTGCACAATAGCGGGTTCCTTCTCTTGTAATCCCTGCTGGAATTTGCGCTGCTCAGATCGAGGCATGCAAACCACATGAACGTTGCTTAATCTGATCTTGCCATCTTTCCAATTGGGCGTTGCCGATTCAAATACCACGACTGCCTCGGATGATAGTGTTAGGTAATGGCCCATTTTATGTGTCACCCATTCTATCTCGAAAGTTGGTTATGCAATCTCCAGGAGTGACATATGAAATACGCTACCTTGAAATTGTAGTGAATTAGCAGCCCACAATCCAAAGCTAAGAAAGCTGGTTGTGCCGACAACAAGCCATACTGTGTGTCCTAGAAACACCCAAGAGAATAATGCAGTAATGTCGTTCAATGTAAAGGGCCGCATTTGCTTCATCAACGGGTACTTGACTCTGATCTTGAGTCGTTGAATAAATCCACGGGCTTGAATGAGCAGTTCATACTTGTTTGGTGGTTTTGGTAATTGTGGCAAATGAATTGGGCGAATGGAATGTCGTAAGAGTGCTCTGTTGTAATGCGATGGACTCTTTTTCATGCTTTGCTTGATGGAACGAGCAAGCATGATATGTGGTATATAGTATGTACAAGTGGAAGATGGGAAGAAGAAGAAAAAAAAATATATATACTTCGACTCGAGGATGCCTTTATTTGTAAAACTCGTCTTGAAAAGAGTCATGCCACCCACTGCTTAAATATCGCTGACAATGACATTTGCTATATGGTTCAACTGACCGTCTTCTTCCTCAACAGCATGGCGTATTTTCTCGTTGGTTTCCTTTTGATATAGCTGATCCACCTCTTCTCCAGAAGGAGGCAATCTTTCATTCTCGAGATCGGCTCGCTTGGCTTCCTCAAATGACGTAATAGCTACAACATCATTATGATCAGCGTTCTGTGCTCTGTCTGATACCCGCACTCTCTTTTCACATACCTGATTTGATTCCCTCTGCACCTAATGCCAATGTGCCTAGAGGCAATTTCCCGCTGGGTGAGAGTGATTTCAGTTCAGTAATGCGCTCAGAGTTCTCGCGTAACACAGAATAGACTCTTGAAATCTTGCCAATGGCCAAGATCTTGTTGCGGATCACAATCCTGCGCTGTTCTACTTCATCCTTAATCTAATTCAACATTTGGTAGTGTTGGCCATATTGAGGGTTTTAGCGTAGCGAAGCAAAGGCGCAAAACCATGACAGCTAAGCATCTAATCCAATATTCAATAGCACTGGTCTTAATGATGGTTTCACCATAACGAAGCGAATATGCAAACCATAGTATTCAAGCAGCAAATTCGGCTTTTAATTTTTGTTATTAATGAGCTTACCAACAACATTACGCATCAAACTTTACATCAAATTACATTTACCAAAATCAATGTGCCATTCATTCGAATGATATGAGTTTGAATAGATCTTGGCGGCAGTGCTATTACTGACTGACCTAAATGCCTTTCTGTTATGACAATGATGATTGCGATGCTGATTAAATGGGAGCAATGGAGCTCAAAGGACAATTGATTAGCCCGAATACTTCTTTTTTTTTTGGGGAGCTCTGCCTCATAAAGATGTCTTTTGCAATGACAATATCTCAAAAAAGTTGCTGTAGATCTTACACAAGTCCTGTATTTACACATAGCCAGCTTTATGTCGCTATCTTCAGGGCATCATCAGCAGCGAATGGTATGACAATCCTACTATCAGAAAATGGAATTTTCTTTCATATCGTCTCATTAATTGACATCAGTGTAAGCAAAAATGATGCCGAGGGAGATACCTCCTCTCCTTCTCCTCCTGGCTCTGATATAACTTTCCTTTTACTAATAATGGATTGTTTAAAATCTACTTGATATAGCAAAACTTTATACACTGTATATGTATTAGGAAATGTATGAGAAACATGATTTCAGTGGATGTGTATACTTACTTGAACATAAATTAAAGTATTTCGCAAATATAAACTCGTTGCCAACGCGAAAGAATGAAAACTTCAAAACCCAAACATCGAGGAGATATAAATCCAGCATAATTGCTCCCACCCAGCCTCATTACATGGTAAGCGATGAGAAAAGCGGCCTTCTATGCACCTATTGTAGAATGGAAGCGATGTAGCAAAATGTAGTTCAATCCATATGCTATGTCAACAGATACTTAGCTTCAACGAACCCCTAGAACGACATCTCGAACATAAACATGTCGCTTTTGGGCAGCTACAGTACCTCTCCTGCTCTAATCACCCATTGTTCCATTCCTTCCTGTTTACAGAATGTAAACTTCAGGTAGCCCATTAGCGATGGATGGCGTAAAGCCATTATTCTACATCAGTAAGAAGCTGCCTCTCCGGACAGACCCAGAAGCCCTCAGTTCTATCAAAAGAACCGGAACTAAAGGAACCTTCAGGCTAGGATAATGGCCAGTACTTTCGTGCGTTCTTCCTATCTCTACAGATTTCAGATGACACTCATTCAACAACGGATAAACACCAAGTGCTCATTGTCAACATTGTTGGAAGCTGCCTCTCCGGACAGACCCAGAAGCCCTCAGTTCTATCAAAAGAACCGGAACTAAAGGAACCTTCGTATCCACAACAAAAGCCTTTTGCAAAGATGAAATAAAGCTGGAAAGAAGCTCTAATCGCCTACGACGCGATGTGTCACGTTCGCAATGTCATCCCAAGAGTTGATTCATGTAACGATGTCCAGAATGATTGAATCCAGATTGGTTGCGATCTTGTATCAGACTACCTAAGCAAATTACCTTGGTGAAAAACTCAATCCATATGATATGTCAACAGATACTTAGCTTCAACGAACCCCTAGAACGACATCTCGAACATAAACATGTCGCTTTTGGGCAGCTACAGTACCTCTCCTGCTCTAATCACCCATTGTTCCATTCCTTCCTGTTTACAGAATGTAAACTTCAGGTAGCCCATTAGCGATGGATGGCGTAAAGCCATTATTCTACATCAGTAAGAAGCTGCCTCTCCGGACAGACCCAGAAGCCCTCAGTTCTATCAAAAGAACCGGAACTAAAGGAACCTTCAGGCTAGGATAATGGCCAGTACTTTCGTGCGTTCTTCCTATCTTTACAGATTTCAGATGACACTCATTCAACAACGGATAAACACCAAGTGCTCATTGTCAACATTGTTGGAAGCTGCCTCTCCGGACAGACCCAGAAGCCCTCAGTTCTATCAAAAGAACCGGAACTAAAGGAACCTTCGTATCCACAACAAAAGCCTTTTGCAAAGATGAAATGAAGCTGGAAAGAAGCTCTAATTGTCTACGACGCGATGTTTATTGTTCGAGTATGTCCCTTCAGGGTTTGCTTGTAGCTTTCATGCGGATGAACCTTATCAAGACAATTGTATTTTTATCAGATCACAACGTTTTCTGATGGCAGATAGAACTCACCTGGGATGAATACTTGATGTCAATAATTGAAAGTGGGAATGCTGGTTGCTTGGAAATTTTCCAGATGCACCTTGAAATGTGACGCGTTTATAGCTCCACTTTTTAGACATCAAATGCTGTTTCTCTATCACGAACTCATGGACTGTAAATCTGCTATACAATACCTCAATAACACTCCTTCCTCGCTCTGGGACTTCAAAGTAGTGGTTGGTATCATCAAAGCAAAAAACGGATGCTCCAATGATAAGGCGTTTTCTGCACTGAACAACATCTTGAAAAAGAATTTCGATGCTGCGCAAACTTCATTTTTCATTACCAATTGGAAATCGCTGATCAGCAACTTTGAGAAGCAAAGAGAGGATCCCATAAGGCAAACAATACAAACGCAAACCAACATCGACATAGGATCTGTCAACACAATAAACAACAAGAATACAAATATCATCAAAAGAAAACGAAAATTGATCAATCGAGAGTAAGTGTTTTATCAGAAAATTTGGAACCACACATTTGGTTGATTAGTATTTGTCTAGAAGCTTCACATCTGAAAGAAGAAGAAAGACATTCGACGAGATCTTTGACGAAAGCAACGAAGACAGCGATACAGGATCAGGCTTCCACATGGCAGTAAATATAAAATCAAAAAACCAAATGCCCTTTGTTTGCTAACAATTTTATTATTTAGAATGACAATGATGCTAGCTCTCCGATAGTTGCTGACTTGCCCCAAGTAATGGACATTGACATTACTCACGATCTCTTATCATCCTTAAAGGCTAGATCCACATATCATTTTGAAGGCGAAGATATTGACTTTGCTGAATACAAGTTGGCCTGCCTCCACCATCTGGACAAACAAGGTCAAGTCTTCTTGGAACCAAATTTCGCAGAAGTCATCGCTTTATCACATTGTGTTTTACTGAAACATGGATGTTACTCAGAGACTATGATCAACTTTTTCACCTTGGAAAAACTTGAAAACATCCACGATTCTCTGAAGGCAAGCTACTTTGGTGCACAACAAGACCCTCTCTACAACTTCAGCACTGCATTCATACAAAAGGTGGAAAACACATTGAAAGGTTTGTCAGCTAGAAATGAAGATATGATCTATACGGAGATAGAGGGATGTAAATCATTGGCCAACACATATCTTGACAAACAACTCTTGAAAATGGTGCTTGAGCTCCTAGAATTCTTACCCAAATATCCCCAGCCAAATGTCAACGAAGAAAATTTGCGCGTGAAATGCTTTAATCCATCAATAAAATACTTTATGAACTGCAAAAAGTTTGGCATTACCTTGACCTATCCCGAGACATCGCCAGATGAAAGAAAGCCGCGTACGGATGCGATCAAAAGACCAGATGCAATCGCATCGTTTTACGAACAAGTCAAAACCACACACAATGGCGCTTTTTTCGAAATCAAAAATGATTCATACAAGAGCAGAAAGAGAATCTTGATGGTGGACCTGCTCAAACTTGTGCATTATGGAAAAGACGCTTTGGATGCTGGTGTGAAGACGCCAATTCTCGCTCAAGTCATTGGATTCGACGTCACTTTCTATTTGATGAAGTTGGAATCAAAAGGGGTATACATCATGCTTGAAGTATGTCATGTCAAATTACCATCAACCATATTCGAGATCAATGCATATTTGCGAGAAATGGACAAGGTTCAAAAGCTAATAAACATTCTGGTCGCCAACAAGGAAAAGGAACTGATGAGGGAGGTGAACGAGAAAAAGATGGCATCTTATGGTACACCACGAGTCGAAAGAATGGTAGAACAGCTTACCTATAAACATTCAACTGATTTCTTTTTTTAAAATGCAAATCATCAAGTAAAGCTTTGAAAGCAATATGGCAAATACACAACCCATTATATCCTGTATATATTTAATGTTAATAAAGATGGCATTCTCAGATAGTCTTCTTGTATTCTATCATAAGCCAACATTCGACACTCATATCGCCCTATCTCTGTTTTGATCGGCATATTAACCCCATCTATTGTCTTTTATTGTGCATTTTATTCTTTCTACTCATTTTGTATCTGTTTGCTGTGGAACCCGAATCCCACACAACGTTTCTTGCGCGTTATTCATTGGCAGCTGCTTCACACTTTCTCTCACCACCATCCACAACAAAACAAGTGCAGCTGTGCATATGAAAGCTGTGAAATTACTTATCGATGGCAATGATTAAATCTGATAGCCTGATCAAATTGCTCAAATTAAAATAGTTTTATCATTAGCTCTAATCTGTGGGTCTATTTTGATAAAAGTCATTATCATATGATACACTTTTATCATACCAAAAGGAAAAACAAAGATACAACATCTAGTCTTCCGTCTACACAGTGTTGACCCAAATACTAGCCTTTATTTGTAAAACTCGTCTTGAAAAGAGTCATGCCACCCACTGCTTAAATATCGCTGACAATGACATTTGCTATATGGTTCAACTGACCGTCTTCTTCCTCAACAGCATGGCGTATTTTCTCGTTGGTTTCCTTTTGATATAGCTGATCCACCTCTTCTCCAGAAGGAGGCAATCTTTCATTCTCGAGATCGGCTCGCTTGGCTTCCTCAAATGACGTAATAGCTACAACATCATTATGATCAGCGTTCTGTGCTCTGTCTGATACCCGCACTCTCTTTTCACATACCTGATTTGATTCCCTCTGCACCTAATGCCAATGTGCCTAGAGGCAATTTCCCGCTGGGTGAGAGTGATTTCAGTTCAGTAATGCGCTCAGAGTTCTCGCGTAACACAGAATAGACTCTTGAAATCTTGCCAATGGCCAAGATCTTGTTGCGGATCACAATCTTGCGCTGTTCTACTTCATCCAGTTCTTGCTGATCATGTTCTTTTCCATTATGTGCTGCATTGTCCTCTGCGAGCAGTTCCTCCTTTGTACAAATACTGAGAATAGCAAGCAGCATGTTGGTTACTAGGATACATTAGTTGGCACAGCTTTTTGGGTGCAATGTTTCTATCATGTACCTTTCTCGCCAACAAACGGTAAACTCCAGTCAACCACATTCATAAAGTTAGGAAGCCAGTAGGGATGAGGTGTTGCATTGAACTGTCTGATATTCATCACATTGTCTTCGTATTTGAGGATGGCAGCCTTGTTGTTGTACATATCCAAGTAGTTGGGTGCTGAGAATATAGTCATCACAGCAGGGAATGCGGTTGTGTTGTTTCGTCTGTACATGCGATACCCAGCATCTTGAGCTTCGTGTGCTCGGATGATGGACAGTAGGTTGTTTCTTGCTAGGAATGCACAGACAGCGGGATATCTAGCACACAGCATCAGTACCACAGATCCAGCACATGCCAAGGTGGACTTACGTATAAAAGTAAGAGCAGCCTCTAACTCGGTTATCTACGAATAGCTCGGTTGTCGTTTCCTCGCCAAATTCTTCAATTGGATCAGCCCATAGCAAATCGCACATGATGCCATGTGTGGGGGGTTCTCTAAACCGATCAATCTAGTGCGCTCGTCAATGACAGCACAAACAACATTCTAATACACCACCTACCTTTTCAAAATCTGCCAATGTCACTAGCTGTGGGGACAAGCCGCCATGAATACACAGAAATTGATTGTTCATCAGAGCACCCAAAGGCAGTGCATTAAATGTGTCCATGCATGCTTCATAGACCTTTTCAGAATACTTATGTCTGCCTAGATCCGTTGTCAGTTCAGCATACGCTACCATGACGAGATTCTGTACTCACACTCAATCTTGAAAGTAAAATGGCTGGTCAAATGTCTGCACTCATGGTTTCCTCGCAGCAAAAAGAAGGTGTTTGGATACCACATTTTCAAACTCCAGAGATACAAAACACACTATCCAACCGAGATCATCAGAGTTATTATCACCATCACAACAAACAATACCAGCCTACCTCAATAGAAAAGTAGCCTCTATCCACATAATCTCCCAAAAACAAATATGTCGTATTTGAAGGGTCTCCTCCCACTTCAAACAGCTTCATCAAATCATAGTACTGCCCATGAATATCACCACATACTACCCACGTAATAAGGTCAGTCATATCCCAACGAACCCAGTGAACTCTTGTATTACCTGTAATGGGCGCAGGAATCTCTAGTAAATTTCTTTCAGACTTTAGCAGCTCTTTTCCCTTTTCCAAGATGAACAATGCTTGACTCTCGGTTACTCTGCCTTCGCGATAAAAATGATCTTTTAAAAAGTGTATATTTGGAAGGCCTGCTCTCTCTTCGCTCCAAAACTGTTCCTCTGTGGGCAGATAGACTGCTGGAGCCGGCACCTCTGCGTACAGTGTGTTAATGACGCTCATAAAAGATAAACGCTTTCAAGTACCTTTGATCACTCTCTCCTTTGTGCTGACAACAGTGCCATCGTCCGTGGTGTAGAGACTAAAGTCAATCTTGGGTATGGATTTATTACTCGAGTGTGTATCCGATGATTTAGACAAAAGCATGACGAACGAAAAAAAGAGGAAAAAAAGGGGCTAATACGCTAATGAACGCTACAGCCACATTTATACCTGTTTTGGACTGTGTGAGGAAAGATGGAGTAGCACACATCTCATTGTGCAACTCACTAGAAACAGGCGCTTGTCCAATCAACTTGATGTTGAATACTGTAAAGAGCAATACCAAACATACAAAGTATGTTTACGTTTATTGTTAATGATGCTATGCGTTTGTTTAAATCTTTATTATGGGTTAAGTTACTTGAAGTATCAGATTCATGCTCACTTCAGAATATGCCTACACAAAAAACTTGATTGAGAGGATCTTCCTCTGTAATTATCCAATCAACCTCAGTGCTATTCCCGCATTAAGATATGTAAATTTCCAAAAATTTCTTCATAACATGTAGGTCTCATACACCAACATGTTGTTGTACATGTCAACTCCATTTGTCATAGTAAATGATATCCCTTCTTTTTTTTCGATCTACATTCATGCTTTCATGCGCCTGCACAAAACACAATTATATTATATTTCGTAATGCTTTTTTATATTTTACGATATCTATTGCCCAAACACTTGATATTGGATCATAGAAATCCACTTAAGCATCACCAGCAAGCTGTAAACCTTTTTATCATGATCAATGCTCACTTCACTCATGTCGTGGTGAGTGAAACAATCAGATCCTTCTAGTAACATAATTTTTCGTTGGATGGTTCCAAAGAGTTGTATCCGTCCATCTAATTTGTGTACATAAGCATTGCCTACGTACAAGCCAGCACAGTTTATCTGTCTGGTCATGCTGTGCAGCAACAGCTGTCAATTTAAGAATTCGCCTCAAATTGATGTGCTGTTTGATGCATTGAATGGTCTTGTCGTGCTAATGACGTATAGCCAAACAAACACTGATTAAATACGTCCTCACTTGAATCGATGTCGATGCTGGAATTGCAAGTTCTTTGGCTTAAAGAAATAGAAGCCGCCAGCTAACGAAGACACTATCGGTAAGAATGTACAACTTACATTTCCACAAATAAGTTGCGAACAAACCCAATTTGCATTCTCTCATTCAATCAAATTTAATGACATGCTTTTGGTCGCTCTTATGGCTCTATCCTTATCTTTCTAAAGAGTATAAATTGTGTGTTACAATGTACATTGATGTGCTCATGTTTATTGCGATTGTGAAAGCCTGGATGTATGCTTTGAACCTTTCAGGTATCGAGTATTTTGATTGCGTTTTCGTCGTCAAGTGGTTGTCATATAAAATCTTGATCATATGTCGCCCTCATGAAGCACTCTCACTCACAAGGAATAGTATCATATGCTACTTGGTTATCAAGAAACAAAGTAGGAGAGAACATGAGTATCTGTGGCAATTATTGCAAATAGTCATGATCTACTTAAATGACTGAAGTGAGTCTAAGTTGCTGTCCAAGTATGTTCTCCAGTCTTTTTAAGGAGCCGTATTCCTTTAGAAGAGTAACAGTTTAATGAGTAGACACTTGGGCTCTACCAGCGCTATAACTTTTCGTTACTTTTTACATAGATAGTGTCGGCTCTGTAGCAGACCCTATTCTGGTCAAATAATCTATACATGTAGCCATTTCAGGATATGTTTGACAGTTTCAACTAGGAAAACAACAAAAGGAATTAACATAATTTGTATATATAGACTTCTTTACATCAAAGTTTTTTTTTTGAGAGCTAATACTAGGGGTGGCAAATTATTTTGTGAAGAGATACCGGAGGATTCCACCTACCCAAGTATCCAAAAATAAGATGTCTGATATACAAGAGAACCAAAAATAACACTTGCAGTTATATCAGATATCCTCGCAAAGTCTCACGCTATAGCTCTTGAGTTATCCTTAGGTTTTCTGAATAAACCATACTAAATCATGGTTTATTACTTGGGTATAGTTTATCATCATGCAGTGGATCCTAGTACAATAAAAAGTATAAAAATGTATCCTTTGGATGAATTCTCAATAAGAAGTTTAGTTCATTGGTAGATTTATTCTACATTCTATTTGACATAACACTTGCTGTGATATAAAGAAGGCAGATTTTGCTGAAGTGGATGCTAAATGTCTCCAAAGCCGCTGACTTGCTATTCCTTTTTGTTTTTCAATTGGCGAGTAATACTATTGCTGGCCACGTTTGATATGTTGCCGACAAACAGTCGTTTCAAAAAATGTTGATGGCAGTTCGAACTGGCAATCTTCGAACATGATATATGCCCCTTTTGATTCGAACTTTATCATGTAAAAGGTAATTTCACACCCAATCGCCTCAGCAGGGATACATAGCTTGACGTCAATAATCAAGGCATTTTTTCCACAGTGTACTAGTTCTAAAAGGTCCATCATCATGATTCTCTTTATATGTATATGTGATTCATTTTTGGTCTCAAAAAAAGACGCTAGTGTGTGTGGTTTTGACTTGTTGTTGGAACGAGACAATTGCAACTGGTCTGTTGATAGTGATCGTATTTAGTTTTTGTTTCTGATCTTATTCAAATAAGTCTTTACATGTTATTATAATATTGAACATTTTTTATAAGCTACAAATAACAATCCTTTGATTCTTTGCGCTTAACAATTGAGTAATAATATTACATTTTGTCAAATATTGGATCCATGCACTGTTGCTAGGATGGATAAAAAAATTAATTTCAATACGCATCAACGGCAGGATGAAGCTACGGTATTATTAACTTGAGTCATGTAACATTTCAGGCTTTACGAGCCAAAAATGCACGAAAAATTGTTCAAATTCGACGGTCTGTAACTCCCACAAAAAATACAATTTTTAACTTGGAACTTTCACGGTAAGATAATTTGACATCTTAAATACAATATGAAATCATAAAGAGCCATGTTTACTATCAAATCAGGCCATACATCCGTTTTAAAAGCATGGTATCTAGCAGACCGATTTAGTCGGGATTTGAAATAAACGGAATTTTAATATTAGAGACTGCAATTTTGCATGATAATTAGAGTGGTTTTAACTAGAAACAATGGGATTGGGAAGGTAATCAATGTATTTCATTGCTGTTTATTATAGCGCATGATGCCATGCATCGATACATCTACCAAAAGTGAAATATTTTTGCTTTTTACCATAGAAAAAAATCGAAATAATGTGATTTTTTGACTGTCGAAGGTAAAGAAAAAAAACGGAACTTTTCAGGTTGAAGTGAACTAGACTAGTTTCCCAACTTAAACAAAGCCCTAAATGTTGTGCTTGAAAGGCTACAAGTTTCTATAGAGATTAAGGTATTCTTGATGGGTAGATATATATGTGTTGTGCAACAACATGGACAAGCAATGATAATTGAAGTGCATCTCAGTTATCTAGATGCTGGGGCTCACCCGAAGTGATAAGCGCTGTACAAGACAAATTGCTACTTTGGCATTCAGAACTTAGTATAAATAAGATAACTCTTTTCTTCAATAAATTTTTAATTCTTTTTTTTATCTTTTTTAATGATGTCTTTTCTTGTCTTTATGATGTCCAACATTTTTTTATAAGCTATAAATTACAGTCTATTTATACTTTGTGATTAACATCTCACCTTAAATTGACGTGTCCCCGCCTCCCTTTTTTTTCCTAATAACATTGTGGAATTTGAGGCTTGATAGACTAAAATTCACGGAAAAAAAAAGAATAAAAAAAACAGTAATGTCAACTTGATAAAGTTATGTTTTATTATCAAACTGACAGGTGTAAAGTAAACTGAAGTCTCTCTACTGGCCAGGTAGATGATCCTTCTTATATACTATAACAATGGATAAAAGTTCTATTAATTAGATTAACAAATAAGCCAACTCAGATCAACCAATGTCTAATCATGCTAAAAGACAACTCCAGCAAGCTAATCATGATTTAGCTCTGTCTGGATGAATAATTAGACTCTCATCCGAAGTACCCTGATCTATCCTTTCTATAAGGATAATTAATATCGATCTAGTAGCATGTATCCGATAGGTACAGTCTTCTTAGTCTATATTAATAGTACATATCTGAGTGTATATCGCTAAGCATACATCTTTAGCATGTATCTGGATATATGGCATGTCTATAGCATATCGTATGCATGTCTATAGCATATCGTATGCATGTCTATAGCACGTCTCATATATAGTACAAGTCTGTAGTACATAAAGTATCGGTAGCTAGTATCACGGATATAAGCATGTGTCTTATAGCGTGGATCATAAAGTGCACATCTGAAACAACAAGCACATAGTGCATTAATCTTGGTGCTTATTCAGATATGGTAAACATCCGTAGTCAATGTCGGAATACAAGTATAAGTCTATAGCGCCATCCATGTCCGTGGTGCCATCTAAAGCCTATATCTTATATAGTATGAATCTTATAGTACTCGCGTATCTGAAGTCCATATCTTCTTATAGTATAAATCGATATCGTACATCTAATCCAGTGTACATACAGTTTATATCTAAATCTGGTAACTGGATGAACTGTCGGAATGCAGATCATAGTGGATGTATTCCACAGTGTCTTTTCGAAAAACTTTATCACCCGTGTAAGGAATGTAAAGTGTGATTGACGTACGAAAATACTGATACTAACTCATCTGTTTGCAATGGGGGCATGTTTAGCTGATCAATGATGAAGGAATTAACAAGGACAATGTAGAAAATATTGTGAAGGTATTCAGTAGTATGCTGTCCAAAAGACTTACAGAAGCAACAATTGAGAATGGGGAATTTACACTTGCTCCAGAAAGCTCCAGTACAGTCTGAATCAGATGGAAATAAACGGAGCGCATGGAAGCAGCTACACGACAGAGAGCAATTGCGAAAGGAATACTAATAGCAAGGTGGTGTTTTGATATGAATGCGTCGAGAGTAAAAGATCCAGAGAAACTCACTGGCAATTTATTGATCACGCATTATTGTTGAACTCCTCCAACTCTTCTTCAGTGAGATCGGTATTAAGACCATCATCATTGATGGCGGTACCAACTTGGACATTGTTATCCACGTCATCAAATACCAGCCCATCGTTTTTCAACAAGAGTTCGTAAAGGATGATGCTTCTAAACAGATACTTTAATCTCGCAGGCACACTCTTTACGTATGCTACGTTCTTCCAGCATCCTGATGCCTCAATCTGTGAGAATGCAGTGAAAACCAGGATTGAGCACTTGACTCTCTGGTTAAATGGAGGTGTCTGCTCACTGACAAGCGACATAAAGTAGCTGTGCAAGACAGGAAAGGCTCTCTCACTAGCACGAAAGCTGTCTCCAGCAGAACGCATTTCAGCAATGATATTTTCGATATCGATGACAAATTGTCTGGATGTGTCACCGTTAATATCATTGAAAATGGCTCGACCGAATTCACGGTACTTGATGTGAAGGTCAGTGCCCTCGTCAGAGCCAAAGGAGGGAGCAGCAGCCATCATCATCATCTTGACATACTTAAACCAAAGATCGAAATATTTGTTCACAGATTTGACGTTAAGTGCACGGAGACCCACAGTTGGAGCAGGCTCTTTAGGTCCAGATCAAACCGGGCCACCTCATCATTAAGTCTGGGGGTTCTTGCGTTGACCCAGTCGTGCAGCAGGAGCCTATTTTCGTTGGTGTCAGCACCAGCGACATCCACTACCAAGTCAAACCAGTTGACATACTCATAGAAGCGAGAAAAGACCCGGGAATCGCCAATGGTGACATCAGGATTCTCGCATAAAAAGGTTTCGAATAGTGCATCACCTTCACTCGTGATGGTTGATGGAATTGTTGGGCCCGAATACTGCTGCTCCACACGAATGTACACCTTGTGGCCTTGGTCTTTGTATAAATGCTGTACATGACAAGTGGTGTACTGATTATGATTCAGCCCACGGTGGTTTTGTTGCATGTGCTTGGCCACAGTGGATACACCACCGGTGAATGCAGCGACTGCAGTTACATCTTCTACAGGGCAGAAACCGCACATGAAGCCAGGCAATACATCCAAGAGAGAGATGGCAGGCAATGGATTTTTGAGAGGAGCAACGTACAGGCCGTGCTCGTTATACAAGACAGCTCCTTGATCACGCAGTTTTTCTTCCAAGTTATGGACAGTTAGCGGTTCGGGATGTATCTGGGATAACTCGACATCCAATTGCTCTCCATACCGCTGCTGTTGATGTACGTTGTATTGAGCAATCCACCTGTTCAATGAATGATTGCGACCAAAATGGCCAACGACGTTTCCTAGTTGAACTGCACAGCGACAACGAACGCATATCACACTACCAGATTGCAAGTGAATAACCATGCCAAGGGACTGGTACTCTGAATTGTAAACTGGAATAATAGGTGAGAAAAAGACCATCTAGTAAATATATAATGACCTCACCTGAGGTATCCAGCTCAGTAAACTCTACTTCATCAGTGGATGCAAATGGAGCACTGTTGGCATCGTCATTTGTATCTTCAGTTGGAACATTGGCATCAGTAAGATTGCTTTTATGAGCAACAGACGCTTCTAAAGGCACAGCAGATGTCGTTACAGAGGGTGCATTAGGCCAAAGTGATTCAGCGGACACAGATGGTGCAACAGGCATAAATGACGAAGGGAGTGCAGAAGGCACAATGGGAGTAGCGATGGCGGATGAGGCAGACGCATGAGTTCCTAAGAATATAGATGTAAATGAAACAGCAGGCATAGTAGTCTGTATTACACCCACTGAATGACAGGCAGTCTTTGGCATGGTTTTTTTTTTTAAAAGGGAAGGGTTAGATATGAATAGTAATAAGAATATATCCAAAAACCGGTAAAGAAGCAACAAAGTTGAGAGTCTAGAGACACTTAGATTTGAATCTATTCGCTACAATGATATCTAGCTTCTTCAGGTGTATTATAATAGCTCTTTGTATATATATAAGATAACAATATAGGTTAGAATAAAGGTAAGAAAAAGGGATATAAAAAAAAATAAAAAATAAAAAAAAGGGAATAAATCAGGATTAGGGATACGATAATACACCATCTAGGGTTAGGGGCGACAAAAAAAAAGTCAGAAATTTCGAAAACAAATTACACCGACAGAAAGCTGGCGTAATTTAAAGACAGAATAGTACTTAAAACCTAGCGATTGGCCTATTGGATGACGAGATATACGAGTTTAAAATCCCGGGAGCTGGGAACGTCTCACATTAAAGCTCGTTAAAACAAGGCCAATTGCGCTGAAGTTAACCAGATAAGCACCTAAAGCTTGTATAATTGTATTAAAAATTTTAAAGAAAGCAGGTTAGACTTATTCCAGAGATTTAATATGAGATTTGTATTTACGCATTTTTTCACTCTTGTCAAAGCCAAAAACGCGTTTAATGTGGCCGTATAAAGCTTGAACTAGTAGCTGACGCTTCCAAATAGCTATGCATGCTTTGAAACAAGAGAATTTATTTAGTACATGCTGAGATATAAGCCTTCAAAGTATGGTGCTTTAGGTTCTAGAAATTGGAGCTTAGAAGTCTACGAATTTTGCTTTCACTGCTTTTAAAATTAGTCAGTTGGTAGCTCGGAACTAACAAACTATACTAGCGTTTTAAAATTTCAAAACGCATTACTAGAGCGGGAGATATCGGCGTTTAAGTATTTTCAAAATGGCACCTTAGGTACCATGGGTACCATGGGCATCATGCTAAAAGCCAATCAGAACAAAGAGCAAGTGATACATAAGAATAGGATATCCTATTATTACAGGTATCATTTGAATGGCCAATCAGAAACAAGACTCACGGTGCTTGGGTACCATGATACATGAGGTATCATTCCTAATAACATTTTTCAAACACCGAGTACCTCGGTGTTTAAGAGATAGGGGAAGGTAGCCTAAGATAGGGGAAGGTAGCCTAAGATAGGGGAAGATAGCCCAGTTCGCGTATGCAAACTTATAGAAAATGATGTCAAGTTATTATCACACCAGAGATTGCTTCACTGAGCGGTCTCTTATATATCGCTACATAGAGCGTGCTCTGGAATAATTAGGAAAAAAAATAGTTTGAAATCATTATATCATTAAACTTTTATAATCAATTTCAGTTTTACTATTAAAAAAAAATAGAAAGCTCGTAACAGTAACAAGAGAGCACCAGCCAACTTATAAATATGCTATTAAGCGTCAATGGTACACTTTCTTAATATGTTGTCATAAATCTTAAATAAGCCATCAACATCACTCATCAATAATGAAAAATAACAATGGAGGAAAATGATGAACGAGATACAACTTATCATCGGCTTTCAATATGATACCCGGCAAAACAATCGTTGATATAATAGGACAAAAGAATGAACAAAGGGAAAAAAAAGGAGGGATTAGACAAAAAGTAAGAACACCACAAGAAGAGATTGAGATATTAGACAAAGAATATATATAAAAGAGGGAATGTGATAAAGAAATGAATAGTGACAATTAAAAGAAAAAATAAAAACAGAATAGAACAAAGCAACAACGAAAAAAATAAGAAAAGGTTGCGATACTAAGAAAAGAACAAAGAAGGGAAAGGATGAGACTGAGATAATAAGAAAAGAAGCAACAACAAGTATGGGAACGAATACTGGATAAACAAGGACCCGACAAAATAGGAATTAAAATGATAAAAAATAAATACATAGAAAGAGAGAGAAATTGAGCAAAAATAATAAACAGAAAAGAATGCAAAAGAGTAAATAAAACAAAACAGATAGAAAAATTGAGACAGTGAGGAAAAAAAGTACAAATAATAGGCAAAATCAATAAAGGGAAGCAAAGAAACCCATGAAAAGACAGAATGTAATATATAAGACAAAGAAAAAAAAGATATATAAAAGGAGATGGTAGGAAAGCAAAAAGACGAAAGAAATGGAAGTAATGTAAAGAATAAGAAGCAAAGAAAAGAGTAAGAATAAATTGACGAAAAAAAAGAGGAATGAAGTAAAGAAAGCGAAAGGAGAAGTAAATCAAAAAAAAATAAACATAAAAGAAGAAAATAAGCAAAGATAAAAGAAAGGCGAAAGAAACAATGTCAAGGAAAGAAAATGCGATAAAGAAACAGAAAGGAATAAATAGAGAAAAAAAGTCGAAAAGAAAAAGGTTCGAGAAGGAGGATAAAGAATATAAGCAGAACAGAAAAGGGAAATATGAAGATAAATCACAGGAAGAGACCGGGAGAACAAGCAAACAAAGAAAAAAACGGAGAAGCAAAAACGCAAATATAAACAGAGAAAAGATATATGAAAAAGAGAAAGGTGGACAAAAACACAGACAGAGAAGGGGGGGTAGAGAGAATGGAAATACAGAATAACAAAAACAGAGAAAGTATACGCAGAGAGAAGGGAGAAACAAGCAAGAAAAAAAGGGAAGGATAGGGAATAAAATGCACAGAGAGGAGGAAATGGAATAGGAAGAATTATAGAAAGAGAAAGGACGAAGAAACTACGAAAAAAAATACACAGAAAACGAGAGAAGAATAGACAAGAAAAGACAGAAAAGGGGAAAGGGGTAGAGAAAAGAAATAGACAAAGTAGAAAGAAATAATAACAATAATAACAGAGATAAAGAAAAAAAACAAGCAAGAGAGAATAAGAACAGTAAAAAAAAATAAAAATAAAAGAAAATAAAAAGCTATACAAATAAACGGGAGAATACATTACCATAGCGTAGCGAATACATTACCGTAGTGGAACGAATACATTACCGTAGTGGGACGAATACATTACCATAGCGGAGCGAATACATTACCACAGCGGAGCGAATACATTACCATAGCGAAGCGAATACATTACTATAGCGGAGCGAATACATTATTATAGCGGAGCGAATATATCACAGTAGTGGAGAGAGAGAAAAAAAACAATTACCGCTATACAACGAACACGATGATATTTATATAGCAAATAATAAACATAAATGCATAACAACATTTCGCAAGTACGAAGATACAACAAAGGAAATACTCATAATACATATATAAATAAGGGATAATAGATAATAATAGGTATAGCATAAAGAAAATAATACTAAAGCAACGAATAAATCAACACATATTACATAAGACAATATACAACAATTGAATGAGACAAAGATGAAGAAAAAAAATATATAAAAAACAGACAAGATTAGTGTAAAGTACATATATAATAATTAGGATAGGAATAGAATTATAGTAAGATTAGGAATATGTTAATACATAAAAATTAGGAATATGGTTTAGGAATAGGAATATATATTAACGACTAGGAATAATATTAGAATTAGAATTTCGGTTAGAATAGGGATTTGGATTAAGGTTAAAGATATGATTAATATTAGGATCAGGAATAAGGGATAGGATTATCGACAGTGCGAGAACAATAATTAGGGATTAAGATCATGATTATGATTAGAGATAGGATTAAAAATAAAAAAAATGTGTTAAATAGGATTAGGAACAAAATTAGGGTTAGGAATAGGGATAGAGTCAATATTAGGATTAAGATTAGGGCTAGAATTAGAATTAATATTACGATTATAATTAAAGATATAATGAGGATCAAATTACGAATTTATTTAAGGCTAAAATTAAATCATGTTAGGAATAGAATTTGTATTATATATGATAGAATAAGCTTATGATTATAGTTAGGAATATACCAGGACTAAGATAGGATAAGGTTTAAGATTAGGATTATAATTAGGGTTAAGGTAATGATTAAGATTAGGATCAGATTTAGGCTTAGAACTAGGGATAAGATTAGGATTAGAATTAGGCTTATGGTTAGGATTAGGGTTAGGGTTAGGGTTAGGGTTAGAGAGATAATAATAAAAAATATATCCAAAAACCAAAGAAGCAACAAAGGAGAGAGTCTAGAAACACTTAGATTGAATCTATTCGCTACAAGAGATGTAGCTTCTTCAGGTGCATTATACTAGCTCTTTATATATCTTTTTGAAAAAATTATTTTTTCACACGAAAGTCGGAATAAGTCGGGTGAAAGACGTGATCCGGAAATTTAAGGGAAGATTAGACTCGGCGTTAAGTGCCGAGATCCCTTTAGACTCGGCGTTATGTGCCGAGATTCGGCGTTTATGTGCCGAGATTCGGCGTTTATGTGCCGAGATTCGGCGTTAAGTGCCGAGATCCTTTTTTAGACTCGGTGTTAAGTGCCGAGACTAATGGTGAAAAAATATAAATACCCTGGAAAAAATTGGGGATTTTTATCGCCCACATTTTTTTATTTTGAAAACACTCTATATATTTTACTACTTATAACCCTTCCCATAAGAGAAGCCGCTGACCCACAGAACAAGTCCGAGGCAATTACAAGGTAAAATATGAGCAGATTTCAGGAGTTATTCTGACAGTTTTCTTTTTTTAATAGAAAGCATGATCAGGATCTTACAACCAGGAATGTCCACAGTGTAAGTAAGGGTAAGGTAAGTGAAAAATTTGTTCTTCATGAGACCAAGAGGGGTCTTTCATGGTCAAATTTTCAAAGTACTATTGTTGGGGTGAGGTACCAAACATTAGTGATAGTGTTAGGATTAGGGTTAGGGATAGGGATAGGGTTAGGATTAGGATTATGTTAGGATTAGGGTTAGGATTAGGGTTAGGGTTAGGGTTAGGGTTAGGGTTAGGGTTAGGGTTAGGGTTAGGGTTAGGGTTAGGGTTAGGGTTAGGGTTAGGGTTAGGGTTAGGGTTA